GCTTTACTGTAATTTTGCATATGTCCTGTCCTCCCCCATATTCATAAAGATGGGTATTTATCTCCGTATGTTGCAGATAAATGTTAAAAGTCTTAGAAATATAGAAGGGCTATTTATGTTCAGTTCTTCACTCCTTCCTTCCTTGTATTACCTCTGGTAATAGTAAAAGAAAATAGGAGAAAATAGGAATTGAGTGCACAGGGGATTAATTGAAGAGGACTTGATTTTCTTTATAAGCTAATGACATGCAAAGAAAATGGTATCAATTGGGTTTTGATTGTGTTATTGGAAGGAAAATTGCCTAGGCGAGCATGCATTATATGGTTAGATATTGCCTATTTGAATTTTAAATATGTTTTTTTCTTCTTTTAAAATAAAGAACTACGTCTTTTTTCTTTTGCTCTTTCTTTTTTGAGGTATCACAATCCAGACATGGATGAATGATCTTTAAGCTGATATTGGGATTCATGTAAGCTGATATTGCAATATCGAATTACATGAGAGTATGTAAATAAACATAAATCCAAATTGGTCCATTCTTATGATAAGCGTCTTGTCATTATACTTCACATATATTTGCAGTATGCGTTCTCATGTTTATCGTGAAATATTTTGCTTAAACAAAGTAATGGTAAACATGCCACAATCTCTTGGGAATTAGTACTCGTAGATTTTATCCTATATTCAAAATGTATCATTCATCTAAATAGATTTTGAAGAAACCAAAAAACTAGCTACTAGAATGTTCTTCAGTTTCGAATATAATATCCAGTTCATTCTTTATTCAAGTTGTGATGTTAATGATAGCCATAATAGTTCTTAAATTTTTGTTTGATTAGATAGCATTAGTAGTTCTTAAATTTTTGGTTTTGGTAGGAGAAGAAACATGGTGAATGAGGAAGGTTCATCAAAACTCATACACGGAAAGACTGGGTTGGCATTGTTTAGGAAAGACTTTTATGATAAAGCTGAAAAGAAGTATAAGAGATTGAGGGAAGGACATAACGATGTGTTAAAGGCATGGAAGGGAATGCACAATGAGGAAAAAGAAAAATATGTTGAGAAGGGAAAGCAATTAAGGCCTGAAAAGATCAGAAGGAATTGTAAGTCAGCTTTTCAAACGCGTACCTCTCTCCGACAATTCAAGGATCTGGCTGAATTTGTAAAGGCGAACAATGATTTAAGGGAGAGGGTGGAAAAAATTGGATTTGGAAGGTTGCTTAATGTGTCGTGTGATAGACTCCCCCGTGACATTTGTGTAAGTTTGATAAGAGCATATGATCCACCAACATATCAATTTCGTATTCGGGGGAAGACAGAAGAAATGAGACTGCAACATGTGCACATTTTGTTCGGCCTACCCCATAGCGGGGCAAAGGTGAATATGAAAGTAGGTGATCATGATCCAGCATATGAGGAGGTCAAGGGGTAATATTTTAAAATGCCATATAACAAAATATTGGCCATGATCAAATCTGGTGTAAATAATGAGAAGTTTGAATTTTTGTTTGTGCTATACACTCTTGGGACTCTTTTATGTCCCACTGCGAGTGCAAGAGTCAGTGAATGGTTGTTGAGGGTTGTGTGGTGCACAAATAATGCATTTCAACAGTATGATTGGGCAACCTATGTGATGAATGAGCTATGCAAGGAAATAGAAGATTATGTTAAAGTGATGAGGAAGAAGAAGGATGGCCAGTTCAACGTGGGTGGGTGCCTCTATTTCTTATTGGTATGCATTTTTCTTTTGACCAATTATTGGTATATATATCCAATTATGCTATTTTCTACTATTTTTTGTCTATAAGATACTGTTTAAAGTTGTATGATTAATGATGCAGATCTATTTTTTGGAGTATTTCCCACTGCTTAAAGCTGATGAGCATGAGCCTAGGGATGCAGTTGCGTTTTGGACTAATGAGAGGGTATGGAATATGTGTAAGAAAGAGAGTACAAGCTGTATGGGCATTTTGTATGAAGGAAGTGGTGTTGAAATGAGGACTAGGAAAGAGGAAAGAGCAACAATTGCCTATCTAGACCCGGTATAGAAATGATTATTATAATTATTGTGTTAGTTCTTGTTACGTCTGATACTTTGAATTGTTTTGTGTAGGAGTTGAAGGAGTTACACTCAACTTTGATGAATGCGATTGAAGAAAACCATAGAAGGCTCATTAGTGTAGTTGAGGAGAAACTCATGAAGGTACAACTAAAGAGGGAGAGACACCAAAAATCAGAGCAAAGGGTGCATGGACATGAAGAAAATGATGAAGATAAAGATGTACGATATGGAGATGATGAAAATATTCATGTGGAAGATGAGTTTATTGGAGATGAAGGGGATGAATCAAGTGCAGATTCTAAAGCTAAAAATGAGGAGGAAGAAGAAGCATCATACCAGGAAAATATCAATGTGGAAGATGTGTTTAGTGGAGATGGAGGGGATAGATCAAGTACAGAATCTCAAAATGAAGAAGAGGACCAAATTAAGCACAGAGATCAACCCCGGAGATCAATGAGGACTAAAAGGCCAACAATTAAGTCCCCTTGGGTTTTTTCAAAGCCGATTAAGAGGACAAAAACAAAGATGGATGAGAAGGACATCTTTTCCATCTTGGTCTCTCATACATGCACGATTGAAGAGGGTAAAAAGATATTGGTAGAAATGTATGATGACAGCTTGACTCGCGACAACCTTAGATGTTTGGGTGGTATTCAAAAAGTAAATAATAGGGTCAGTATCTTACTTGTGAAATGAACTTTTGATAATTGATATATTATCCCTATGAATATGAACATGTTTTTCATCAAACACAGGTGATGTCAATGGTGTGTAAAACATTAATGGGCGAAATGAAAACCAAGGGACAACTTAGGCGACACATATTTGATGCTGACTTCATGGTTTTTGATCTTATTCCATCACTTGTTTTAGTTTTTATCTTGTCATTTTTTTGTAATTAGATGATGTGCAATGTTTGTAGATGAAAATGTTGATCAACCCCTATGATTGGAAAGCATCAGACAATGAGAAGCAAATTTTGCCTACATATTTGGGATATAATTTAGGCGATTGTGACTTGATATTCGGTCCATCTCTTGTAGACAATCACTGGTTTTGTTATGTTCTTGAGGTGAGGACTATGAAGTTTTATGTATTAGATTCATTGAAAGGTCATGTAAATGACCAACATAAGAAGAAGCGGAAGAAATAGAGTATCACAGAAGATCCAAGGATCACTAGGGCGAAAGCATGTGTATGGATATTTTATGCCTTTATTAATTTTTTGATAATATATTTGTTTGAATAAGTTGTAGTCTAATTATTGAATTGATTGTGTTTGCAGAGAGATAGATTCCATGATATTATTAATTTAGTTAAGCCTGAGCTGATTAGAAAGAAGCCAATGAGTGATATAATTTGGGCTGCTGTACCACAACAAAATAATCTGTACGTGTTATGATTTACATCATTTAACAGATATTTTGCATGTGGTTATGAGTAGAAGAATTAATACTTTTTATTGGTTTATGTGTGCAGTAGAGATTGTGGTGTCCATGTGTTATATTGGTTGAGATCGTGGGACCCATCCGCTGTATTAAATTACACAGACGTACAATTATGGACTTGTAATGTTGATTTGATTTTATAATGTGTATGTTACTTGGTAAATTAACATGTAATTTTCACTCGTATGCAGGAAGAAATTTCCAAGTTTAGGAGGGATCTTTTGTCAGTGGCTTGTCAATCATCATGAAAATTCAAAACGTGAAGATGCTATAAAGTTGCTTTCAAATCCAAAGAACCCGTTTCCTGGGAAAAGGAGGCGTTTTGGAATGTAGGATGTAGGGGTTTGTCTGTGTGTATGCTGATAGGTTAGGTGGCAACGTTTTGAAGTATTTGAAGTTGATAGCTTTGTTTAGGAGCCACTTTGCCTTGTATTTTTGTCATTTTTCTCTTGGAATTATTGGATTGATATATTGTTTTGCTGTAGTTTTTTAGATGCCACATAGTATATAAAAATTAACATGTTCTATTTCATAGTTAACAAGTTTAAGTTCTAAATTAACAATTTATGGTTACATAACATACCAACAATTAAGTTCTAAATTAACATATTCTATTTTACAGTTAATATGTTTCAATTCTAAATTAACAACTTTATGTCTTCATGACACACTCACAATAAGTCTTTTGCTAAAATTTGATCACAATAAAACCTTGAAAAATAACAAGTTCAATTACGTTGTTAACAAGTTTAAGCTCTAAATTAACAACTTCCTTATCCTTGTAGCATACTTGCAGTAAGTATTGACAAAAAACCATATTACATTATATCGTTGAAAATTAACACGTTCTCTTTCATAATTAACATATTTCAATTCTAAATTAACAACTTCATGTTTTCATGACACACTCGCAATAAGTTTTTCACCAAAACTTGATCACAATACAACCTTGACAAATAACAAGTTCAACTACGTAGTTAACAATTTTCCTATCTCTATAGCACACTTGTAGTAAGTATTGACAAAAACCATATCACACTGCATCCTCGAAAATTAACATGTTCGATTTCACAATTACCATGTTTCAATTCTAAATTAACAACTTTATGTCTTCATGATACACTTGCAATAAGTCTTGGGCTAAAACTTGATCACAATAAAATCTTGACAAATAACAAGTTCAATTACATATTAACAAGTTTAAGTTCTAAACTAACAACTTCCCTATTCCTATAGCATACTTGCAATATGTTTTTGACTAAAAAAATTTCAACATGGGTTTGGATTTTTGCACGTCCTTCTTGTGCGACCAGCTTCATGGCATGTTCCACAGTAGTAAGTCTTCTTATTTTGGAATTGTGATTCACGTCGCTTAATTCTTGGCCGTCCAGGAGGTCGACTTGTGCGGGGTGGTTGGAGGAAGGTTTGGCCTAAAATATTTTCCATCCTATAGTCATTAATATCTGGCATGTCAATTGTCACAACTGGAATCATGCTCCGATTATAAATCTTTTGTTGAGATTAATTTTATAGCATTCCTCAACATAATCATACACATTTCCATGGGCAAGCTTGATGGCTGCACAAGCATGTGCACATGGAATCCCTGACATTTGCCATGCTCCACAGCTGCATTCATGTAAACCTAGATCAACTTCTAAGTCTCCATAAGCTGTATGAACACATGCCCTATTCCCTCCATAAGATACAGGAAACATGTGCTCAGTTCTCATCACATTTTCCATCAATACAGCCTCGATGTTTGGCCCAACACCATTCCTCCACTTACTGATTGCCATGGCTGATGCGTGCATCTTCTTTGCTACTTTTTCTCGATGTTCATGGATTAACTGTGCAACATTATGCCTTCTTTCCTTCACCATCCATGCATTGAATGACTCAGCAATATTAGTTGTTATATTATCCCATCGTTTAAATGGGAATTGACTTAAAGCCCACCTATCAATATCACCATGATTCACAAGCCATTCAAATAACTCTTGAGACATATCCCTCATATGTCCTATTGCCTTATCAAACTCAGTTTCAAGTCTTGCATAAGCAATATCATCAAGCAACTTTAGTGCATCAACCTTACTCTTAGCACTTGTCCTTCCCCTTCCTCTATTTATTTTCAACCATTCTGAACTAAAGTTTTCCTTCACATGGCAATAGCAAAATGCATGTCTATCACTACCAAATATGACTCGTACAGCTCCTATTATAGCATTATGACGGTCTAAAACTATGGTCAGCTCAATTGACCCTGTTATCTGTCTAATCTTGGATAAAAACCATGTCCAGTCCTCTAATATCTCCCCATTCACAATAGCAATTGCAAATGGTAGTAACTCATTGTCTGCATCATATGTGGAGGCTGACAACAAGGTTCCTTTATATGGGCCACTTAAATGAGTACCATCTATATATAATATATGTCTTGCCCCAACCAAGAACCCCTCAATACAACAACCATATGCTATAAAAACACGCTCAAATATGTAATTGTTTGAAGCTTCCCATTCAGCAACTGTTGTCGAATCACTTTCCTTTAGTCGTTGACATATCCATGGTATAAGCATATAAGATTGATCTGGTCTGCCTTGAATATCCTCCATTGCTTTTAATTTAGAAGCATATGCTTGTTTATATGTCAGATTTACTCCATATTCTCTCTGTAATGTCTTCATAATTTCACTAGGGCGCTTATCTATGTGTGATCTTACATCTTCAATAATAATAGATAATGTTAGAGCAGCTCTTCCCCCATGGTTTACTTGAAGACAATCTTGTGCATGGTGAATATGCTCATTATTGAATCGCGTCACATGAAGGAAAGGGGTATTCTTTCCTACTGCATTTGCAGTTATCTTCCAAGGACATCCTTCGATTTTACATTTCACAGACATTCTTTCTTTGTTATTCCTCACAAACTTGTATTGAAACTTGTTAGCAATACTATATTTGTGTAGAAAGCATCAGCGTTCGGAAAGATTTGTGATAAGCCTGAAAATATCTCTTTCCATTTCAATGAGTTCAACTCAGGAAAAGGTGTGGGTGCACTTTGTACTCCACATGGTGTGCTACTAGGTCCCCCACAGCTTTCATAAGTAACACCATTTTGATGAGATGCAAGTTCAGGTTCATTATTGAAATTTCTTGGAGAAAAAGAGCTTTGTTCTGGCTGCCTCACGCTTGTATGCATGCTGCATTATATGACCACAACGTTTGTTATTTTATTAACAAGAATATTCTAACAAATAACAGCTTATTTTTTTGAGAAAAACAACTAACTTACATTTGTGGATCACCACTTGCTTCTTCTGCATTGCCATTCCTTTTACATGCTATATAGACATGACCACTCCTCTCATTATATTGAAAAAGATTTGCAAGTTCCTCATCATCAACAAGATCTATTAGAGTCTTCTGATCAAAAGACACTGTGTATTTCATCTCACTATTATTAATGTCATTTCCAATACTCTCATTTCTTCAAGTGTCATACCCTCTCTTATGTTTCTTACCCTAACACTCCCCCCATCATATTGAATTTCACCTTCAAGATTCTTGACAAATTGTCCACCAACATGAAAATAACAAAATAATCCTTTTGCTAATGTTAATCCTGAAGTAGATGCCATTTTTTATGCCAACCTGCAATAAAAAAGGGACTACTAACTAGTCATAATCATTATCAATTTTTTCGATTAACAAAATATAATATAAATTTTTTTCAATCAACAAAATAGAATATGGCTTCTGAAATTAACAACTTTTACTTAGATCTTAACATGTTTCACTTAGCTATTAGCACTAATGTGTCTCTCATAACCATGATAATTTCCACCTTTTACAATCAATATAACAGAACCTACCTTCAAAATTTATTAACTTCAACTTAGATTTTAACACATTTCACTTAGCTATTGACATAAAACATAGCCCTTATAGTTATGATCATGATCACTTCTTACAATAACATAACATAATCCACCTTCAAATTTTAACAACTTCAAATCATGTTTTAACACGTTATACTTAGCTATTAACAACATACACAACCCTCATAGCATTTTTCTATTAAACTTTTACGATCAAGCAAATATAATCAGTCATCATGCATATCTATTCATTGTAAACGCTGCATCACACAGATACATCAACCTTCCTACTCATCCTAAAAGCAACACTCCGTACTCTCATTTAGCTATTTTTATGATGCACTTCTTATTGTACGGCAAATTTTCCTTCCTCCCCTACAAAAACCCCATCGCCCACAATCCATACTAAGAAAAGGAAGGACCAAGATAGCATGATGAAATTTTCAGGATTAAGATGAAAAGACTTAATATAAAAAACTAACTTACCTTTGCTTTCTTGTTTGATTTTTCGACTTTGGAATGATAGACGTCAAGTTCGCTCCTTCAGAACTCTTACGTTAGGCAGGAGTGATAAATAATATACATCTCTTTAGGTTTATAATAAAAGGACATTACAGTAATTTTATTAAATTTTTAAATCCTTATTTGGGCTATGCAACCTAATTAGGAATTAATGAAATTTAATAGCCCAAATGGGGATTTGGGTTATTAAACCGTCTTTTTAAGGGATTTTCCCAAACTTTTAACACGTATAACTATTATAAGGATTATTTTAAAAAAATAGATAAATAGGAGAGACAAAACAGTTTCGTATCTTATATTTAGAATCAAATTAAATGTCAAACCAGTTCTTATATTAAGAACATAAGGTAATGTTAACATAGGCCCATGACGAACTAACACATAGTTTAGCTGGTAAAGAGCTAGCTTAATCAGATGTCTCGTGTCCAAAGTTTAGTTGGTATAGAGCTAGCTTATTAATCAGATGTCTCATGTCCAAGGCTTATTTATGCAGTTGTGTTAAATATTTGTTGGGAGAGCTTGCTGCCTGCAAAAGTTTTACTCGGCTGAGACAGAACTCTTAATGCATGCTAAGTACTATTGCAAAAAAAAAAAAGGAGAAAGAAAAGCAAAATATATTGAACATGAATGGCTAAGTTGGGAAGCGGGTTGTATTAGTTTAATTAGAAGTTTTATGTTCAAATTCTAAGTATACATTTACATTAAATACTTGTTGGGAAAACCTGCTGCCCACAATAATCCCACCTTGAGATCAGTGAAAACCCTAGATTCTGAGTACTATTGTAAAAAATATCAACGTGCATATACATTGAGTAGAATACATTTATATTCCTTTCATTTTTATCTTAATTACAAAAATCTTTCTTCTATTTTTAAAATTTATATTTAATTCTCTCAGGATATTCCAACGAGTAATTATAACATGAAAAAAAATATAGCAGTATGAGAATCATATAATGAAAATAAAACTGGTTACCAAGAATTATTTATGGGAATTGAAATGGTGGAGAAACATGCAATATGATAAAATATTATTGCATTTCATTTCTGTAATCATCCCAGCACATTTTTCTCACGCCACAATTTAGTCACGGTTAAAACGCATGCTTTAATTAATTAATGATTGCTTAAAATTGAGGTCATTAATTAGCAATGAATTAATGAAGAGATATTATTTTTATTATTAGTTTGCATTTTTGAATAGTTTGGGTGGTTTTGGTGAGATTTCAATCTCTTTATCATTACTTGCAGCTGCTGGTCCATGCTCCACCACTTGTCACATCTTCATCAGTCGAACCAATTTTTACTTACCAATTTCCAGTCATAGAAAATACTCTAATTAATTAAAATAAAAAGAAATTGATGAAAAAACAGTGGCTAATATTCTCCGTTTAATATGAATGGTTTCAAATTAAACATTAATAAACATAATTGGCTGTCTGATTATTCAATATGCACACATGTCTCTATTCTTTCAATTTTGTGTGACATAAAGTTAGAAAGAGAATTGACGGCCTAAAGCAAAAGCTTCAAAAGAGAATTAAAGGAATCTTTATAATTGTGTGTGTGTGTGTTCTTTCAGGTTATGACTCAGGACATAGAGATTAAGGAATCCTTAATAAATATAAAATGTTGTGTTATATTACTGACTAAAATAACATGCTCTAATTGCATCTCTTAATTTAAAGGAGATAATGGAAAATGAAATAAACATAAGAAACTGTAAAAGGTGAAAAAAAAAACAGATAATAAGAAATATATGATTACTAAATGAGGCTATAATTTTTTTTTTTGAAAAAATTAATCATACCTTACTTTGGATTTCTAAAACAAGACAAGTTTTTGAAAATAAAAAACATAAGAAATATGGAATATATGAAACAATCAGATGTATACAAGAACTTCTATAAATAGTAGTAAAATCATGTTAGTGTTTTACACGAATTCACAATTTTATTGTTTTAAAAAAAGCTTATTATCAAACCTTCCGTCACTATTTGATCCTACAACGGCAACGATATTATTAGCTCAAATACTCCTTTTTTTTTTACCCTGAAAACTGATAAAATGGGTAGAAAAACAATCTCATTTAAAAATTTTATTAGTCAAAAGAACCTAATGTGTTTTTATACATAGAAAATATTGGTATTATGCAAGATTTCATATTAAAAAAAAACTAGTACTCCAATTCAGATCTTTGTAGCTAATAAAATTTTCAAACAGGAACTCTTCACTAATATTTTCAAAGAAAAATATTGTTTATCATTTTCAGGAGGTAATATCTCAGCTCGAAGTTTTAATTTGAGATGATAACAAAGAAAAGACATACAAATAAAGCAAACCAAGATACCTTTAAATTCTTGGGATGTTATAGGACCATTTCAACAATGGAAAGGGATGTATAACCGAACAAATCCAGACAGCAACTCTTCACACCCACACACATCACTTGAGACAACAAAATTGGTTAATAGATACATGTGACTTTGTGGCTGTGGATAAAACTCAATAAAGCCTAAAAAATAGTGGAATTAAATCTACATACTACGGTGGCAAGCGGTATTAATGCCCAAAAAAGAAGAAGAAAACAACGGCAATTTGATCTTCTTTCGTCTGTTTCTGATTGGACTGAGTTAATTCTTGAGACAAATTAAGGCTGGCTCCAGATTTAGTTTGCCTAATTTTCATTTTAAGAATCCTATGGCCTAGCCCAACCCAATCTAGAATTTTGGGCCAGGTCAACCCTAGCTTAGGCCCACATGGTGTAAATTTGAACCCAAATACTCTATCTAGTACGATTTTTTTGGAATCAAACTCATGGCTTTACATTTATTAGAAAATTTTTATGTCATTAAGATAAAGCCATTGGCTAAATAAAAACAAACATAATTTGATCAACATGCAGCTTCCCCTAAGAAAATATCATATTCACACAATGGACATTATGTATATAATTGAATTCAAAATATTTTTATAGGACCCATCACCGTTTATTTCTCACATAATATATTATATTGACTCAATTAACCTCCCTATTAGCTATGTATAATAGGATTTAGTGGGATTGATGAATGTTAAGTTGTTAACAATTGGTTGTTAAGTCTGAGGGATCAAAGTTACAAGCAAACTACATCAACAACGACCCAAAAAAAAAAAAAACAGTTTAATACATTGGAAAAGACGGCCCCCAATGGCTTTTTCTTGAGGGAGAAGTTATTCTCAGGCTGCTTCTGCCATAAATAGGTTGCAGCCTCTGGAATGAGCCAAAAACTTGTCCTCCTTCACTGCTCAACGTGCCTTCTCTGTTCCCACGTCAGGTCCAACCACACGTGTCACTGAGAAGGCAACTTCTGTCAAACATATGGCACCCATCTGTTCTGCTATCTTCTGAAGAGCCGGTAACATAACATGAACAATTCGACTGAATACGAGCACGCATCCCTTCAAGACATCACTTTTAAGAGTTCTCAAAACCTGAAAGAATTTTTAAGTTAAAAGAATCTCCACCATCGAAATCTAAAAGGCAAAACACAGTTAAATAGGAACAAACATGAATTACCTGCCTCACATCTCGGTCTGGAAGATCTTCTTTAAGTTCTTACAAAAGGATCCCCAGCTAAACCCAGTTCAGCATAGATCGGAAATTACCAAAGATTTAAAGAATGAAAGTGACATACATCAAAGGATGTATGATGAGCTTGCTTGAGAACATTAAGAATTCTTGCGAGTACTCCATCAGATTCACATTCATCACTCCTTGACTCAGCAAGAGATCGGCAATTGAAACCAAACTGCCGCCAACTTGAAGCAAAAAAATGATATCTTTCCATCAGTATCAAATTATCCTTATGTTTCATCCATGCCTGCAAGTAGTAGACGATTTTCATGTAGATAGAAAAATAGTTTTACCCCGTAAAAACCAACTAACCAACTCAAAATTGGGAGTGAATTGAAATGAACTTGCATTTTCTGTATCATCAAGAATGAGAGCACCACTTTCTTGGCCCAAGACAATATTAAGACCCTTTTGATGCTTTAGAGTGCCATCATCCCAAGAAATCACCTTAGAATGGAAATATTGTCCCTTTGGATCAAGCAGCTTAGCCATCTCTAATGCGTAGGCCCGATCACCCATGGTATATATGCACATTTCAAACATCTCACTCGCTTCTTTTAGAAATGTGCGCACCAAAGGCCTCAACTTGGTCATCATATGCATATAATCCAACTTGAAGAGGCTGCCTTTAGACACATCTATTCATTTCATCATGCAATGATTTAGAAAGGCGACATATATTTTTAAAAAAAGTGATGAAAATTGTTGTGAATACAGGTGGGTGTGTCAAAAGTAAAATCTCACGTTGCTCAAGAGAAGATTCAAATGTATCTAAATTATCTCATATTCTTAGGTTAGTGAATGGGTCTAAAAGAGAAGGAGGATCTCGCGCACAACATAAACGATATGAATATTTGATTAAAATAGTTTGAGGGGTGCTTTAGATGCACAAAAAAAAAGAAGCAATATATGTAAAGTTAATACATATTTCTTAGAAGTTAATATAATATTTCTTTCTAGAAATAGAGGTAATGCATAGAAAAGCTATGAGAACGATTCTGGGCTCAGCAAGCAAGGTAAATGAAGACAACAAGTAAGGGCCATCAAACTCACCCAAACTCTCTTCCCCAAATCCTTGTGAAGTAGGCCCGTGGATCGTCTCTCTGCCTTCAACTCTACGTCTTTTAATTCTGTGATAGTGCTTCCGATTCTAATTATAAGATATCATTTATAAATTACAAATGATATAATTAGGACTGGAGGTAGTAATTTATAAATCTGAAAATTTAAAAACCATAAAATTGATACAGTCAAGAAACTTTACTAAGTTTTGTCTTTAATATAATTGACTAAATAATAAATTTTATTGAATATAGACGGCCATAAGAAACCCTAACTCATTATTCGACGAGTTTTATATAGCGCAGAATTTTTGGTTAAATATATTGTGAAAACAAGAGCTCTTAAACCCTATGTCTCTTAGATTTATTTAGCAACCTGATAGTCTGAGACTCATAATGACTCCCAACGTCTTTATTACATGATGGCGAACTTGCATCGAGCGCAGAATCCAGATATGCAATAAAGTCATCGCTGCTGGATAAATTTACTGCAGAATCTGCCACGAGAATCATCTGAATGGAACGAAACAAATATGAAAAGACTGCCCAGTAGGATCTCTGGTCGGATTTTAAGAACTCACCTAAAGTTTAGACTACTAGAGTCTAATTAAGCATTTTTCAAGTGGGAAGCCCTTTATATAGTAGTGATGGGCAGACATGCTTTGAGAAAGCAAAATATTCGCAATATCCCATCAATAGATATAAGCTCTCTAATGATTAAATGCTTATTTAATCCATATGCATTACCATATGTATAAGAATAATACTACCGGTCCTTAATATAAGACCCTATTTGACTTTTATTTTGGTCTTAAATATAAGACTCCAATCCACTTTGTCTCTCATATTTATATATATTTTTTTCAAAGTAGTCCTTCTAATAATGATAGTTCTAGTCAATGTATTTGATTATAAGGATATTTTAGGAAAGACAACACCTATTTAGGACAAATAACTAACTCAACTTACTTCCTTAATCTCGTCAAACTAGTCAACTGGCTCTTATAATTAGGACCGGAAGTAGTATGAATTAAATTTTTTTTATTTAATTTATGTTATATTTAATCATGTATATAACCTTATTAAATATTCCGACCCATCCCAACTCATTAGGGACGGATCAATATGTTCTAAAATTCAAAATGAGTAGCTCATATGTATCAATATTTGTAATGAACATGCATTATAAAATGTGATGGTCAATAAATATTATTTAAATTGAAAGACAAAGAAACATGAGAAGTGATGGTCTCCACTATTTTTTATATATGCTAATAATAAAAATATATATAGTATTGATATATATATATAATACGTTTTAAGAGATTGAAAATGACAACACCATAATTCTCTCAAATTTTCTAGAGCATGCGCTTGGAATATATATATATATATATATATAATAAGGAAAATTGAGAAATGCTTCCAAAGTTGATGGTTACTTTATTAATTAATAATTTGTTATAAAAAATATTTTTGAATATGGCTAAGATCAAAGGAATCAATATAAATCAATATATTAGTATATATAGAAACATCATCTCAAATATGCTATCTCCAGTCCTAATTATAAAACCCCATTTATAGATTACAAACAGAATCTTATAATTAGGACCGGAGGTAGTATTATGCAATTTATTCTTTTTAGACTCCGCGAGATTCATCATCTAATTTATAATAATAAGAATGAGTGTATAATCTAATGATGAGGGGAAGAAGTTGAAGTAGAATAATAAACTATAGTTTTCTTCGATTTTTAATTTAGTCCTTATGGGTTTTCTCCTCTATATTAAATCATTTAATTTTACTTTGTTAACAAAATTAGGCTTTGTACACGGTCTAATAAATCTAATAGAGTAAAGTTATAGAGATTAATAGTGTTTTCCTTTTGTCATAATAGAAGAGATTAATGATGTTAAAAGAGTAAAATTAAATAATTTAATAAGGAGGGAAAAAAACACTTGGATACCAAATTAAAAATTAAAGAAAACTATAGGCATCTCAAGAATTGTTTTTCCTAAAATTGAGGTAAATGAGAATCGTGTACTTAGATTAAGAGATTGAAATAATTACTTTTAATTAAGAAACAATAGCAACCAATAAAAAGATCTTATGCCATCATCATCATTTTGCCAAGTGGGATATATATATATAATTTAGGATTTAATTACATATTGATTGACATTTCGATATCCTTTAAGTGAATTCGCGATCTGCTCATGTAAATAAATTTTAAATCGACGTTTTCAATATTAAAGAAACTACAAAAATATTTAGAACAATATTAAAAATTAGATGTGATGGGAACGAGGATATGGCAGATTATAGTACGTATTTCACCAAGTGGTAAAAGCATGTATTTCAACTTTTTTTTTTATAAATAATTTCTTAAAATCACTAGAATTTTGCTTTCAAAAACAAATCATTATATGATTCAATTTCGGATTCAACTTCCCCAATATAGTATTTTATATCCTCAAAGCTCAACATAAAATCTTAATGTGTTGAACCTCGTAATACTCAACCATAGTGAAATCAAGTCAACCTAAGCTACCAAACCAACACGCTAATGCCCAACACAGACCAATTATGGGACCCCACTCAATCCAGTCGACAGAATGTTTGGGGCCAACTAGACTTTAATTGGGCTGAAGGTTGAACTAAGTTTTGTTAAAGAAAGACATCTACAAAAACAAGCATGATTAATCAGCATACATCTTCCCACAAGAAAATACTGCATTGACTCCGTTAACATCCCCACTAGCTACGTGTGGTATTCAGTGGATTGATAAATGTTAATTTGTTAACAATTAGATCAAAACCTGGGGTTGCTATAATAACATCTAAGCAAACTACAAGAAAAAACAGTTTAACAGAGTGGAAAAGAAGGCCCCTATTGCTTCTTTTTGAGGGTGAAGTTATCCTCAGGCTGCTTCTGCCAAAAATAATTTGCAGCCTCTATCCATCTTGGATGAACCAAAAACTTGTTCTCCTTCACTGCCCAACGCGCCTTCTCTGTCCCCGCATCAGTTGCAACCACGTGTGTCACTGAGGAGTCAACTTCTGTCAAACATGTGGCCCCCATCTGTTCTGCCATCTTCCGAAGAGCCGGTAACATGGCATGAACTATCCGGCTGAATACGAGCACACATCCCTTCAATACTTCACCCTTAAGAGTTCTCAAAACCTGAAAGAATTTCTAAATTAAATTAGTTTCCACCATCAAAATGTAGAAGGCACAACCCACTTATGGGAACGACATAAACTACCTGCCTCACATCTCGGTCTGCAAGATCATCTTTAAGTTCCTACAAAAGGATCCCAGCTCCAATAGTTCAGCATAGATCAGAAATTACCACACATTGACAGAATGAGTAACATACCTCAAAGAACGTGTGATGGGCTTGCTTGAGCACGTTGAGAATTCTTGCGAGTGCCCCATCAGATTCACATTCATCACTCTTCGACTCGGTGAGAGATTGGCAATTGAAACCAAACTGTCGACAACTCGAAGCGAAGAAATGATATCTTTCCATCAGTATAAGATTGTCCTTATGCTTCATCCATGCCTGCAAGTAGTAAAAATTTTCCCTTAAGATAAGATAGTTTTACACCAAAAAAACAGCAGTATACTATAGCATAAAAGGGCATTTCCCTCTTCTTTTTGGTTCTGTCATTGATTAGATTAATTAATTATAAAACAAGTAAAACATTCAATAAAGGACAACCACCCATTCATTAAAACATGACAATTAAACAAATCAAAATTGCAAGTGAATTGGAATACACTCACATTTTCTGTATCATCAAGAATAAGAACGGCAGTTTCTTGCCCCAGGACAATATCAAGACCCTTCTGATGCTTTTGAGTGCCATCGTCTCGAGAAATCACCTTAGAATGGAAATATTCTCCCTTTGGATCAAGCAGTTTAGCCATCTCTAATGCATAGGCCCGATCACCCATGGTATATATGTACATTTCAAACATCTCACTCGCTTCTTTTAGAAATGTGCGCACAAAAGGCCTCAACTTGGTCATCATATGCATATAATCCAACTTGAAGAGGCTGCCTTTAGACACATCTATTCATTTCATCATGCCAAGATTCAGAAAGGCAAGATATATGAAAAACAAAATATAAAAAGTGATGAAAAGACTGGGACACAAGATGAAATGAAATAATGGAAGGGTGTCAAAAGATAAATTTACACAATTAAGATGTTCACAAATTTGGCGCATCCCACTTTATCAAACTACAAATTCAGTATAACATGCTAATGAATATTCATAAGTTCTGTTTTTCTATGTGATGGATGCCAATCATCATCTGTATGGGAGAAATACCCTCAGGTCTCAATAAAAAATGGTGTCCTCAGTTTCTGATCGCTCACCAAGCTTATTGGACAAAATTTTTCAAAGTGATACAATTATCAGAATTGTACACAGACTGGATGAGTATATTGATCTCAATGCACTCAGCACCTAAATTAAAAACGGCACATTCGTTCTTCTACCATTCTGTCCTAGCAATATCAAGGTCACCAACAAATAAAATGGCTGAAATATATCAAGGCTTCTTCAATGTTATAATGAGAAATACAACCAGCAAGGTAGATTGCTTGATACTCAATAGAAACAGTAAAGGCAGAAGAAAAAGAAAATTCTTCATCATGCATAGATAAAACCAGTATATACAAATAATATAAACAATAGTTGTCAGAGGCAAGAACACAGTCAACATAATAACCTGCCAGAGAATCTGCCTGGTTCAGTAAATACACCTCTTCTGAGTTCAAATCAACAAGCTGAGTAGAGTTCAGCAAAGTGTGATCCAAATCAAGAACTAAGTACAGCTTTTTATGGCGCAATAAATTCTTCATGTCTGTATTGCGCAATCTAGAAATTTCGTCATTATAAAGTCTCAATCCCTGTAAATTCAAAAAAAATTTCCACCATAGTTATTGATCAATGAATGACAGTTCAACTAAGACCGGTTAGATAGACTTTCCCTTGAATGTTAATCACAAGCCATAACCATCGGCTAATCAAATCATGAAATTTTGTCATGATCAACAATAACAATTTGTTCAGTGTAGCAACATTTCACCCTAAAAAGTAAAATTTAGATTATCCATACCTTATGTATGTACCCAAATGTCACGCCAGCTTCCCCATCTAGTTTCTGTCCACAACGTATACACATATCTCCAAACGAACCAGGATGTGTACATGCATCTTCCTTCACAGTCACCTCTGTGACAACAATCAACAAAAAAGGGAAAAAACCTCCAAGTCATAAGATTTCTGAGCAAAAGTGACCAAGTTGTAATCTAAAAGTAACGCACAGAAAAACTCCAGGAGGTCAGATTTTATTGTGCTTACAATGAGAAGGATTCTGGGCTCAGCAAAGTAAATGAACAGAACAAATAAGACCATCAAACTCACCTAAACTCTCCTCCACGAATCCTTGTGAAGTAGACCCCCCAGCCTCCCCTATGCCTTCAACTTTACGTCTTTTAATTCTGCATCAGTTTATAAACTTATGAATTGAAGCAGAAATCAATGTAATTTGACAAAAACGTAAAATAGAAAAACCAGAAAATTGACACCAGGACAAAACTTAGGAGAAACTATTTTGGATACTTGTTATCAGGTTCTATAATAAAAACATAACAAACAACAATGCGATTGGTATCACAATATTAGGTTTTCATTGGAGAAGAAAACCTAATAGCATACAGTCAAGAAACTTTATTAAGCTTTGTCTTTAATATCATTATCTCCCTAAAAAGCCAGGAGTATTAAAAAAGAATAATCACCATGCACATAGATGATCAGTATCACATATAACAAAATGAAACAGCTTGCAAGTAGAAAACCATGAAATAAGGTCCAAATTGCCACAGTACTCTAAATAAAATTGGACAAAGCTAAACAACAACTCATTCCAGTATCACAAATAGCAACATGAAACAGACTGTAAATAGCACCTGATAGTCTCAGATTCATCTTGATTCTCAGCTTCTTTACTCAATTGCGTAGCATCTGGTGAACTTGCATCTAGCGCAGAATCCAGATACGCAATAAAGTCATCACTGCTGGAAGAATTTACTGGAGAATCCGTCACAAGACTCATCTGAGTCATACCCACCCAATAAACCAAATTAGCAAGTGAAATTCAGAATTCAAGGTGAGTATTATGCTCGAAGGTGTGAACCTTTATTCACAATGTGTTATACATATCCTGCACATTCTAAACCAACAAGAATCCTAATTCAACGAACATTCATCATTGAGAAGTTTAAATCAGTGAGCATTATGGAAGAATGGAACATTACCTCCAACGACTGTGAGCGACGGTGAGAACGGTGAAGACGAGGATTTGGAGTTCACCTTTGTCAGTACCAACCACGGCGAAGACGAGCAGAGGGGGCTGCGACTGCGAGGACGACGAGGTGAAGGACGAGACCACTGGATGATTACTGGAGAGGAGGTGCCAAGGTTCTCCACTTGTGCTCTGCCAGAACTAAGGACGACCAATACAATCGCAGAGAGCGATGGTGAGGAAGGTGGGCGGCGGCGAGGATAGGGACGAGGCTGAGGGATGAGAAGTTTCTAGTTAGGGTGGGAAAGTCAGAAATCTCAAGAAAGAGAGAGAAAAGAGAACCCATACCTATCGAGTTGCCGAAGGCGTGAAATGGATGAGTTGAATGCCCTAAATTGCAGAAATCGGGGGGTGGCTCTGAATCGCCGATCTGGTCTCTGGGCCTCTCTCCGTCTTCGGTGGCTAGGGCGGGACGGTGGATGTGTTTTCTTTTTTGCGCCAAATGTCTAATCGCAATCTGTTTATTAATTTGTTCAAAATTGTAATTAGGACTAGTTTGAAATTTAAATTTAAATTTAAATAGAGCAAAATTTTAATGTTTTCAGTGCATTAGTCATTAGTGATGGTTATTAAATTAAAAAAAAATAGTGATTATCAAATAATTGATTTTATTATTCAGAAACGGTAGCATGTTCAGTAATGTTTAATGGGCGGATTTACATTCGCTTGTTCACACTGTCCAGCCCATACTTGCTGTTTTATTTTTTGTTCGAAACCATGGTGCTGGTAATGACACTTAACGTTTGGAAGACAAAATTGTTGAACATAAAAATAAAAGAGAAATCAACAAGTGTTGATCCAAATAAAAAGGATTTGTGCACCTTAAATATCATATCTTAGGTTCGATCTTTAGAATGGTGTGTATGGAACAAACACTGTTGGGAAGGGCCTCTACTATGGCGCTTGATAATATCTTGAAAGATTAGTCTATTATCATTTGAGTGGAAGAATATTGTGAGCACAAAAAAAGAATACAAAAAAAAATAAAAATAAAAGGGAAATCTAATCCTATCTTTATAGATATTTGTGTGTATACATGTAATATTACTGAATCAATCTATTTTCTTTTTTGGCAACGCACTAAATCAATCTATTTTCATTTCGTTTAATAAATTAATCTCCCCATTTGATGCTTACTACTTTCCAAAACAAACTAATTATTAACATGATTGAATATGGATGGTTATTTTCGTTTCAAAAACTACTAACATCAACAACTCCTTCTTCTGGTCCAAAAAAAAAAAAAAAACACCTTCAGGCAAAAATCTAGTGAAAATGAAAAGGTTGAATTGTTGCGTTCATCAATTAATTACATATAACTTATAAGAAAAATTAATTATATATACAAAAAATACGGATATCATATTTATAGGTTTCAGTTTTGACAGATACAGGCGTCTAAATTCTAAAACACTCATTGCAGTACCATATTACTTAATTATGACATAATAATAATTAAATTGTTAAATATTGGTTAACATAAAAACAATATTTTTCACATATGTTAATATCCATCTCGTTATAAACTGATGATCAGAAAATTGAATTCGCTTTTGGAAGCTATTTAATAAGTTAATATAATTAAGCAGTTACCACGGAACAACATTCTTTATGATAAAAGAATATAATATAACGTCTCCTAATTTCCTTACCCAAAATAACCCTCTAACTAACAAAAATTTACAGCGGGAAAAGAAAACACTGTGAGTTGCTATCACTTATCACTATCAGAAGCTGTGAGAGATTCAGATCCTGCTATCATGGTTGAATGAAGTACCTGAGATTGGAACACCACATTCAAAATGTGGGACCAACTCCGCCATGGATTGCCCTTAAAATGCTTTCTTGGGTTTATTTGTTTGAAGAAAAGTGGGTCCATGCCCTCCAACTCCAACTTCTTCACATGCTGCTTCTTCTTCTTCTTCCTCCCCCCATTCATCTCCTCCCATTTGATTTTGTTGATAATATCTTAATGCTACTATTAGCAGAAAAACTGCAAAATTCATAATATCAATCCATTACTCACTCAAAGCTAATGGATACAACAAGCAGAGGATACTAAATCATCTACTCATCACAATCAACCGTTTCTTACAACCTAAACAAAATAAAGGAGACTTCATGATATGCATTAAAGTCACAAGTCAGATGACGGGTATATTAATGCCGGTATGATTGCATAATTGAAGTTGTAAGTCAAGTTCACACATTCATTTGCCTCCCTTTGTACTCAGAGCTTTTGATTCTTAGATACGCCTGAAATGCAGTGTGATGTCAGATTTGGATCTCTAAAAATTATTAGAGATCAAATGAGTCACAAACACACTTTTATACCTTTTGTTAAGTCTTTCTATCATTTAAGCATCATTTGAACGTCAGAGTGCTTAAATTACATTAGAGGGAGTTCTTGTGCTCTTACCTGCCCAGATGCGAACAACGACTGATGACAAATTCCACACAAGGCCAAAGATGCCGATACCCGCTGCTTTCTTGTGACTACATGAATCCCAACCTTCCCTCACTCGCTTCACCCAAGAATTTGCTGCACAAATTTACGTTTCTCCATTGATCATCATCATCATCACCAAAACTACCTACTTATAAATATAATCCCCAATCATCATTATTCGGAAACATTATTACATGTTCTTCAATCAAAATAGTCCCACTGTAGGAATAGAAGATTTTTTTTTATGTTTATAGAGAAACTCAGAACTGCCGACATGGATAGATAGATACAGACAAAACGGCTTTGCCGTGGGCCTAAGAAAGAAGAACCAGTACACTGAAGAGTCAGACAGTACATTATGCACAATGAAGCACTGGTGACAATAATGTGTTGTGCCTTTTTACAACTTAAAGTTATAGAGTTAGAAATCGGACAGAAACATGTTTTTAAAGTGTTTTTAGGATCTACAAATAAATATGTAAAGAAATTTATCCTGATTTGTAAAAAAATGTGAGAAGTATTTTGAAGTTACTCAAATAATTTGACATCAGAGGTACATTATATTCAGTCAGGGGCTTACCGTATGAAGCTAACTGTGCAGAATAGAGAGAGTAAAGCTTTGGCGCCATAAAGACAACAAAGAAGCCTGAGGCAGAGAGCAAAACAAAATAAGCATATGTCAGTATGGCAGTGCAAGCGATGGAAAAAGAAAAAGCAACTTTGCGTAACCGAGTGAAATACTTGTGAGATTCATTTTCTTTTTGCTTACAGATGAAGTCAAATAGAGCAGAGAGTCTATGGGAATAGGCTTAGGCACCCCCACAACATTAACTTAATTAAGTAGTAGTAAGTACTTATATTCTGCATGAAGCTATGAACTCTATCCAGCGAAATTTGCAAGTTCATGGAAATTTACCGAATTTGGCCATCTTCCAAATAGTTATGGAGCTGCCCCATCTGGCTAAAACAAAGAGCAAAACTGCCATCTGTAATTCATTGTACAATATTAGAAAAATTACACTTGAGCTGAGGAGTGTAGGCTGCAAATTACTGTATAAAGACAAAAATTTAAACCGTGCAGGAAATTTACAGTTTATGATTTCAAACTAAAAATTTTTTAAGCCAAGATTTTGAGTAATTTTAAATTTTAAAGTCCTTCAATAAGAATATTTGTAACCTGAGGTCTTTAACTGTAATTTCTTCCCAAGAAATTTTTTTTTTGGAGAATACTCTTAATAATTACATCGAAATTTAAGCTCAATATAATAACAGAATAAAATAAAAACCAAGTATAATATGACAAAATATATTATTTTTAATAAAATAAATTCAATCAACTCAAACTATCTAGATTCAATTTCCACAAAAAAATTTCAAAGCAATAAATTAGACTATTCATGACTCATAAACAGAATATTTATTACAGTTTTTATGTTGATATAGACGATTTAAACGACCGCTCGTCTAACAAATTTGGATTAACATGTCTTAATTAATAATAGTAAAAATTACCTTCATGGTGGTACCAGGATCACCAGAAAAGAGGGCTCTGAGTTTTAACAGGAACTCGTTCAAATAAGGCAGAATCAGTTTTATTACCCAAATTGCTTCTTCCTCTCCCAATACATGATTTGTGCGATCAAAATTTATAACTCCCCTGATTATGAAGTTGAACCCCAGCAAAGAGAGTCAGATGGAATTTTATTCGTAAATTTCTGTCATCTATCATTTCTTCTTTTAGGTTATTACCTGCAGATGAAGGATCTGTAAAGGAAGATGACAGCGAGATGAGCAAGGCCAAGATAGGACATCACGGAAATAGAGCTGTAGAATCAACGATTAAAGTATGTCAGTTCTGGGCTCTGTTCTGAGACAACAGGAATATATGTAATCACAAGAAACATTAAAATAAATTTTGTGTACAGTGAACTTCTGTTTCTGACCTCACATTGATATCCTTTGGGTAAGAAGATGAGATTATGATGAACGTTCCAGTCCCAAAGACAAATGCTGATCTTGAGACCTCTCTCCACATGATTAAATCCACTGAGAAGTGAAAAATGCGTAGAATAATTGTCAGAAATTGAATGAAATTTTAACAAGTTCCAGTTCCATGGTTGTGAAATATAGATAGATCATCACCTAGACTCTGCAACCTGTTCTGGGTATGTGGAAGGCTATGGTGCTTCTCAGCCGTTGGAACTAATCAAGAGTAAGAATTAGTCAGCCTTGTAAGTGACAAGCACAGAAGCACCAAAAACAGATTGAAAGAACAAAAATGTATGTAAACCTGAAAGAACATACTTGAATGAGATTTGCTGAAACTGTTGTAAATTGTAGAATGCCTTTTAATTGGGGAAGATTGTCTCGCTGTACGAAGGATTGACACAGGCCTTTCATCATGTTGAAATCGCCTTTGGATCAGAACCTTCTTGTGTTGCGGTTCATTCACAGTCTTGAGCTCTGAAACATTGATTTCCTTCACATTCTCCTTCTCCATCTTCATCTCCTCATCTATTTCATCTCTTTCATCTGCTTCGTCGTCAATATCAGCAATAATGTCGCCATCAACTTTCACCGATAATTCAGGAGGATTTTTTACCACGCCTGCATTTACTGAACGGATTGAAATGCTCTTTTCTTGACACAAACCGAAATCCTTGCAAACCCCATTAGTCTTGTTCTTAGATTCATCTAGAACTTCGTCCGGTACTAATTTCGCCTTCCTGGGCACAATTGAATTCTCCGCATTTCCGTCACCTAGCCCATCGACATCCTCAACATTTTGATTAACAGATTCTGATTTCGACTTCTTCAGCTGCTTCGAATTTGTTTCCGGTTCCTCAGCGGATGTGGATCTTAGCTTTCTCATGAGAATGGGGCTTCCCTCGATTTTTTCCGCGGACGAAGAAATTTTCCTGGTAAGAATTGGGTTCTTCTTAATTCCATCTAAAGAAACACTAAGGCCCTTGCTCAGTTCATCGCAATTCTTGAGTGTCTCCGATGATCTTCGTCGAGCTACATGAATTAGATTCCTATCGAAACCCTCAGAGCTCTCCGATTTCCAGGTCTTCCTCTTCCCATTTGAGATTCTTCTCAATCTGCTCCTACCATCCCCTCCTTCTTCAGGACTTTCTTCTCCATTAAAGACCTTAACCCCCCTTTTACTTCGTCACTTTTCATCCTGCTCTCCACACCGACCCCGGCACCACACTACTTCTAGCCCCACCACCTCTTCTTCTCCCCACATCCATCTCTGTAACACTCTTCTCCTTCCCTCTCACTCCAATAACGATCAGTATTGTAATGGGACCAAGATGATGAACGGATATACGAAGCTTCCGGTAGAAGAAATGGCCGTACGTAGAGAGAGAAACAGAGAACCGTGTGGTAAGAGACAGCTCTGGTTTCACTTTCCTTCCTCTTTCAGTTAAGGTACCTGGTAATACAAAGAAGGCAAAAGCCAAGGAGGAGTTTGGGGGCTTGTTGGGTAGAATTGAATGATTGTAATGTTTAAAGAAGAAGCCTTTATTGAGGATTTTATAATCGGATTCCCTGATTCATCATTCCCATAGAGCATCTAATAGTCATAATGATCTCAGATTCACGGCTCGGCAGCGAAACAACACGAACACATTGAATAAAAAATACTAGTTTCAATAATTAATATAAAAACTTGTTTCACTTTAATTTTATTTTAAATATGATATCCTAATTCATTTTCTTTAATATTTATGTATTTTTTTTAAAGTAGTCTTTCTAATAATAGTAATTCTAACTAATATACTTGATTAGTAAAAATATTTTAGAAAAAACAACACATATTTATTATAATAACTAACTCAATTTCTTTCTTTAATCTTTTCAAATTAGTCAACTAGTTTTTATAATTATGATCGGAAGTAGTACAACATAATATTACCTCCAACCATTGCCTAATGTTTGGGACATTAAAAATTATTTTAAATTATTTATATTTTTTTCTTTTCTAACTTATGATTTTTTTAAATTTTTTTAATTAACTAATTGAGTTTCATGTCAAGAACCAAAAATAGTATTAGAGATTAGAAATGTGATATCTTTTGGGTCATTATGTCAAGGGAACACATTGTTTAAAAAAATATACAGTGATCAGGTTGGTGTGAAAGATGCAACCAGAGAGAGAATCACCGACAGATAAACAAACAAAACCTTTTCAAACAAAGGAAAAAACAAAACAAAACCCTAATTCTGGATTTTGCTAGTTTTCTTTATATCAGAGAAGTTATTAATTAAGAATCATTTAATTGAGAGGATATTTGGAAAATAATTTCAATGTGAGATAAACTTTAAGTAGTCTAACTGTTTTATTCTAGCAAAAAGCAGTCTGATTGTTGAAATGGAAAATCATAATTCATAATAAAATGACACCTCAATTTTAAAGGCACCAAATAATCACCTCAACAAAAGAAATTTTGAAATTTGACCAAATGACCATATCGCCCTCATATCATATATGCTTATTTTATGAAAATATTTTCAAAACGGATTCTTATTTATGTTATCAAACTTTATCAGTTATCAAACTTCATCGTCACCACCATTTCAACCATGATTTGTGAAATACAATGTAAGTAAGTACATATAAAGAGTTTTATTTCAAATTACTTAAATAAGGGCTTTTGGAGATTCCAAGCGGTTTATAAAAGAAACTAGCAAGCGGTTTCTCTCATGGAAGGGGAAAACGACGCTAATGAATGACAATCCAACATCCAATGGACCATTTGGAGAGTGATTTGTGCATTGTGAGGGAGGGATTTGCACTTCCAGTGAATACGCAACTTTAAGCACGCAGGCCTCAAATGGAAGTTCTTGTCTTATCATTATTTTACCTTTTTTATCAGAACTTTTTACCTACCCGGCTTATCATTTATTGTTATCAACATTGATTTTTTTTTTTCTATTTCCAAATTTTGCAAAATATTACTTGTGGCAAAATCTGGACTTCCTTGATGCCCTTTCAATTCTTTGACTATTATGTTTTAAAGCTTTTTTTTTTTTCTGGATTCAATTGAATGAAAAATCCAACTGCTTTGATGCCAATTATACAAATGATAGTACTTTGGCAATGTTCCATCCCCGTCGTGCAAACATCCACTTTAATTAAAAGTGGTCCCAAAAAGAACATTTATTTGACTCTTCAACAATGCTTCCTCACTTCATTAATTTATGATTACCACCTTTAAGTTACAAGTCCTTTAGGTGAAAGAGACATGCCTGTTTAATTAAGCTAGTTTAAGAGTGGCTTTTGATTAAACTCACATTTTGTTCAGAACTATGTCAAAACCAAGCATGTTAATAGTTCAGTTCAGATATGTTTTATAAATGTTTCTTTTAAATTAACGGGAAAAATTAATAGTTGAAGGTTATAAGTAGGATCAAACCCACGATGTTCCACTTAAAAGAGAACATCCATATTCCATACTACTAGGCTGCAAAGGCCTCTGGTGACATGACTTGTAAAGTTACATTGTTAAATTTGACTTATAAATATGTAAATTTAACTTGTAAATGTGGATATTTTGAAACCTCTCTGTATTTAATTTTCTTTACCTGCAATTTATGGATAATTTTCTCGATAAATATAAGTGGGTACACAAGAAATGTTTAATGGGGTAGACCTAAGTATTTTGTATATTTAGGTACTGAGTTCGTGTTTGGCATATTCTGCTGTTGTGAACCATTCATGGTGCCCCTCACATACCTCTCCCATAATTTAATTGACTGGAACACTTCATCACAATGCATCACCATCACAGCTTAATGGCACATAACAATGGCACTTCACGATCTTAAATTTTATAAATAATGTCGAAGGATCAAACTCTGGTTAAAAAAACAAAAAATCTAAGAACTAGATGGATTGAAACTACAGTAATTTTTTCAAAAATTGAAAGTTGAGTTATAAATATAGGAATTTTTTAATTTCCAACCATATGATTCATGATTTTTACAAAAGCTTTTAGATATTAGGTTTCAGATGACGCAGGAATCTTATGAAATTTGAGATTACATAATTACTATTCACAACATCATTTTTTCCTAAAATATATTTGTAACGGAGCTTCTTCTTTTTCTTTTTCTTTTTTAAAATATGGTGCCCCTAATTTTATTTTCTTTTATTAAAATAGAGTATCTTGGCCCTTCAGGTTACTCTCAAAAGAGACAACAGCGGTCATTATCTTAATACTGACAATGTTTTCTTAATTGCAGAGTTATCTATGCGCGATCTAACTGTTTACAAACTTCAAAGTGCAAAAATATTCTTAACATTTTTGGGGGGGGGGGGAGCCATTCCTTCATTAAGTTCATATTTAGGGTTTTAACAAGAGTACTGTACAGTCCTGCTACTGTTTATTACGTTCTGTCTTCATTTGATACCCTCTGCGCACAAAAAAGTAGCAAATGAATAGAGACGTTGGGGGGGAAAAAAAAAAAAGGGTAAATGAACATTGAACAGTGATGTAGGACAGTTTGAGCATACTATCATTACACGTTTTAGTTGGATTTATTTATCGGTTACTTATATTTACATATTGAGATCAGATCATAAACAATGAATCTATTATCACAATTAAAAGATTACTTATAAATCGTTTCAAACGGGCTTTTAACTTCTCTCTTCAATCCTCTATATATGTATTAAGTTTTTTTTAACTAATTTGTATAATTAAAAAATAGTTAACATACTTCAATTAATATATAGAGAATTTGTTCCAGTTTTTCAAGAACGTCCCTGCTATTTAATTCTTAGCATTTAATACACAAAAATAAAATATTTCAATGAACTGAGGTATTATAGGAAAGAAATAATTAGTACAGGAGACTAGAGAAAATTTAACCTTTTATTTAGGATGGTGCGGAAGTAAGCACTAGCATATATTAAGCTTATAAGCAATGGGTTTACCTTCTTAGGATGATATTCACAGTTCAGATTCAATGAATCCAAATCTACTCTCACGAAATAACACAACATAAATTCATAAAATGCGTTTGATTTTTTATTTTATTTTTTCATTATATCTCCCCCAAAATGACCAAAAATTTCATCTCATAGGGCATGCCTCTTCATTTTATAGATGACCAAAGATTTGAAGCACAAAATAATACAGCAGTAAAATATAACATTATAACAAGCCGTGAGTTCTATTTACAAAACTCACATATCAAATTTCATACAAAACAAAACAACCCATTTAGTTACAACCCAAAAAACTCATTATATACAAGTGAAAGCCTTGGCACTACCTCAGAAGAAGCAGAAAAAAGGGGTCAAACAAACAAAAAGAACGATGTAAAGCACAAGCAAGCTCTTTGTTTTTTAAACTTAGTTTGAATCATATTATTGGAGGCCTTGGAGTTTCCCATATATCAAACACATTCTCCTCACTGTGAAGAGCAAAAAGCCTATCCCCTCCAATGGACAAATCACATATAGAACCTCCATAGCCCCTTCTAAGCCTAGAAGTCAAAACCCAGTCAGAGCCACAGAACACAGAAATACAATCGTTCATAGAAGAGAAAAGCTGACCATTATGCAGAGCCAGTTTGGGATAACAAGGCTCTTCTGGCATCTTCCCTTTCATCAACCTACTTCTTGAACTCCACCTTATACCAGAAGCAACCCCAGAATTTCTCAAATCCATAAACCCTAAATCTTCATACTCATTCACAACACAGATTGAGTTGTTGTCCTCCATTGCTATCGCGTCTCGAACCCTTTTCTCGTCTCCGGCTAGAACTGGACCTCCCAGATCAGACCAACACCAAACCATGTTTTTGTCTCTGAAATCCAACAAGCTTATGTAACAGTTATCTTTTCTGGGAAACAGAGTAGAAACCAGTAAGCAGTTTCTCCCTTCTAGCCATTGAAGCTTGTCTGCTTCACCAAGTGACCACCCCAGAGGCTCATAGAAGAAATCAATTTGCTTCGCAGTGATCTGATCCCAAACACCGATGCCATATTCGTTGCTTCTTCCTTTGCAGCTAGAGAATATCTTGTAATCTGAACTGAAGCTCAATGCTCCTGCTGTGAAACTCTTCACTTCGTTCTCATGGCGAACTGGGAACTTATGCCTGATGATGTAGAATCAATGTAGTTTAAATATCAATTTGGTGAAGAATAAGAAGGTAACTAACAAAAGAGAAATCCAAATTTCTCATAATGTTACCTATACCAATATTAATTAATCATAAGAATGGATAAGCAAAACAATGGCCAGCAAGTTATAAGTAACATCGAATATACTTCTAACTTGGCTAAAACTCCTGAAACAATATATATAATCATCCAACATATTATCCAGACAATTCAAAATGAAACAGAATCTAGTCTCTAAATTGGAAGTATAAGACTGAACAAGTCAAAACTCAATTACGAAAAAACGAATATAGCCTGTGTGTTTACCTGAGCTCCCCCGTTGACGAACGGAAGAGACCCAATCCGCCGTCGCCACGGCCGAGCCGCTGACTGACGCCGATGACAACATGATCGGCGTCGGCCCACCCCACATCGTTGACCCTTTGGTAATCGAGGTTTAAAGGGGGATGTTCGTCGAGCATCCAATCGTAGACATGAACCATGCTTCCGTGAGCGACGCAGCAACCACCATCGGGGCCGCCGCGAATGGCGGTTCCGTCGCCGGGGGATTGACCCGTTATGGAGCGAGAAAGGGTCAATCTATTGCCATCAAAGGGACCCCATTTTGCAGTACGGACGTGGTCGAGAAGGCCGTAGTAGAGAGCCTCCCTATACAGGAGCTTCTCCGGGATGTTCACTGGAATGTAGAGCTCGCCGGATCGGAGGAGGTCGAGAAGAACGGCAAAGCAATCGGGGTTGCGATCGATGAAGTGCTCAGTGGAATTATCAGCGACCAAATTCCAGTTCTCGTCGAACATTGCCCCAAACATTGAATTACGCCCGGCATTGGCGAGGGTTGTGGCCGTCGTTTCGAAGATTCTTCCTCCGACATTGAATCTTACCCTGTCCTTCTGAATCCCCATGATCGAATTTCTTTAAGAAGAATAAGACAAATTTGAAAACCCCCGATGAGGTTCAGTAGCTAGAAACTCAATGGGGCAAAGGGTTAGTATAAACAAGCACAAAGCAGGAAACTTTGAAGGCGATACTTGCCGGAAAGTGGAAGAAAATAACGGGTTTGATCGAATAAATTAACGTTCGACTCGAAAGAATAAAAACCCGCAAATGCCGAAGGGATTGCAGGAATACGTGAGATTCGCAGGAGAGGTGGGATTTTTAAAATTTGTCGGACTTGGGTAAGTGGAATCAAAGGATTCAGAAGGGCTGCGATTCGAAATATAGTTGATTGGTTTCTGCTCACTCATCACAGCGAATTCTTTTGTTTTCCTTTTCCTCCTTCCGCGTCTTGCCAGACATACAGTTGACCATTCCATTACTAGCAATTACGAGTAAACTTTAGTACATTATTTTTAAAAATTCATCTAATGCATCGAAAAATACGTTCAATAATATGACATCACATATTTTCAGTTATCTTTTATCTACAGTTTATACTTTCTCTAGTGAATCCATAATGAAAAACATTTTCTACAAGCTAGGGTTGGTCCAAAATGTAGGGCATTTTGTAGTTTTAAGAAATATATTTCCATTTTTACCTCTGTGCTAGTTAATATGCGCTCAATAATTATCAATGAGAAATTGTGGGTATTAGTTGTGGACAATGATAAAACTGAAAAAATAAGTCAATTTTTTTATGAGAATTATGATGAAAAATTAAATTTTTTTAATATGTGTTATATCTGTTGGAAGTGTTCTATGTCATCAATCTGAAGAGGTACTAGGAACGAAGATGGAATGGTGGACCTTATAAGGATAAGGAGTAAAGGCAACTATTATTGATCAAAGGTTGGTGGCCAGCCAGCCATGGAATGGTCTGTTTTTCATATGATATTAGTGACAAATGAAGCATAAATCAACTTAGAGTAGACATAATACGAAGGTATTCTTGAACTCAAAGGAAAGATAGAAATCATGACGTTACTTTTTCTCAGTTGGTGTGGCCAAATGTATCACATCCAATCTTGTCATACTTGGAAACTTTATTGAACAACTCGTTGATGATGTTATCAAAACATGCAAAACCAAGAGACTTGCCTCTCCTGGTATCTGGGCTGCTATCATAAAATTATCCTTAGTTCAATAATTTCAAGAATCTACCAGAGAATCTTACAATTAATTTCTATAAATCCAGTATCTGCAATCTGTTTCTTGCTTCTAAGAGGAATGCGTGTGAAAAATGTCAGAACTAACAGAAACTTGGAGATGATTAGGTATATCGGTTAACAGTTTGGACATAAGATAAAACCTGGGAATATGTTAAAAGCACAAGTACATTTGTAACAGTTTTGTATGTGTTTTTGATACACCAAGGTGGAGCAATTAACAGTTTGGTATGGAGCCCTCGGCCTTGGAATTTAGGTAGTTGGTAACATGAATTTTCAAGAATGGTACTTAAAAAGAAAAAAGAAAAAAGCCAATCTCCAGTGGTAGAAGAAACGCTTAAGAGGGGTAGTGCTCAGAAGGCAGAAGATAATCACAGGGAACAAGAAGAGAAGCCACAAAGAGAAGGGAGTTTCTCAGTTAAGCACCAGTTTCCTAAAATGAAAGAGGATTCTCTCTAAGAGAAGAGGATCTAAGTTGAAAGAGAGAGATAAAAATTGTGGTAGACCTCGCGCATTAGTTGGGACTCATAAATCCCTTTCTTTTCCTTTCTGCACCTGAAATCTAGATCCACTTGAAGAGAACTAAAGTCGTCTTTCCTAAAATAAGCTAAGCTTATTTTTGCATTAGCTACCTTGTTATAGGAAGGTGGTGAATTTATGATCGGATACGGGGAACTTGGCCTTGTGCTTTCGTAATTCATTTTATTGAATGAGGTATCTCAGCTTTCGTTAGAAAAACAGGAGAAGCCTACACTTAGAAGGCTTGGACCTCCTTCTTGGGCCCCTCCAATCATTCCTAGCCCATATCCTCTCTCTCTCTCACAGACGCGCGCACACACAAAGGAGAATATGAAAATTAATGTGAATGCAAGTGTTCTCATAGCTTCAGCAGGAAAACAAGAAGAAGAAAAAGGTAGATTCAGTGCGGCATTTTCTTTCTCCAACTACATCACAATGCTTCATCAACTAATGTACACGCTGATAAAGGACTAGTTCTTGACGGGTGTGCCAACAGGTTATTAGATGGTATTACTACTATCTTTAATATAAGACTCAGTTGATCAATTTGAAAAGATTAGAAAAGTTAAACAGATTACTTTAAATTATTATATTTATTATCTTTCTTCAAATTAATTTTTCTCAACTTATAAACTGGCATATAATCTAATGATATACGTCATTGTTTTAAAAATATTATGTAATATATATTATAATAAAATAATTTTTTAAATTAATCAATTAGAATCTGAGTTAGTATACAGACAGCGACAACAACTCTTGAGAAAATGGACAAAGAAAGGGCTAGGGCTACATATATTGATAATGTTAGCATATAATTTGGTTGGCAAAAAAGAACATAAAATTTGACTTTATAACCAAGTAGCAGTATCATGGGCCATGGGGTTTCAATAGCCGTCAGTGCTGAAAAAAATTATGAATATGAGCCCAAGCACCTGACCCACTCGCCACTTACAGTCCCAAACAGACAAGCCAGGCAGGTCATCAATCACGGCAAAATCATGACTTTTTTTTTTTTAAAGTTGTGGGAAGTTATTTATTTGCATATGCTATATATTCGTAATAATATTGCTAAACAGTTAATACATTTATTGCATTTTAATTTATATATGTTGATGAAAAAAATACAGTAATAGGATTTAGGAATACGCACATCTATATGGTCCCATCTCAGATTCAGAAGCTTTTGATGCTAATAATTAATTTAACTTGTTTTTGAAGTATAAGTATGCTACCATGATTAGGAAAATTCATATTCATACTATATAGACACAAACACACACACAAAACGCAATATTGAAATTAAAGGGAGAAAAATAAAAGGAAACAAATATAAGTGGTGAATGAGAGTGGCTGTCATGATCATCAATACTACTACTAATTATGTCCATCTCACTCATTAATCCTCCTCTTAATTTACCTAAATCATTACCCTCTCTCAGCTTCATCTTCGTTTTTTTTTTTCAAACTCTCACATCTCTCTCTCTCTTTATGCACACAGTCTCTACAGTGTATGGTACAAGTCTCCATGCCTACTTTACAAGCATTAAAAAAAACTAATTAAAGATAATTTGACTAATCTTCCAAATATGAACCATTGGTGTTTAAGAAAAAGATGCGTGTAATGATCTAAATATATATATATATTTTTTAAAGTAGTATGAGACCCATTACTACAAAATGGGTCTTACATTTAGAATTGAAAAAGTAATTTATATTTTAAAGGGTTATAATTTTTAATACATTAAATTTGTTCTTATTTTGGTTTTGATCCCTCAAGCTTTTAATTATAGATTTTGATCTATCAGGTTTTCTTCCATCTAAAATATTAGTCATTGTAATTTAATAAAAATCTGGATCATTTTGTCTCAACAGACTAAATCTTATAGTTTGAAATTTGATGGACTAAAATCAAAATTTCTGCAAATTTAAATGACCGAAGATTATATTAATTATACTTTAAATCAGAAAAGCTATCATACTTATATTTAAAATCAGACGAAGTAATATCTATCTAAATATATCATAAATCATAAATTGATATACACACACATATGTATATATCTCATTTCAACCATCTCGATAAGATTATTGAATTGATTAATATTTTCATTTTGTTTTTGTATTGTTTAGGTGAAATATCACTTTTTTTTTGTTTTATACAATTTAAACCCGCGCACGTAAATTTGTCCATGTCAGATAATTTGCCGTGACACATTGACATTAGTTTGCTTCATGTATAAATTTGAGATGTATGAAACCATTACACACACACAGATATATATATATATATATATATATAAGTTTAATGAAGATGTCAATTTGCCATGTGCAAATCAAGTGGCCAGATTTGCTTAGTAAATGCTGTGTATATTGTAAACAAGAATACACAAACATACGTGAACAACATTTATGAATAATAATGTTTCATGTTGTGGATATGCTCTATTTTATCATCATTCTGCATTGAACAGCACTCATAACTTAACTTATAAAACATCCAATAATAAAAGCATTACATAGTTGTACTCAACAGACAAAGATACCGCTGTGGCATTTATGTCTTCGCAAATAATAACACTAACTGTTTTTTCTTCAAAAAAAAAAAAATTACATTCCAAGACACAATAATCAACTCAATCATCATTATTACAAGAAATTTTATTTCATTTTTTCCAATACAAAACGCAGAATTTTCTGGCTCCCCCATATACGAATTCTACATAATTCTTAGACAAAGAAAATGCTATTTGTTTTCATATATAACGCAAAGTTATAAATTTTACATGTCAATATATATATGACTTGGTTGAAAATTGTTGCTTTTATATATATATTTTGTTACATAAATATTGCTTAGAATAACCCAAATTATCAACTTAATTAACTGTCCACACACACACACACACAATTATAGATTATAGCATCTGGATGCAATTATGCATATCCAAATTTAATGATGAGCACATATGATCGCTTTGCATCTTATCAAAATCATTAGGATAAATAAAATGAAAATTTAAAAAAACAAAAAACGAAAGAAAATAACCGAAGAAGGCAGCTTAATGTTTTTTGGAAAAAAGAACTACATGAACTCCATCATATCATATATCTTTATTGTCTATCACTAGTATGGTTCAATCTTCATGCATGTTTCATGTAATATGGAGAAAAACATGTATTTTGTAAATTTTAAAGCGTGGTAACAGTTTTTTTTGAAAAAAATCCATAATAAATTTTTAAAAAATTGATATAAAAGTTTTTAATAAATAATTTTAAAAATTTTGCAATTTACTTTATAAAATCTGAACTGTCAGAAAAGAAAGGATGACCCCGCATGGTGGATTGATGAGCCAGAAATCCAGAATTATATGAATGATTAAGCATATCAAAAAAAGCAAAAGCATAAGAACTAGGACAGTTTACAAGTCAACAATTTATACAGTTTTCTACCAAACTCCTAGCTAACCCATTGAAATTATATAATCGTTTTTAGGACTGTTACAGTGAGCATTCAAGTAAACAAGTATAAAATATAGGTCCAAGTTTTTATCTTGGCAAAAAAAAAAAGGTCCTAGTTTTTAAATATTATTTTTTTTAACAAAACATGAGAGGTGTGTGTGTGTATATATATATATATATATATATATATAATCATACATCATGACATTTAGATTTTACGTTCTCCCCAAAGAAGATAATTAAATTCAAAGACATTCAACTACATACAAAATAAATTATGAATTTCTCAAGTGGAAAATTAACCTTACTTTCTGGCCAACTAGTGGAAAATGAACTAAAAGAAATAAAACAAAACAATGGGAAAGGAAAATGAGGTGTGAAAAGGAAAATGAAGTGTGAAAAGAAAATAGCTTTCATTAAAAAGCAAAAGTGAAAAAGGTGATAAGCACTTCCCTTCAGGCAAGAATTTCATCATTGAATTCCCCAACAAAGCTTTCGACAAAATTCACTGAGCTTGTTCCGGTGAGACTCCAGTTCAGTTCCTTTTAATTTATAAAGCTCTCGTCCAAATCCTTCAATCTGAGTATAAAGCTCTCATCCAAATCCTTCCATCTGAGTACTCTTTTTCCCTCTGGAAAAACTGTACTTGGCTTCGTTTCTTGTTCCTCTGGGAAAAACGTTTTTCTTTTCTTTAGCGTTTCACTATCTAGGCAAAACCATTCAATCAGACAAAGCTTGTTTCTTCGTCTTGAGCTTTTAGGGATTTGTGCAGATAGTCACATTTCTCTTGGAAAACTCGTTAAAAGCCCACAGCTTTTCTTGTTCTTCAGAATCGATTTCTTTTCCAGATAAAAAGTATTACTTATCTTGTCTCCTTCTGCTTCTATTCTTCTTCTTCTTCTTCTCTCTCCTTATCTCTGTAACTTTTAGCTCAGCGAGGCTTTTCTGTTTACTGGGTTCATGGAGCTTCATAATTTAATGCAGTAAAATTTTTGGCCTCTGTGTAATTTGAAACTATCCATTCTCCAAGATATGCTCACTCTGTTCTTGACCTTCTAAAAGGTGTGTTAAGAGTGCTCTTGGAGGTTTTGGGATCACTTTTCTTCATATTTCTCAGTTTCGGAAATTACCTCCAAATGGGCTTTGGGGCATTTGGTTCCATAGTACTTCTGACGTTTTTCTTTGAGCATTTGGCTTGCCAGCAACCAAATACTGATGGTTTCTTTGTGTCTGAGTTCTTGAAGAACATGAGTTTAGCAGCATCACCTTCCTCACAAGCCTTCAACTTCTCTGCTTCTGTTTGTTCATGGCCAGGCGTTTCCTGCGATGCAAATAAAGAACATGTTGTTGAGTTGAAAACTTCTGGTATGACACTCTCTGGGCCTATTCCTGATGACACCATTGGCAAGCTCAGCAAGCTACAAATTTTGGATCTTAGTAGCAACAAAATCACTGCTTTACCTTCTGATTTCTGGAGCTTAGGCTCTTTGAAGATTCTTAACCTCTCCTCCAATAAGATATCAGGTTCACTTGCCAGCAACTTTGGCAACTTTGGTCTCCTCGAAACCTTTGACTTGTCCAGCAACCATTTTTCTGGGGAAATTCCTGAAGCTATTAGCTCCCTTGTGAGTTTAAGGATCCTCAAACTTGACAAAAACAAGTTTGAGCAGAGCATACCTTCTGGGATTCTACAGTGTCGGTCTTTAGTTTCTATTGATCTTTCACTAAATCAGCTTAATGGCACTCTTCCTGAAGGTTTTGGAGCTGCTTTTCCAAAACTTGAAAGCTTGAACCTTGCAGGGAATAATCTTCGTGGTCATGATTCAGATTTTTCAGGATTGAAATCCATTTCTAGTATTAACATATCCGCAAATTCCTTTCAGGGTTCTTTTTTGGGCATGTTTCAGGAACGGTTGGAGGTAATTGACCTTAGCAGGAACCAGTTTGAGGGTCAGATTTCTCAGGTAAAGTTCAAGTACAATTGGTCTCATTTGATTTATCTGGATTTGTCTGAGAATAGGCTTAGTGGGGAAATTTTCCAGTATCTGAATGAAGCCCAGAATCTTAAACACCTGAATCTGGCTCACAATAGGTTTACAAGTCAGAAATTTCCGCAAATTGAAAACCTCTCAAGATTGGAATATCTGAACTTGTCCAAAGCTAATCTGCATGGCCACATTCCTGCTGAAATATCACGGCTGAGTAATTTGACTTCACTTGATATTTCGTTGAATTATCTTACTGGGGCAATTCCGTTTCTAAGAAGTGAAAACCTCCAAGTTCTTGACCTTTCATACAACAATTTGAGTGGAGAAATCCCTCAAACTGTGTTGGAGAAACTCCCATCAATGGAGAAATACAACTTCTCTTATAATAACTTAACCTTCTGTTCTTTGGGAATCAACCCCAGTATCCTGCAAACAGCATTCTATGGATCATCAGACAATTGCCCAATTGCTGCAAATCCGAAGCTTTTCAAAAGAACCAATGAACGCAGGGGAATGAAGTTAGCTCTGGCATTGACCCTCTCAATGGTCTGCTTGCTTTCTGGTCTTCTATTTCTAGCGTTTGGTTGCAGAAGGAAAACAAAATCATGGGCGACTAAGCAAACTTCCTACAAAGAAGAGCAGAACATTTCAGGTCCCTTCTCGTTCCAGACTGATTCAACTACCTGGGTGGCTGATGTCAAGCAAGCAAACTCAGTCCCAGTAGTAATATTTGAGAAGCCATTACTCAACATTACATTTGCGGATCTCTTGTACTCAACTTCAAATTTTGATCGGGGTACCCTCTTGGCTGAAGGCAAGTTCGGGCCTGTTTACCGAGGTTTTCTGCCCAGTGGCATTCATGTGGCAGTTAAAGTTTTGGTTGTTGGGTCTACATTGACGGATCAAGAAGCTGCTAAGGAGCTTGAGTATCTCGGTCGAATCAAGCACCCCAATCTTGTTCCCCTAACTGGATATTGCTTTGCTGGGGATCAAAGAATTATCATATATGATTACATGGAGAATGGGAACTTGCAAAACTTTCTTCATGACTTGCCACTTGGGGTACAGAGGACTGATGATTGGAGCACAGACACATGGGAAGAAGGAGATGACATGAATGGAATTCACAATGCCAGCTCTGAGGGATTGTCACTCTCATCCTGGCGGTTTCGACACAAAATTGCCCTTGGTACTGCTCGAGCATTGGCATTTCTTCACCATGGCTGCTACCCTCCAATTATTCACAGGGACGTTAAAGCTAGCAGTGTCTACTTGGACTATAACTTGGAACCAAGGTTGTCAGATTTTGGGCTGGCCAAGATTTTTGGAAGCAGCTTGAATGAGGAGATGGCTCGAAGCTCTCCCGGCTATGTTCCACCTGAGTTTTGTCAACCTGAAGATGACCTCCCAACACCAAAATCTGATGTTTACTGTTATGGGGTTGTTCTCTTTGAGCTAATAACAGGCAAAAAACCAGTTGGAGATGATTATCCTGAGGAGAAAGAGGGGACTTTGGTGAGTTGGGTCAGAGCACTAGTAAGAAAGAACCTAGCTTCAAGAGCTATTGATCCAAAAATTAATGATAGAGGAATTGATGATCAAATTGAAGAAGCCCTTAAGATTGGTTATCTCTGTACTGCTGATCTTCCCTCTAAGCGACCTAGCATGCAGCAGATAGTGGGACTTTTGAAAGATATTGAGCCTGCTGCTTAGTAGTGAAGGGGGGAAATCACAAAGAATTTAGTCTCTTTCTTTTTATCTTCACTCCCTTTGAATTTGCTACCATGGGGTTGTTTCAAATGTTTGTTTGTTTCTTCTTCCTTTCTTTTTTTGGCTTCCATGCTTAGTTGGGGAAGAAAGCTTGGAGGAATATACACACCTGAACTTGATCTTTGAATCTTTTTCTGCTTGTTTTCTTCATTATGTATATTATCTTTGGTGTTCTTGAAAGATGCATGTTCCACTAATTTAATCCTCAGAACAGAAGTTTTATCATTCCACTTCAAAATTCATAAAAACCCATCCGACACTGAAAGAAAAAATTCTTAAAAACCCATCAATTATAATACTGATATAAAATATGTTCACAATCGTTGTTTTTATATACTTTTGGAGTCAATTTGGCAACTATCCTGGATTGATTAAACTGACGAAACTTTGCATCTGAGAGGGAACCGAGTATTACATGAGCCACTTTAATCCTCCTGCTCTTTTTTCCTTGTGTCACCAAATAAAACAAATGGCACTGAAGCCAATTTTGCATTAATTTTTTTTTATTATCTTATGTGATATCCGGTTGGATTTGATTCTATAGTCCTTGAGCCCCAACTAGTAAGTTGAATTTGGCTTTATGTACCTATTAATTAAGACAAAATTTATTTGAAATCTATGCCTGTAATCTAGTTTTCTTCAAGGAACACAGCATGTGATCCTTCTAACAACTCGGCATCACATCATGTGACGTTGTGGGCTATTAGAAAACAAATTTCTTCTCCGCGTTTGAAGACTTCTGTTACAAATCTGATGATAATAAACACTTAAGAATTCTTCCAACTTGTTCACTTTCCACAAAACAAACTGAAGGGAGCAATTTGAGTGACTGTTAGTGCATCATTTCCATTCAACTTTTCTTCATTGCAGGGACCACTTGCAGTGTCTAGAAGAAGAAAGTGAAACGTGCATGGACCACTATTTCTGGACTATTTAACTATAATAAAGCGGAATTCAATGAGGCCCATTTTTCACACAACTGCATGTTCATCTTTCGTTGTGCGTTTTTGTTAGTATTTCAATTAATATTATAATTATGTGGTTATATAAGAAAAAATAAAATTCGGAATGATTATATAAAAGGAAGAGTAGACACAAGGTGAGCAAAACTGAATTGCAACAAAAAACAGAACGAATCGAATTTAATTTCAATTTTTCAGTTCGGTTATTTCGGTTTTCAATTACATATGTGATTTTTATTTTTTAACAATTCGGTTCGGTTAGTAGAAAAAATTCAGTTATAACTTAAAAACTGAAATAAATATATATGTAGGTATATGTAAACTCTTTAAATATATTTATATTCAACAAATATGGTTATAATAAATACTATTATAATAAAGGAAAAATCTCAAAAAAATAATTGTTGAATTTTAAAATTCTAAATCAATATTGATTACCACACTCGTAAAGAAAATGACTACATTTGAAAAGCAAATGATAACACATTTTTGTAGCAATTCCTAATTTAGAATTTTGAAGTTTAACAGTTATTTTTTGAGATTTTTCCTATAATAAATCACATTAAATGATGAAACATTTATTAATTAATGGTTGTAATTGTGTTTTATTATTATTTTTAATTTAAAAATCACTTTTCATATTCATATATTTCAATTAATCGATTAATCAAACCAAGATATTTTGGTTAATACGATTTCGATTAGTTTGATTAATCGGTGTTAGTTTGATATTTAAAATTCACTCTATTCAGTTATTCGGTTAATTTGGTTATCACCGAAAACCTAATCGAAAAATCAGATGCTCACCCTTGAGTAGACATGGCACTGGTTGAAGGAAAAATGGTAAAAAAAATCATTTAAGGTAGCTCGGATGTGTCAAAAGAAAGCACTTAAAAGCCTTGATGAAGTTATTGAATGGAACATTTTGATTAGCAATCTATTTAAAGATTTGATTGTTGGTAAAGCACAGTGATGCCACATGATTCATGCAGCCAATTCCACTTAATAAAACAAGACTAGTTGATACTGTTATTCTAATATTTCAGGTAATAATAAATTGAATGAGTCTCACTTCTTATTGAAACTATATTAATTTAAAACATGAGTAGCAAATTTTCTTCTGAAGTAAAAGATAGAGGCATGTTCATGAATCATAATGATGCTGGAATGGAGTGTGAATCACACACACACACGAGATATATATATATATATATATATATATATATATAATTTTTAACATGCGAAGCATGATGATGATTGCAAGCTTCAAGTTGAAATTATAGTGAGAGGCCGGATTCATTGTTGAGTGGAAAATTCATGAGCAAGAGAGGACTGATAAGTGCACTAAGGACAATTTATGAGCTTGCAGAGTTTGTTTTTATTTCTTAAGCTATTAAAAGAGTAATATGCGTGATATGGAAATTTCTAATCCACTATTGAATTGCGTGATGAAGCAATGGATTCAGAACCATTAGAGTGCAAAATGTTGACTAATTCTGCCATGACTGGACCGCATTATCACACACACACACATATACATATACATATACATATACTCCTCCAGTCCTTAATATAGGACATATTTAACTAATTTGATTAGATTAAGGAAGTTAGGTAAGTTAGTTAATTATAAAAAATGTGACACGTTTTTCCTAAAATATCATAATCATCTTTCTTAATACCCCCTCCTCTTCTACTTGATTATGGTTGAGGAAGTATTCATATGAGTAATTTACAAAAAACTGATAAATATGAAAAATGGGTCTTATATTTAGGACCAAACCAATTTAATAATTAGATCCTATATTAAGGATCGGAGGAGTATCTTCATAATTCACGTGCAACCAAATCTTCAAGTTCCATTCTTTAGATTTTCTTTTCTGAAGCAGCATTCTCAAAGTGCATTAAAAAAGTGAAACAATCTAAAATTTTTCTGAGATACTCGTAAGACATTTTTATGGGAGGCTCCACTTGCATTTACTATTAGCATGCAAATAACCCATCATGGTATCACTGTGCTCTTGAATTGAACTTTTTCCCGTTAATATTTTTATGCATTTTTTTGGGCCTTGAATTAATATATTTATGCATTAGAACTTGGAAACAGGTGTTTATCTCATAATTATACTCATTGTTTCTTTCTTCTTCTTCATCTTTTCATCGCTTTCATAATCCACTATCTACATTTATTTCCATGAATGTGAAAAATCTGAATTGCTATATTTTCTGGGTTTCACAATAAATGTAGGCAGGATCGAAATTCTCTCTTTAGTTTATGTTGTACCAATTTTTATTATATAGATTACACTGATCTTTTTAAATGTGCTCTCATAATAAAATTGTCATTTAAGCAACAACTTGATTGATGCGCGTTATTAAAGCGTCTATGGAGCATGAGAGACTTTTTTCTTGGAATGAGACAAAATGATATATAAAAAGATGCTTAAAGGTTACGATGAGATATTAAGCAGATAAACTGCATCCTTGCTATGGATATATAGCTTTAACCTTCTCAATGCAGTTGCAAAGTTGGTCCTGGCACTATCAATCTCGTGCACCCAGAAAAGATAACTGATTTCTCATCTTGCTTTATCTTTTTTTTTTTTTAAAAGAACTATTTAAAGTAATCTATCTGCTTAATTTCTTAGTCTAGTAAATTCGATTTAGATAATTAATAAATATCTAGAAGGATTTCATCTCTTATATGGGGAGAATCACAATAAATATGACCCTCAAGGAAATGTCCAGATCATACCAGGAATTTGAATTAAGACATTGAATCTTTTAAGAGTGGACCGTTTTTTTATTAAATTCATACAAAGACAGAAAGGACAAACAAATATATACAATATTCAACTTGAATTTTAAAAGTGGACCACCTTCAATCCTTGGGAAACTCTGTTCTCCATTCCTCTTAGATGAAAATGAAAAATACATTCAATCTAAGACATAATTATAAATTGCAATATATTACAAATTTAGCAACGAGTCTTATCTCGAATGTTAAATCTTCACACATGCGTGCGTGTGCACAAAGATTAGAGCTGGATCTGCATCAATAGAGAGACATGAAAAAGGAATTATTATTGAACAGAACAGATTTACATTTAGCATGCCTACATGTTTCTTAATTTTATGATATGAATTTACTTGAGAGCCTCTGGAGGATAGAGGAGAGTAAAATCTAGGAACATGTCACGCTGATTTCTCAGACATAGAACTTCCATATATATATGAGCCGAATCCCCAGAAGGTGATAACTAGAGAGAGGATCTTGAAACCACTCATTGGATCATGCAACAGTATAACAGCGGCAATGCTTGTGATGGGTGTTCTTATTGCATTAAGCACACCAGCTAGCACAGTAGAAGCTAAGAAAAGCACAGCAGTACCACCTAGCACTCCCAACTGAAAAGTGATCGCGCTCCAAATGAGAACGAGATAATACGCGGTTTTACCGCCTTTAAAAGATCTTGCTTCTGTTGCCATCTCTTGAAAATCACCATTCACTATGACCCCAATAGTGGTAAACACAAAGGCAAATAGAGAGACCATGACTTGCTGCTCTAGCACAACATGGAAGGATCTTCTCTGCAGTAACTTGATAAAGACCAGTTCTGAGAGTGCGAAAATGAGCCCATGAAGAGCAGATCCCAGAATGTCCCAAATGAATCCCATGATGTATTGGCTGTCGGTGATGTTACCATATCGGTCTGAACTTGAATCCAAGGCTATGATGGTCATTCCAGCAGTTATAACCACAACGGCATTTATGATTGAGGCATTGAGCTTGTTCTTCACAAGAACATAGCCAAAAAGTACAGAAAACACAAGGGATGATGATGCTACAAGCGAAGCTGTAGATGCAGGGAGGTATGCATAGGCATAAGCATACATGAGGTTATCAGCAGCACTTAAGAATCCCAGCAAAGTGTAAGACAGAGTGAGTTTGAAGTTCAGAGGAGTAGGGAAAGTTTTGCAGGCAAAGTATGTAGGGAATAACATTAAAGCAGTTAATGGCCATCCTGCAACAGCAACCCAAGAAATGATCCACTTACTCTTGCCGCCATTGGAGTAATAAACACGAGACAGAATGCTGGAAGCGGGAAATGCTATGAGCATCGCTAAGATGCTGAGAACAAGAAGAATCCAATAAGTAATTGGCTTTTTCTTGTATGCTTCCACAGTCTGGGTTTTAAACAAGCATAATTGGCTCCACAGAGAAGTGGCAGGAATGGTTGGCTCGTCCTCCATAGATTCTGCTGATAGGATCAAAGATTATCAGGAACAACAGAGTATAACAATAGCTCAGGAGTCAGGACACCATTATAAAGAAATGAACACGGCTGTTATACTTTGAACAAAAGCAAATTTTTCCATGAATGAGAAGTCAACAAAGACAGCTACATAAATACAGCCATAAAACAAGAAGCTTGAAATATATAAATACATTTGGTTTAGATGAGGTTAAAACACGTGCAATTTCCAAACAGCAAGGCGTATAGGGAAAGTGGACTCTTTGCATTGAGCTGTTATGTATTAATTGAGCTATGGTGATGTAAGAATCAAATTTCCAGACTACATCCCTGGACTGTGCCGTACAGGTGAATTCAAGCGTGCTTTAATTCTCAAACCTAACTGATATAGAAGCCAGCCCAAGATGAGAAAATTTAACATCACTCATTTATGACAGAAGAAAACCAAAAATTGAACCCCAAAGTAGAAGCATGTATTGCCTGTTTCATGTTCTCTATTTTCATCCAAGCTTTTTGTTCGAAATACCCAAATAATTGTACAAAATGAATTCAAATTCATACATGTGTCCGAAAAGATCAATCAAATACAGCAAGATAGTTTTCTAGGATTTAGATAACCCAATAAATACTGCATCTACATATTATTTCCATTGGACCCTCGTTTACACGATGAGACAATAAAGAAGTGATATCAAACCTCAACCGATAAATAATTCAGGCTTCCCAGTATAATCCAATAGTTAATCATTTCCAAGGGATTCAAGGGCATAAGTGCCCCAGATTGTCGGTAAATTATCTCTATTTTCCCGGGTTACTTAAAAAACCAGGACCAGTGAAGTGCAGACATAAACCTTTTCCAAACAACACAACAATATCCAGAGTCTGCAACACTTCATCCCAACTTCATAAATAAAAATCAGGAAACACAATCAAAATGTACAAACAGGGAAATTTTCCCACTCCTAAAAGCAAGGAATTTTTTAACGCTAGAAATGACTAAAGTAACTACAAAAAGTAACACCAGAGAAGAAAGTAGAGGGAAGATACCTGATTCCAGTAAGGGTCGCTGAATGACGACGGCCATCACCGAAACAGGGGTTTTTCAATTCGTGGTAGGAAACATCACCCTGTTGACGCGTCTGGGTATCATTTTTTTCCTTTTTGAATTCAGAATTAAAATTATAGAATATGTTCAGCTGATTGTTACAGCATCTCTGTTTTCATCGGCGAGGATTATGGTGGGGGAAGTGGATGAAAGAAGACGAGTGGATCAGGGACGGGAGTGATTAGTAAGCGCTTACGCTCGATGAATAATTTAATGGCATCCACCACAAATTTTCGCTCCGATTTGATTTACCTTTATCGATCAATAATTCAATGACAACAACGTTTTTGAGTCAGGCAAAAGAAAGAAAGAAATCACCCCCAAGATTACGTTTTTCTTGGCGACCCAAAATTAGGGTTGGATTTTGTCGCATGCTTAATTTTCATTTGGATTTTAGTACATTATGATCTTTTTAATTCTTCAATTTCTATAAAGACGACTTCGTCTACTTCTTTTTTTTTTTTTTTAATAAAAATTTCCTTTGTTTTGACTTTTGGCTTTTATATTTTGGACAAAATCTTTTAACAAAATATATTGACAAGACAATTGCTATTTTTCAAAATTTAAAGTTGCCCAGTTTCTTGCAATTTATTATGTGTAAATAATTTTTATATTTTTTTAATGGCAAAAAATTAATTTAAGATTTTATGTGACCTATTTACGGCTAGCATGTCAATTTTGAATACAAATAATTTGTAAGTAATTCCAAAAATGACAAAATAAGTTTTGAATTTTAAGACACTAGACCTATATTAATAAAATCAAGAATTCAACTCACTTAGTCTCTCTCTCTCTCTCTCTCTCTCTCTCTGTCGGTTAGCAAACTGTAATCATTTAGAGATTATTTGATTATTAGGCTGTGTGGGTGAAGCAATTTTTTCTTAAATACTAATATCTGTAAATTATAGTTTTAAAAAAATCCAGGAATTTAAACAAATTGACCCTTGTGGGTCCCTGTACATGTAGATTCGCTCAATTTTGTCAACTGTCAACAATGCTATGAATAATTTAGGCTCCACGTCACAAACAAAAACATATATGCCGACATGTCCCACTCATTTTCCACGAGATATCTACAGTTTGTATCTAATTACAGAGAGTATATTTCTAACTTCTAAGGACGGAACTTAGGGCCAGTTAACAAGGTCAAGTTAATTCAGTTAACCAATTAGCTTTTGCCACCTATATTAATTTGTATTTAATTGCAGAGCGTATATTTCTAAGGACTATCTTGACCTTTTCAGAAGGCTGCGGCTTCAATTAGGAAGAAAGTGGTCCCGTTAACCGTCACCACATGCTTTGGTGGTGGCCAGGGGAGTGAGACAGGAAGTAGAAGCAAACCAAGACGGGAGAGAGACCAACCATAAGTATGAAGACAAATGGGCTGATGAATGATGATTGATGAATCCTCATCCCCTCCTGTTGTCGGCAAGTGTTCCCTTTCAATCCCAAGATATTATGGCGTTAAATGTAAATTAAAATTAAAATTAACTAGTCCCCTCTATATCAACGATGCTCATTGGTGATCTTACCCAAAAAAAAAAAAAAGCTCATTGGTGAACATGTTAACTTAGCAGATTATTGGGTTGTGTAAAAATTTGTTGTTTTGAAATCTGTGAGCGTACATAGATTGGGTGGAAATTAATTAATTAGGGTTTGGGGAGGAACCTGAGGGGAAAAAGTGGGGAAAGCATAGGAGACACCAGCACTAAATGTGAATACCTCGCTTAATAAAAATTTAAACATTAATTCATTATATTGTGAAAAGCTAATTTATTTTACTAGACCCAATTCTTGTCGGTTGAGATTTGAGGAGAGGAATGCCTCTCATAAGGCAAAATGAGGAAGGTAGGTTGCGCCCATTATTTGAATGGACCAATGCATACACTTCTCTTAATAAAAATTTAAATACTAATTCATCGTGTTATCAGAGACTAATTTATTTTGCTTGTTAGTTGAGGTTTTGGAGGGAGAGATAGGCAGGCCCCTTATTTGAATGGGCTAGCTTTTTGAGTATTGGTTGACTCTTTTATGTTCTTTTTAAGGTCTTTGAAGGTTGGAGGTAGGAAAAGATATGAGAGGAGGCATTTGTCCATATATATTAAATAAATCATTTGTTAAGGTAATTCTATAATATAAAAATATTATAAGTTAATTATTACTTACATTTAAAAATTATACAATATTTAAAAAAAAATCTCTAAAACAATGAAAGCAAAATTGTATATTTTAGATATTTTTTTTCAAAGGAACATATAAAAGTTCATATATCCTTTTTTTTTTTGGGTGAGGTACGTGGAGTGTAGTTCATGACAATAAAGTCTAATCTCTCCGGGGTCTCGAGTTAAATTGATATATATATATATATATATATATATATAAGAATTAAAATTTGATTCCAACTACTTGTTTAAGTAATGAGAGTTTTAACTATATTGTTACGAATGTCTCTTCATTTCCTTTAGAAATGATTTTATTTTATCAGACATACTAACTGTAAATTAGCCAACAAAAAGTTTATTCAAGTTAGTTCATAACTCATAAAATTATAAGTTCACACTATCTGTTGTTTTTAATAAAAGACTTAATTGGCTAATTTGAAGAAATTAAAAAAAAATAATTAAGTTAGTTATTTGTAATAAATAAGTGTTGTTTTTTTTCCTAGAATATCCTTGTTAATTACTACCTCCGGTCCTAATTATAAGGCTAGTTAACTAATTTGAGGAGATTAAAGAAAGAAGTTAAGTTAGTTATTTGTAATAAATAGATGTTGTTTTTTCCAAAATATCCTTACTAATCAAATGTATTGGTTAAAACTGCCATTGTTAGAAGGACTACTTTGGGAAAAAAATGCATAAATTTGAGAGACAAAGTGGATTGAGATCTTATATCTATGATCAAAATAAAAGTTAAATAAGGTCTTATATTAAAGACCGGATGTAGTATATGTATTAGCTAAAACTACTATTTGATGAAAATTTTAACATTTGCAACTACTACAATGACTATCTTAAAAAAATGAATAAATATGAAAGACAAAGTGAATTGAGAGTCTTATATTTAGAATCAAATTAAAAGTTAAACTAATTTTTATATTAAAGACCGAATATAATATCTTGTTACTGATATGAAAACCTAGTTAATAACGAATTTGTAAGTACTCTTATGAATGCTTTCAAACCTAAAAGAATACCCTGATGCCTGGGAGCCTCTAACTTCTGACTTTTAAGATTCAAGTTATCTAAATTTTTACTGTACAAAAAAAACCCTTTAAAATGGAGAGCCACTCCAATTTTTTTTTTGTTTTTTGTTTTTTTTTTGGGGAGGGGGGGATGATGACGAGGCGCCTTGCCAAGAAGCCTTGTTACTAAAGTTATCTACATTGGCCCAGAAAAGAAAGTGCTTCTCATTTCATATTCCAACGACTTTAATGAATTGGTCCAACAAGAATCCATTTGAAAAAAGACACACTTCTCTCACTGTGCGTGAGTCAAACTTCCGTCAACTCACATCATCCGCAACCCGCGAAACAAATCGTTAAACTTGACGGCCAAATTGACGATGACCGTTACTTTGGGGTTCCATTTAACTATTCAACCAAGCTCTGTGAGAGTCAATGGCAGTCAAAGAGACTTAGAGAGAGTCACGTTCCACAGCACCACAACACAGAGACCAACCTTAGTCTCTCGTTGCTTCCAAGCAAAAACCATGCCGCTTCAGAGTCATGCATCCGACCCTATAAAAAGGCTTTCCTCTCTCTTCCGAACCATCCCCTATGCGGCCATGCCTGAGCATCACGCTCTCCGGCCGCCTCCAATTCGAACCCTTGATCGTCCTGCTCAACCAGAGGATAAACGAGACGGTCGTGATAAAAATGAAGGGCAGCATGATGATGACGACGACGATGATGAGGAGAAGAAGCACCGGGAACGAGTCTGTGAAGAACCGTCTAGCGAGTTACGGAATTGTAAACCTACGGATGAGGAGGCAGAGCCGCAAGAATCTGCTTCAGAAACCCTAGCTACTCCCTCTTCGGTTGAAACGGTGGTGGCCAGTAAGAGTGCTGGTAAGCTTCATTTTTAACTGGCGCTTTAAAGTCTTTCCTTTTGTCGTGCTTTCATGTCTTATTTTTTAAAGATAGTGAAATGTGAGGGATGTGCCACAGATTTGCAAGCCAGCTCTAGTACGCGGATTGATGGCAGAGATGAAAGTAAGGTTAGAGCAATTACCTCTGTGATCATCTAATTTTGGCTTTGTTGTCAACTCTTCTCCTTCCTGTGGTTTACGAGCTACACTACACTGTCTTGAACTTTAAAATTGGCATCTAAATCACTTTATCCGTGGATGGTCACGGTGTGGTGAAATGGTTTACATATCGGATGATAAATTAAAATTATTATCACTGAAAGTAACTTTCTATAGTCATTGTAAATTGTCACACTTGGGAAGCCGAAGTTTATGAGAAATTAGTCATTTGGTTGCTTTGTTGATGATATCCATGTCCATCGTTATCCAAGGAAGCATCTGTAGTCAGTTTGCATCATTATAAGGCACGTCCATATAACCTACTTGTATCTGGTTTCTTGAGCTCTGAAATAGACCAGTTTATGAATTAACATCCTCTCTCAGGAGCCAAATGGGCCTTCAAAGATGGAAATTATTGTAAGAGAAACAGTTCAGGGAGCTTGTAATCAGACAGAAGATCGACTTGCGGTGTCTGTATATCCAACTCCGTTGTCCGTGCTATCACCATCTTTTGTTACACAACCTTTATCATCTGTTCCTAGTTCAACTGTATCAGAACAAATACCATCTCCTCAGAATGCTAATAATGGGCACACGCCGGGAACAGGCAAGAAAAATTCTTCTGGTGGTAAAGCTCTTTCTGCTGTTAATGTTGCAAGGGCATCTGCATCTGACGGATACAACTGGCGCAAGTATGGTCAGAAGCAAGTGAAGAGTCCAACTGGTTTTCGAAGCTATTACAGGTGTACTCATTCAGGGTGTAGTGCAAAGAAGATTGAATTTTGCGATCAGTCAGGGCATATGATAGAGATCATTTATAAAGGTCAACACAGCCATGAGCCACTACGGAAGACTAACACCACTGGGGAAATTAAGTTCATGCCATCTCGTGAACCTACAGTAGAAGCCAATCTTCCGGAACAGACCATTGGAGGGCTTAAGGATGCAGATCCAACCTCTTCTACAAAAGAAAGTCTACAACATTTACCGTGCAGTGCTGATAAGAAACGGCAAAATTCATCTGGTCTTAGTGAGAATGGTAAAGTTATTCTGAAGGTGGAGCATGTTGATGAACCAGAGCTGAAAAGAAGGCAAGTTTTTTCTTTAGAAGTAAAAAGCTATTTTTCAAATCTTGTCGTGAAAGATTTATTAGCATTTGATCTGATGTTCTTCTTTAATTTGATTAGCAGAGTGAAGAATGGTGACTTAACAAACTTGGACTCGCATGTGGGACCTGGAAAGAAATCTAAGTTTGTTGTACATGCAGCAGGGGATGTTGGGATATCAGGTGATGGATACCGATGGCGCAAGTATGGACAGAAAATGGTCAGAGGAAATTCCCATCCCAGGTGCATGCCAACATTTTTATGCCTTCCCTTTTTGTTTTGTCTTTATTTTCTTCTTTCACATATTTCATGTTTTCATACCTTTGATATCACTAATTTTACCTAATCTAATGGTGCTTAATATAACTATTTATATGAAATATAAAATTAGATAAACAGTTGCAGGATGCATTTATATGATTTTAAGTAGTTTTAAGAATGATAAACATACCTGCAAGTATCTTTGAGAATGTCAAACCAATGGCCTGTCTCTTTCCCTGACTTATAAAATGTATTTATTATTATTTTTTATTTCTCGGTAGTTTGTTTCCTTTTGGTGTATGTTTTGGGGGAGGTGGGTTGGGAACATTAAACCAGTATTTTAAAGCTAAAAGCACCTGCATTATATTTCCTTGTTTGGGATTGCTTAGGCGACAGCTCTCATAGTTATATTCATCTATTTTAAAGCTAAAAGTACCTGTATTATATTTCCTTGTTTGGGATTGCTTAGGCGACAACTCTCATAGTTATATTCATCAATTGACGATAAAGACACAGATATTTTGAGTGTCAAATTTAATATCAAGATGCAAGTATTCTCATTTACACTCTATTATGCCAGAAGCAGAAGCTCCAAATCATAGGTTTACTAAATAGCTGAAAAACCTCCTATGCTATGATTTGTTATTAAACAATTTTTTGGAATTACCCTTTCAGCATTCTAATGCCTGTCTAGTAACCCTACATTATTCACCAAGACAAGCCGAACATTCTTGGACAAACCAAGTCCACATGTCTTTTTTGGGTTGAAAGCTAGAAAGTCCTCTTGTAGAATCAGTCATTGAGCAAGGAAGCCAAAGAACCAAGGTCATTTGCAACCACTGCTGTGAATTGAGTATGGCAATGAATAGTGCAACCCCGGAAGTCTCCATGCTGCTGTGGCATCATTCTTGTGGCTTGTAGATGCGTTTTCACTGTGCAGCTGTGTTAGGCATCAGCAAGTTTAAGAAGTTTGGAGTGTGGAACATATATGGCCTTATATTAAACAAAGGAACCTGGCTGCCAAAAATCAATTATTTTTATAAGCTTTTCTGCATGCTTAGGTTACGTTTTCCACCTTTTCAATGATTATTTGGATCCTGTAGTCGGAATAATGGGAGGATGATCCCTTTTAACACAGGGAGAGATACAATATTTTTAATCTTCTGGAGTCAAAGTTGTGTTGTTGGTGGTGGTGTGGTCCATTCCTTTCTGCTTTGCTGAGTGGAGCTTCTACCTAGTTGTCATGAGAGAAGGAGTACCACCTAGTTGTCATGAGAGAAGGAATACACTAAGATCCCGTTTAGGATGAAATATTGAGAATAAGAGGTGAGGATGGGAATTGAGATTGTGAAAACCCATTAAAAGAGCATTTACTATTGGTGATTGCTTGCTACTTGGGATTGAGCAAACCCATGTATGGGATTGGAGAATATCATCCCACCACGGTATTCTCCAATCCCAAGTAGCATGTAATCTCTTACATTAAACACTCTTTTAATGGGTTTGTAGTATTCTCCAATCCCAAGTGGTAAGCAATCTCTCAAATTAAACACTTGTTTAATGGGTTTTCACAATCCCAATTCTCATCCTTGCCTATAATTTTCAATGCTTCATACCAAATGGGATCAAGTGTTGAAGCAACAATGATCGAAACTGATGTTTTCTTCAAGCAGTAGATGCTTTTATTCTGTTATTTGCTTCATTGCCTTCAAAATCCCCACCCTGTTTATTTCTTTTCTCTCAAATTGGGCTTCAAAACCTTTCTTTTACTAACTTCTTAAATTTCCAGAAATTACTACAGATGCACGTCTGCTGGATGTCCTGTCCGTAAGCAAATTGAGACTGCAGTAGATGATCCTACTGCTGTCATCATTACATATAAAGGAGCACATAACCATGACCAGCCTGTGCCCAGGAAACGACAAGGCCCACCAAGTGCTCCTCTTGTGGCTACTATTGCCCCTGCTTCGTCAAACAACTTGGACCTCAAGAGTACTGATTCACTGCAAAACCAAGAAAATTCTGCTCAGTGGTCGGAGGACTCTGAAGAAGAATTAACTGAAGATGCTTCCGACCTCGGGGGTGAGAAAGCAATTGAGTCGGCTCGAACTCTTTTAAGCATGGGTGAAATTAAGCCTTGCTGAATACATCATTCAGGTAGCGGGCGGATGTATCGCTATAAGTTGATTGATAGGTTTCGTATATTTCTCCTCCAACCCCATTTTCCTTTCCCTTTCCCTTTCCGTTTTCCTTTTCCCCTTATCCTCCATGTAGCCTCTTAGCAAAGCAACAGGTACTGCATGTTTGGTTTTACCCCCTTTAACCTGTTTGAAACGGATCAGTAGTAGTAGGAATGAATATAGAGTTGATTGGTACCCTTCGATTCCAATGGAGGGTGAGAAATAGCATATCATATCATATATCCTCAAAGGCCCATGTATCCGCAAATATTCTGGTATGCTTTCTTCTTCTTTGTGTTTCTTTCGCTCTTCTTTTGAGTGCAGAGCTGAACAAGATGGATCTGAATGGGGATGGGGTTCCTGGGTAAATATGTGTTTTTTATTTCATATTTCATAAAACCAGATGTACAACTAGTTTGTTATTTCCTAAAAAATATTTATTTAGGAACCACAGAATGGATAATTTGGGGGCTATGAAAATCAGCCTTTTTTTCAATTATATGTTTTTGGTCAATGGCTTGTCGTCCTCAAACTTTGTTATTTAATGTATGAACATCTGTTTAGGTAGTTTTTTTTTTTTTTCCTGGGGAGTTGGATAAACCAGACTTGTTGAAGCGTCACTTTCAAAACTAGTTTTTATTTAATAAACACACGACTGATACCTGCTGTTTCTGATGTTTTTACATTCAGAAAATGAATATAGGTAGTGCATTTAAAAAGTGGAAAAATGGGTCTTATTCTTCATTATGAGATGTGGGTTTTGATTCATAAATGTGTAAGACACGAGGTCAACTCTTTTTAGTTCCATTTGGAAATAGATCAACTCTTATGTGTGAAGTGTCTGTTGTTGTTATTATTATTTTTTTATGGTGGAAAATTATGGTTATGATTTCTCTATTATTCGTAGTAGCGATGTTCCCAAAGAGGATAGGCTAAAATGTCAAAATAGTAGAAAAGCGAACAAGAAGAAAAACCAAATGGGATTAGATGGGAACCAACCACTAATATTTTGCGTTACGCTCCTTAATCAAATTTTAAGAGTTAAGCAGATTGTATACGTATTATGTAAATCTTATTATGAGGGCTGTGTGATTTAGTCTTAAAATTAATACAAATTTTCAGAGAAGTTTAATACGAAATCTGTGTGTATATGTGTTGCTTACTGGGTATTTTCACCCATTTAGGCACGTGTTTGTACTTTGTACAATTGATTAATCAATTTATTACTGTTTCGTGACAATAATCAAGGTAAACTTGTAATTATTAAATTAAATACTTATTTATAGTATTCTTAATGAGCTTATCAAACAAAAGAAGTGATTGAGATTTTAAGAATTGACACTTCGATTTGACTCTGCTCGTGTTCATCCGCCACTGCCCCCGAACCTGAAGCGGTGTCCCAAAAAAAAAAATTAACAACCTTTTTCCCCCAAAAAAAAAAGGATTTTAAATATAAAACAGTGAACGATTCACGGTTCATTAGTGAAAAAATAATCAAGTAATCTAAGTAATGTAATTAAATAAAACAACAACAATTTCTATAAAAAAATGATAAACATTGAATAATTTTTTTTTTTCTCTCCTTTGCCTTATCTTCTTTGTGCCCCTCCAAGTCTCCAATTAAACACATTGAAAGCGATGAGATGCGCTGTTAATAACGAAGATAGATATATTTATAGTCAATGATAGTGGAAAATTTTCCTAATCAAGATTTTTAAATCATGTTTAAATTTAATCATATTGCTTTTTTTAGGATAAATTACAATTATTTAATCAAAATTAATTATTTGATATAGCTGTGTAGCCCGTGTTCATGTTAGGTGAGGGGAATAGCTTTATACGAAAAAGTAATACAGGTAAATTGAAAATTTTATAGGAATCTTCTATAACTATCAATGAAGACGTGGTTAATTTTTTTATATTCCTCCACTCCTAGGACAAGAAGAGTATAACATAACATATAATTAATAATCAATTATTAAGTCAATTCTAATAAAATTATTGATGTAGTTTATTTGTCTTTTTTTTTGGGGGGCCAAATGGGGCCTTAACAGATAAATGTTAATGATTTTAAAATGAAACTTAAGCGGAAAAAAATAAAGAATAAAAGAAAGGAAAACTTATCCAGAAAGAATACTTAATTAGTAAAAGAACTTTTTTTATCGTGTGCGCGTCTGAGTTCAATCATCTGAATTTGAACTAGTTTTTACAATTAAATATAATAACTGTGTTTTTTTCGTAATAATAACATATATATATATAATTGATACAAAAGTTGTGTATTTAAGATTATATTTTAAAATTTTTTATTAAAATCATTTTTTTTTTTAAAGAAAGTCGAGTCTGGGGAAAAGTTGAATTTTTATTTTTTTTCCCGGAGTGAGGCAAATCCAAGGCACCGGCTCTGCCGGTAATTACTCCAGGAAGAACCAGATTTCCGGGTTAAACCCAATCTTTTCACTCTTCTGTCTTTACGCTCATTCGCTTCCTTGGCTTTTTCGCTCTTTCATTCTCTCACTCCATCTCCCCCAAATGCTCTTGTTGGATTTCAACCTATGTTGTTAGATCATCAAACCCAACTCTCTCCAACGCTTCTGTTATGTCACGCTGGTAAAGGATGACCCTTTTCCTCGCATTTTCCTGAAAACTTTCTGTGCTGTTTTCTCTGGGAACTTAGCATGGGAACTCCAAAGCAAGGAATGTGTCAGCCCTTTTTCCATGTGGGGCAACTGAAAAATTGAGGGCCTCAGTTTGAACGCCTGCATTTCCTCTTTAAGGTTGGAAAGCTCTCTCGTTTTCAGCAATGAAGAATGGTTTTGGAGTTTCAAGGCTTTCTGGAGTTCAGTTGAAATTTACATGAATATGGAATGTATCCCTCTATTCGATCCATTTGAACCCTAGCTTTGGTCAAAAGGTGAACACATCTTACTGACTTTGATGATGTCATGTTGATTAATTCTATTGGCTTCAAGTTTTCTGGGGTTTTTTCTTACGTTAAATTGGGGTATGAGGGGAATGGGGTCGGGTGTTTGGTTGCTTCTAAATTTCAAGTTTTTTTTTATGGCTTTCACTGTATATTTGTGTGATTTGAGGATTTTGAGTGATGCCCCCAAGCATCCTTGACTACAATTATCTCACTTTGGAGGTAGAAATCTGAGATCTGTTCTTAGAGAGGTGGGTGCCAAGTCACTGCACACTGTGTGTTGGCTAAAATTTGCTAGTGACTCTGGTTTTTATCATTTCTGCTCTCTTTAAGCGTTTAACTAGATGAAGGGTGAAGGTTATATTGAATTTCACTGTCACCTAATGGAGCATTGAAATTTCAAGCTCTCACTTTGGGGTGACTGGTGTTGGAATACTTAGGGTGATTGCCAGTTTTGGAGAGTTCTGAAACTACAAATGTCGGGAGCTCCCAGATTGAGGTCAACGAATGTTGCTGATTCGGAGGTAAGGCCTGTGCTTGGACCAACTGGAAACAAGACAGGGTCATTGAGTTCAAGAAAACCCACTTCAAAGCTACAGCGGAAGGTAGAGAAATTGAGGGACGAGGTTGCATCAGCTAAAGAGAAAAACTCCTATCAGTCTTCAAACGTAACTTCCACTCCTAAGTCACATTCTATCAGTGCTCCTTCAGTACTCCGCAGGCATGAACAGCTATTGCATTCTAATTTGTCTCTGAATGCTTCATGCTCATCCGATGCCTCTACGGATTCATTCCACAGTAGAGCATCTACAGGCAGATTGACTCGGTCTAATAGCCTAGTCACTCGAAGGAAGTCATTTGTGTCAAAGCCAAGAAGTGTTTCTTCCGATGGTTCTTTGGAATCTCTACCTGATGGTTCACAACCGAAGAAAAGGTGTGCCTGGGTCACTCCTAATACTGGTCAGTAATCTTCTTTGACTATTGCTAGGTTCTTGAGGTGGCATTTCTTTCTGATGATGGAGGAAACCAGGGCCACGTTTTAATGAATGGATCAGCTTTACTTTTCATTGTTTAGTGAATATCTCGGTTTGTGGTTTGGTTAAATTTTAAGAATGACTCATGAATGAGAGTACACATTTTGCTTTAGTCAAGAATTTTACATGTATGAGAGCTGATATTGTGATTCTCAAATAACTTGGAGATAAGTTTCAGTTCTTGAAGAGATTATGCATTAAATTAAGAACATGCCTCCGGTTGGATTTATGTGTTTCAAAACAGTCACATTAAATATTCTTGCACCTTCTCCATAGATTTCAGTTGATGATTTTCCCTTTGAAGAGAAACTTGGGAATTTTAAATAAAAGGCACAGACATGATATGCTGATGGACGTACAGCTGTTGTATGTGAGCCAGCTGAATGCCATCGCCACACATTTACTAGAAAATTCTTCGATATATTTTGATTTTTTGCTCTTGAACTTGACTAGCTTTCAAAAGTTGTTTGCTGACTAAGTTCAGCTGTTGAAAATTGAAATCAGAACCGTGTTATGCCGCCTTCCATGATGAAGAATGGGGACTTCCAGTGCATGATGACAAGTATGTTAAACACAATTTTGATTATGTTATTAATATACCTTGTTAGATATTTTGCTTGACACTATTTACCTTATGTAGGAAACTATTTGAACTTCTTGTACTATCAAGTGCTCTATCTGAACTCACTTGGCCAGTCATTCTGAATAAAAGGCACATTTTTAGGTATTGTATTGCCTCGCTTGAGGTTCAATATTGCTTCCATTTACTTCTAGCCTCAAATATGAAGTGGCTGCCATAAGAACTTTTTAGCCTCAGCCGTAGGATTATATCTTTTCTTTGCCCTTCTTATTTTTGCTAATAAGAATTTTTTTTCAGGGAAGTATTTGCAGACTTTGATCCGGTAGCTGTCTCTAAATTGAATGAAAAGAAGATGATTGCGCCAGGAACTACTGCAAGTTCCCTTCTTTCAGAACTTAAATTGCGTGCTATAATCGAGAATGCACGTCAAATATTAAAGGTAGATTATTATTTTCTCTTGATTTGCAAAGGATAAGTGTAACTCTTGGGTTGGTTGGCAATTATTTCATTTTTCCATAACCGTTGGAAACTAAGAGAACCTCAAGATATAGGTTTGTGGTATTTCGTTGTAATTCCTTAAGCTGATATTTGAATGCAATCCCAATGTAATATTGAGACTTTAGCAGCTGATAGGTAGCAAATCATACTTCCTTTATGCAGAGTACGAATATAAATAAGTTGTTACCCTAGTGTTCTATATTAATGCCTTTTTAAGTTTGGTTGCCGTATTTCTTGCTTTATTCTCTGTATTGATCATCGGTATAAAAGTGCTGTTGTTGCTTTTACTTGCATAGCTGTAGTCGCTTAGGGTGTTTTTAATTCTCAGCATGATCAAATAAATGAAACTTTTTTGGCTAATGATCAAATGAATGACTTAAATTGGCGTCCAGTTATCATTTAATCTGGTAGGTTAGGCAATAAAGGTAATCGCAATGGTGGACCTGATCCTTTTTAAATTTGCATGACCCATATGGGACAAACTATACTATAATCCTTCGTACATCCTGAGCCTATAGTAATCTAGTTTACAAGAGTGATATGTAACCTAATTATTCGGATTCTTTATCCTGCCAGCTTGCTTTGCTGGTGTGACCCTCTATCAGTCATGATACTTTTTCAACCATCAATCCCTACAATGCTTTCTTTTTTTCCTTTTCTCTTTAATTGAACTGCTATTATTGCATTGTGGCTATTATTGTGTCTTTACCTAACTTTTTGCAGGTTTTACTCATGGCAGGTTGTTGATGAGTTTGGGTCATTTGACAAGTATATATGGAGTTTTGTGAACCACAAGCCTATAGCTAGCAGATTCAGATATCCCCGGCAGGTTCCTGTAAAAACTCCTAAAGCGGATGTAATCAGCAAAGACCTGGTGAGAAGAGGATTCCGGGGTGTGGGGCCCACTGTTGTGTACTCCTTCATGCAGGTAGTTGGGTTAACAAATGACCATCTCATCAGCTGCTTCAGATTCAGTGAGTGTATAGCTGCAGCAGAAGGGAAGGAAGAGAATAATGGAATCATGAACAATGCTCATGAAAAAAAGGAGAGTGACAATGTAATAGAATCAGATCTTTCCATCGCCATTGATGATTTGAGTTTCTCCTCGGAATGATGGTTTCACTGTCTTGGCTGATAAGAGCCCTCCAGGTTAAATCAGCAGTGACATACTGGCCAGTGCCCACTCATTTAATACTAGCCTTTTATTAGATTAAGTAATGATGGTGGGGAATTTGTGTATAAATTTCATGTTCTCCCTGAACTTGATTATGATGATGGATTCTTAGATTGTAGATTTTTCCTAAAGCTCAAGTGAATGATACTCAACCCTGCGTCTGTAATGTTGTGTGAAGCTTCTTCAGGCAGCCTTTTAAACTGGTGTACTATTATTTCCTGTACAGTTAAAACCAGTTATTAAAGCTTTCTTCCAAACCCGCGGCCGCAGGGATTGAGTGAAATGCTCAGTTACACCTTCTTTAACACAAGTGTTTCACCAAAAAAGGAGAATAAGTGCAAAAATTCTCAATTGCATCTTGCATATAAGAGATGCTTATCATAAGCATGTTTTTCTAAATGGAGATAAATTTTTTTCCACATACTTATCTCATACATCAAAAATTACGATTAAAAAGTTGCTGCTGAAGACTCTAATCATAATTTCAAACAAGGTCGAGTCAAGTGGTGTTAACTCTTATCCTAACTAGCTTTTCTTTTTGCATGGTTTAACCAGCATCCTTGTGTTAAAAAAAATGATAATATTGGAAGAATAGGTGTGATAATATTAGTGATTGATTTGAATGAGTTAAGAGTGCGGTACAAGGTCAGTGGTTTAGAGGTGGGGCGTGGCGATTGCCTATCAACGCCTTTAAGTGTGTTGGACAGCTAGAGAAAGAGATGACAATGATAAAAACAGTGGGGGTTTATGTTTTCTTGTCTCTCGAAGAGTACTCCTCGTTCATACACAAGCTTGCACCATTTTTGTCTCTGGATCGCCAACAATTAGCCTCTTGCTTGGCCACTATTCTATTCTCACCCTGGCACGCGTCCTCTCCTTGATTTTCACTCCCCCCCCCCCCGGGGAAAAGAGAAAACTCTTAAGCATGGGGCAGCCAAAAAGGAAAGAATTGTTTAAGAACCGAATTCATATTTTTTTTTAAGGATCTAATGATAAATATTAATTGTTCTCTTTATGAACTTGTGTTGTTTGAATGGAAAAATGTTAAATATATTTTAAATTATAAATTTCTATTGTGTGAATGATAACTAATCATAATGAAGTTGAAGACCTTCTTAGGCCTTCTTAATAATTAATTTATAAATTTCGTCCTTCAATACGATTCCCCCTGAAAAAGGATAGGAACCCTGAAGCGACTTACAGAAGGGCGGGTCTGTTGACCTGGATATTCAGTCTTTCGAAAAGCTATAAAATTGGCCCCTCAAAAATTGACTTAGAAGATCAATACATGTTACTCATCCTATAAAATTTAATTAATTAATTTGAATAAATTAAAAATATTAATTAAATTAGTTAATATGATATGTTTTTTAAAACACTCTAAACATATTTTTTAATTTCTTCCCTCCCTCTTCAAGTTACTATTGTTGAAAAGAATATTAATAGATTTAATTTAAAAAAATTGATAAATATGTAAAACAGGTTTTACACATAAGGGCATCATCAACTCTTCGATTAGATCTTATATTAAAGACTGAAGGAGTAAATTAGATTACAAGACTCTTAATTTTATACTTACATACATATATTCAATTCTTTTTTCTGTTAAGTCACATTCCTTTAGGCTATTGTCCATTCCCATCGCATGAAAAAGAAAAAAAGGAAAAAAAAAAGTTTCAGGAAATAAAGAACATTAATCTATATTTCCACAAGCACAGCTCAAAATGCGTTTATATTATACTGAAATATGAATAGAAAATCTGGAATCCCGACAGCCACACAATCAAAGGTCATGGCTTTGAGTACACAAAAACAAACATTCCAATATGAAATAAAGCACTATAGGCCTGGACCAAGACACGGGACGAAGGATACCGGCAAGGCAAAATTCTTCCAACTGTCACACCATGAGATCAATAAACCATTGCAGCTACAAGATCCGAAAATGACATCTGCATGCATTCAACACAGAGGAAGCCTCGCAATAAATATGAGCATGTTATTGGCAGTAGCAGTAACTCAAACTAATCATCATTCATGCTAAAGGAATATTTTCTTCTCTTTGTTGGCTATAATCAAAAGTTTAGCCCATTAATTTTAATTAATGGCCACAACCAATAACTTGTACTACGATAGTTTTGATGCTAAAAATGGCATTCAACTTATTATAGAAAACTTAGAGCAGGAGGAGCATACAGTGGCCTAGACAAGGTAATCCACAATTGAAGCATGCCTACTGGCGTAGCTTTCTAAGAGCAAGAACAGGGAAAAATTTCTAAGCTAACTATCAGCAAGGGCACAGCCTATTAGATTCAGTTAAACAGAATGGTGAATCCTAATATAGGTATCTAGCAATGTTTTTTTCCCGGAAGAGAGTTTACACAGTAAAAATAGACTGCTTTATGTATAACAGGAGCTTACCCAAACAAGGAGAATCAAAACAGGATGGGCATTTTTTTATTGAAAACGAAATAGTTTGAGCTGAAATAATAAAAGTAGAAATCAAAGCATAAGGTATCCTCTAGAAGCACAAGGAGTAAAAAGAAAAAACGAAAGGACAGACTTATCACCACAGCAATTTTTTCAAGCACGTCAATAGTAAAATAGTACTTTTTTGAAAAGACGTCAATGTAAAACAATGGATCCGTTTGACCATATTATTTGAACATGGGAAAGTGTGTGAAAGCAAAAGTTATATTAGTTGTTTATACCTATTCTCTCAAAATAAAAACGCGGATGGTGCTAAAATAATACGAGTCATAAAATAAAAAATTATAGGTATCGCAGACATACCCCAATAGACCTCTGCCTGGCCAAGTTCTGGGTGTGACAGTTAAATTGATCATAGCACCTTGCCTCATGATAACAACAGGTATTGGACGATCCATATTTGACTGTGACTCAGAAGCTAGCCTTTGGAGCAGATTATCTCCAGCTTCCACGCTGCCAAATTTCAAAATTTGATCCCCAAGTTGTAATCCATCCTCAGCAGCCGGTGACGAATCAGATATCTCATCAACCATTGCAAATGGTATGCTAACAACCACATCCACATCCATGGAAGTGGGAGAATGCCTTAGAAGAACATTTTGCAATGACGAACCAGCATCAACAGCTGATGAGGTCTGAGTATTAAGTCCATCTTCATTACCTTGCAGAAAGGCAAACATATAACATGATTTAATATTTGCCATTAATTATTTTTATCTATAGAGTAATTTTAGGTCAAACTTAAGACCCAAAAAGGGAAGAAAGATAACATAGAGAATTTCACAAGTTAAAACATCGTAATTTTTCCAAAAGCTTATTTAACTACAAATCTTTGCTAGTGTCGAGACATTGCATGGGAACTCTGAAATCAACTTTTGGGTACCTTTAAGGTAGCAAAATTGACCAGCAAGCTTGGAAGCTTTCGTCAATGGATTTTTAAAGCTTTGGTCCATGGAGGTTCTAAAGACAGACACACAAGAGACCTTCCATAAAAAATTTCTTTCTCGTGCCTCTTATGGAATAAGGGCACCACAAGTTGTTTATCAAAACACAGACGCACAAACATGCAGGCCATAACCTAACAATGGTGATGAATGAGTTAAATCAAACAACAGTCATTTTTAGTCATAGAAGAAAAGGTGATATATATATATATATATATATATATATAACATCTTTCTTATCAGTGAAGAAAAGCCATCTTATATATCTTTCTCATCCTCTGACCGACATCTTCACTCACAAAAGTGAAAAGCATCCTAAGGCTACAGTGAAAAAAACAATCCAATCTTACTTGTAGATGAGTGGGGCGCAAAGTATATTATCTTAACGAAGTTCCAGCAGGTAACATCAACGAGAAGCCAAAGTTACCACTAAACAAGTGATATAACACCATTCATAACTTGGCGGAAGGGTACCTGAAACTTTGAAGGGTGACGATTTACTTCCAAGTCTTGCTGCATGCAAAATTTCAATATTTTGATTTATTTTCTCACTTATCTCCTTGTGATCATTACGCAGCTCTGCATAGAGAAGGAAAAGGGAAATGAGGGAGAAAAATGGCAGGACAATGAAGCAAAACCAACGCTAATGTAGCAACTACCTTAAAGCCTTTTTTTTTTTTAATTACATCAAGACATTTTGTTGCAAAATCATGCGACCAACATTAGGCGCAATGGTCACTCGACGTAGCCAGCCCTTCAATTTGTTTTGAAGTCCCACATGTTTATGCAATTATTCATCAAAACAAATACTGAGAATGGGATTCATACCGGCAAGACGACGTCGCTCGGCTCGGACACCTGCAATATCAATATCCGTCCGAGGAAATCCCTAGAAATTTAACAAACTATTTAAAACGCTTGCACGCTAAAAATACTTTAAACTGAAAGCAATATATACCGAATTGCAATAATCAGCCGTCGGATACCAAATGGATGCGCAAAAGAGAAATTATATAGTCGGAACCAAAAGAAAACCTCAGAATCAACAAGATTGCCGGAAAGCCCCGGACCGCCAGGTTGATTGAGGCGCTCGATGATTGCGTTCATCTCCGCCTCCATCGCAGCCCGTTTGTCCATCAGAGACAGCGTCTCCCCCTTCACGTTCGTTGCAACCATTTCTGTGCAATCAACTTCTTCTTCTTCCTCCGCTCTTTGCGCCGTCACAGGCCGGGGAAGTCGATAGCTCGCTAAACTGGAATTTGCTACAGCCTCACAGCGTTATGCGACGCTGCACCTGATTATAGCTTGCCAATATGTCTGTGTTTTGGCCAATTTAAAATTTAAAAGGTTTTATCATGTTCATCTTATTCATACGAAAAGCTTACAAAATCTAATGAATTACTAATACTTAATATAAAATTTTATTTGATTTTTATTTTCATTCTAAATATAAGATCTTAATTTATTTTGTCTCTTATATTTATGCATTTTTTTTTCTAAGGTGATCTTTTTAGTAACGGTAGTTCTAGTCAATACACTTGATTAGTAAAGATATTTTAGGAAAAACAACTCTATTTATGACAAATAACATCTATTTGTGTATTAAGACCTATGACTCAGAGCTTTTTTAAATTACATTTATAAGTATTTTATAAGCACGTTTTATATAAATTGAGATAAAACTCTTCTTACAGACTTATCTTATATTTCATAAATCATAATTAAAAATTACTTATAAATCATTTTAAATGGGTCCCCAACTAACATAAAAGCCTTTTTATAATTTTTTTAAACATTTAGCTAGGAGCATGATAAATGCATGAGTAGTGAAATAAAGAATTTTTTTTTTACCAGCAAAATAAAGGTGTTAAATTATGATTAAATTTCAAAGACTAAGACGGTGTTTGAAAGCCTCCACCGGAAAACAAGATAACCTCCTCCATATATTTATTTACTTTGTATACTGTAAAAGTACTTTTAAAATCACGGTTTTAATTCTATCCAAACACCTTTTAAATATAATATTAGCCCAAAAAAATTGTTTATTACCATTGCCTAGAGATTTTTCCAGTACCATAGATTTTGTTTCTTCCAATTGGTTTAAAAAAGTTACAGAGCATTGACATAAGATCCAGCATCGCAAGGGCAGAAGACCTGAGTTTCGGTGAATCTTGATAAGAATCTCTGACACAATGGAGTTAAGTTTTCCAAAGGAGGATTAGTGATTGTTTGGATTGGCTTATTCCGGAATAAAACATATCACATGTATTTATCTGGTATCAAGTAAATCACTTATAAATCATTCTAAATAAGTTTATATTCTCGCACTGGGTGCTTTTCAGTTTCGCTCCTTGAGATTTTGTAGAATCAGGGGAAAACCTAACATGCTATCCGAATTTCTCAGCGAGATTTATATTTACGCTGCTCGGAAAAAAAATTACGGTCCGGTTTTGTTAAAGACATTGCAAGTTTACAGGGAAAAATTCCGAAGTCGTCGTAGTTATAATTATAAATAGATAAAAAAGGCTCGCAAACCAAGAAATGACTGCCAGAGTAGCATCCTTGATCGCTACATCGCGTGTTTCTTCTTCCAAGTCGTCGTCTTTGTTTCTCGTCACTGCCACACTGAGGTCGGCTTCTGCTTCGCGCATTTCAATTTCTGCTGCCCCTCTGCGCCCAGCAACGCAGAAGCTAATGGCTCACACTCTCGCTCGGGCCACTCTTGGCCTTACTCAGCCGGCTAACATCGAAATCCCCAAGGTCCATTGAATCTCTCTCTCTCGCTCTCTTTTTCTCTCAGTACAGTTTCGTTTTTTGTTTTGAATCAATCCTGAGTTTGATGTATCTGCCTAGAATTCATGGTTGATTCTAGTTTATTTGATCAATCGTTAGTTAATCGAGATATAAATACCCATTGTTTACCTGAGACTGTTTCTCCTTGAGTTTATCGCTTTAATGTTGATTTGTCTATTTTCTGCTTGTGAAAAATTCTGGAAGATCTCTTTTGCTGCAAAGGAGGTTGACGTAACAGAGTGGAAAGGGGACATACTTGCAGTGGGTGTTACGGAGAAAGACATAGAGAAAGATGGGAACTTGAAATATGGGAATCCGATTCTAAAGAAGCTTGACTCAAAGTTGGGAGGTCTATTAGCCGAGGCTTCTTCTGAAGAGGATTTCACTGGCAAAGTAGGCCAATCGATTATACTTAGAATATCAGGGCTTGGATCCAAGAGGGTTGGTTTGATTGGGCTTGGAAAGTCTGCTTCAACGACATCATCTTTTAAAAGCTTTGGCGAGGCTGTTGCAGCTGCTGTAAAGTCTGCTCAGGCAACCAATGCTGCCATTGTTCTTGCCTCTTCTGAAGGGCTTTCTGCTGAATCAAAGCTTAATTCTGCATCTGCAATAGCATCTGGTATGTTCTTTATAGTGTTGTCTAGTTATCTATAGTCGTGCGAGCTGTGGTTGTGTTAAACATGACATGCCGGTTGAACTGTGTTAGGGACTATACTGGGGATATTTGAGGATACCAGATACAAGTCAGAGTCAAAGAAACCAACCCTGAGATCTGTGGACATTGTTGGTTTGGGAACAGGGCCTCAAGTGGAGAAGAAACTTAAGTATGCAGAAGATGTTTCTACTGCAATTATTTTCGGAAGGGAGCTTGTAAACTCTCCAGCTAATGTGCTCACACCAGGTTCATAGGAAATTCTTTGCTTGTCAAAAATATAGTCCTCATACCTTATTGTTACGGTCAGGCGGGTGATCAATTTTATAGTTCCATTTCCTTGACACATTAAGCGGAGACTCATTTCATGATACTCATATGCTTATTTAGTTTTCAGTCTTGACAAATGAATTATTCCCATAGTTGACTGATCCTTGATTATTTGTCCACCGCAGCGGTATTGGCAGAAGAGGCATCTAAGATTGCTATTATGTATGGTGATGTTTTTACTGCTAAAATTTTGAGTGAAGAGCAATGCAAGGAGTTGAAAATGGGGTCATATCTTGGTGTAGCAGCAGCATCCGCAAATCCTCCTCATTTCATCCATCTTTGTTATAAACCTCCTAGCGGAACTGTCAAAGTCAAGTTGGCTTTAGTTGGAAAAGGTTTGACCTTTGACAGGTAATTAAATGTTTTTAAGCCAAGCCTCTCTCTGTTTTAGCTAGAACTTAATAATCAAGTGATGATTTTGCAATGAAATACGCCCTTGTTTGTTATTCATGGTTTTAAAGCTGAGGTTTCATTACTTCTTGGGTTTTTACGTATAAATAACTACTTCATGGGATTTTACATACATGTTTTCTTTTGTTGTTTAAGTGTGAATTCTTACATTTTCTTCTTTTTCCTTCTTATCATCTTTTGTTATTTTATGTGCAAATTATTAGTGGTGGCTACAACATCAAGACAGGACCAGGCTGTGCAGTTGAAACCATGAAATTTGATATGGGTGGTTCAGCTGCAGTTTTAGGTGCAGCGAAAGCGCTGGGTCAAATCAAACCTCTTGGGGTCGAGGTCAGTTGTTTATTTCATTATCCTTGACTTTTCTCATGCAGCGTATCTTGCGAATTGATTGATTAATGTGTAGTCTTCTTTTTTGAATCTTTTTTCTTTGCTTACCCTTTGGGGACAAATGTTGCAGAAAGGTTGTCTCAGTTCTCAAATTTTCATTGGTGATCTAATGTATCCATACTATGTGATTGTTTGCACGCTTGCTTGTGCAGGTTCATTTTATAGTTGCTGCTTGTGAGAATATGATAAGTGGCACTGGCATGAGGCCCGGAGACATTGTCACGGCTTCAAATGGAAAGACTATAGAGGTGAGGATTTATTTGGTTCATGCTTATTTATATATCATCTAACTTACTGCATAAAGTATGGAATAAAAAAGATTTGGATCTTGATTAAGGTCTTATCATTTTGAGTAAGGCTTAATTCTGTTCGCTTTTTTATTAGGTAGGGTTAGTATTGTATATTTTTCTTATTGCAAAATTATTTAAAGCAACTAGAACAAGCTTTTCTTTAACTGTTTTTATTTGGATGAATGTATCATTTCTTTGCATTTGAAAAAAAGGTTGCCCTAGATCATTTCAAGACGAAGACTCTTTGATTTGGAGTTTTGAGGTTATCTAGTTTTTTTTAATGACATTTCCTAGTGAATGGACTTGAGATATTTGTGCAGCTCAACTTATGGATTTTATGAGATATTCCTTGATGAATGTAATTTCCATATACTGTATTATTAGCTTGAGCTGACACATAGATATTTAAGCTTTTCTCCCTCTCCCCCTGCCAAATTATGACCCAAGATATTGCATGCATTTTTCTAGAAACTTTTGAGAATGTTTTCAGTGTATCATTGCTGCAAACCTGTGCTAGCAATATCTAGTACAAATACATATCTGGTGTACTTCTGAATATCATGGAATTTCAGTTTCCAGCTTTTGGAAGGTTAATAATAGGAATGAAATGCTTGAATTTGTTTACTCATTAAGTATCAGTGTATGAAATCATGTAGAGTATGTGTCATTGGCTTAACCTCTTTGTATAGGTTAACAACACAGATGCAGAGGGGAGGCTCACCCTAGCAGATGCTCTGGTATATGCTTGCAACCAAGGTGTTGAAAAGGTACATCTATACAACTATGCATATGCATCTCCAATATTTACTGAAATCATATCAGATCTGCTTTCTTTGACGATTAATATGTCTTTTGTATGTTTGGCATGTTTCATCATCCATTTCTTAAAATAGTAGCAGAAGAGAATATTGAGACCATTCTAGTTAGTCTGATTGAATTAAACTTTGTTTATGCAATTTTCTTAGTGCATGTGGGAAATTCAAGTTCAATTCTTATAGATCTAAACTTGTTCGATGTATGTTTTGGTTTTAGAACTGTGCTAACAGGATGATGAACTGTTTCTAGATAGTTGATCTGGCAACCTTGACCGGAGCCTGCGTAGTTGCACTTGGACCCTCAATTGCAGGTAACCATGAAATCAGCTAGTGATATTATGAATTCCATAGTGTTCTGATATCAGTTTTAAGAACCGTATACCCACGTGTTCTTAGATGACGAAAAAAAGAGAAAAACACTAGCTATTTAGGCGGCAATGGAACTTTTTTTTTTTCACATATTGGGTGAGAGAAAAGCTAATTTTGTGAGAGGCAGGACTTGAAAGCCATATAGCTATTAAAATGACCACATTGTGGTGGCTTTCCCACCAGTGACACTTGACGATTTCATTATCTGCTGAACTTTAATAGTGATTTATTCATATTGACGAATATCACCTGTTACTGACTGTCAACTCTACCATTTTTTATAGGTGTGTTTACACCCAGTGATGAACTGGCAAAAGAAATACTTGAAGCTGCGGAAGTGAGTGGAGAAAAATTATGGAGGATGCCAATGGAGGAAAGTTACTGGGAATTCATGAAATCAGGAGTAGCTGATATGGTAAACACTGGTGGTCGACAGGGTGGTGCTATAAATGCGGCTCTCTTCTTGAAACAGGCACATTCTCTAATCATTTAACTCCTCAAACTTAATTATTTCCGCTCATGTCTTTTTGAAAGAAAATGCATCCAAATGCTGTACCCATTTCTTACACTTCATGATTCTCTACCGACAAACCGAGATTGAAGAATTGGAACAAGACAGTAGTTGGTATTGTACATGACAGTTGAATAATACTAATGGATTGGCATTCCACGGAATACCCTGCCTTTTGGGGGGGGGGGGGGGAAGGTATGTGGACATGCAAAGGACGTTAGAGGTGCCAACGAAGAAAAGTGAGTAGATTGGTTTTAGTTCCATAAAAATAAATAGAAGATTAAGAACACCTGAGGAAGTTATATATAGAATGAAATCTCATGATGAATGATATATCTAGAAAGTTTTTAATAGAGTTTAATAGCGGCATGCAACATACAACTAATCTCAGTTAACAGAAGAATATGGTGTTTTCTTTTTGTTCTTCTCCTGTACAGGCATGCTTGATGTTTCTGAAGTATAATAATAATTCTGTGCTTTTGCAGTTTGTTGATGAAAAGGTTCAATGGCTGCATATTGACATGGCTGGTCCAGTGGCGAGTGAGAAGAAGGCAATGGCGACAGGATTCGGCATCGCTACCTTGGTGGAATGGGTTCTGAAAAATGCTCCTTAAATGATAAAAAGGATAAAAGTCTGTTAGAACATGAGTAAATCTGAGAGGATGAAATAATTGCAGGCTTTTTTCTGGGTTTCTGGTTCAATGATGATGAGTAAATAGCCTCTCATGGTTTGTGTAGTTTGCAGCCTTGACTTGTTGCTTCAACTTGCATGGTTCTTAGTGTGTCCCTTTATAAGAAGTAGTAGAACTTTTCTTGCGTGTTTCCATTACTTAGTAGCATAACAAACAAAAATCTTCCCAATCAAAAGGATTAAGCTTAATCAAAAGAATCTTTTATGGCCAAAAACATAATAATCAAAGAATCTTGGTTCAATTATTGACACCATCAGGGAAGCATACCGTGATGATTGATTCATTTCAGAGATTTGCATTTAAATAAAAAGGAAGAAAATCGTTAGATATTGTAATTTCTACAAGGTTGAGTGACAAAAAAAAAGGTCTCAAGTGATGTTTCAACTAACGGAATTGACAAGTTTTTAAGGGAGTGTTTAGATGAAATCAAATTATGATTTGGAGAATAGATTTTGTGAAAAAGTGATTCTAATAAAATGAGAGTATTTGAATAATTGTTATCAAAAACACTTTTTATATGTGTAAATTACTAAAAAAAGCATGAGTTAATATGATAATTATATAAAAGATAGATTTTATAATATATTTTAATTTGAAAGAATAAAATTGTTAATAATATATTTTTTACCAACATAATTAATAATATATGAGATAATGTAATTAATAAATAATTAATATGTGTGTATATTTATAAAACATAAGATTAAATATGTTTATAAAAAATAATTAATGGGTGTTAAAGTCATATTATCGTTAAGATCTGCTCTGACAAGTATAATCATACTCTCTTATTTAAGCCAAAAGCAGAATGAATTCACTTCTCCTGAAACCATGATTTTGAGCCCAAAACCGCGATTTTTTAATTTTCCTCCCTGTTTGGTAAATTTGGAACCCAAACCATGGTTTCATCGTATTGCCAAACACCCCCTAAATTTTAAAGGAGGATCAAATCTTCTACATATTCGTATGTAAATTAGAAAATTCTAATAAAATGTGCTATTTATTAATTATCAATAGTAAAGCTTAATTCTCTAACCTTAGACAGCGCATATCATATAATGTATTGCAACAAAACTTGGTGGTTGGCTCTATAGAACTTATTCATCTACACTAAGTTACCGTCTTTTCAAAATAAAAAAAACAGTGAAGGTGCACGGTGCATCTAACACTTTGTACTCTGAAATATTTTTTAATATATATTTAATATTCTAAAATATTTTGTGATGTATCAATATTTTTATACATGTATCTAATATTTTAAAATATTTTTTTAATTGTATTTAACATCTTAATTTATTATATTTTGGTGCATATAACTCAAATTAAAATTCCTAGGATCATTTTTTTCCTCTCCTCACCAAAACCTAAAACAGAAAAAGAAAAAGATGTCATGGTTTCCTAGATTCCGAGTGTTGAATATATATTTAATATTTTAAAATATTTTGTGATGTATCAATATTTTTATACATGCATCTAACATTTTAACATATTTTTTCAATTGTATTTAACATCTTAATTTATTATATTTTGGAGTATATAACTCAAATTAAAGCTCCTAGGATCATTTTTTTCCCCTCTCCTCACCAAAACCTAAGACAGAAAAAGAAAAAGACGTCATGGTTTCCCAGATTCCGAGTGTTGAACGAATCACGTCACATGCTGATGGCACAAACACGATACGGGAATGCGTTTTGGTGGTAACGCCCCCGCGAAGTTCAAAGCTCATCTATCACCGCGCCTCCAGCATGTACGACACCGTTTTGTCAAAACGCACCGAATCTACTCCTCATATATTAGTTATTTTTATTATTACAAGTCTCTGCGTTTCAGGCAGAAAGATAAAGCCTCATTTTTCTCCCTGTCAAGGCTCTCTTTTGTAGTTTCCTAGTTTTCTTTGGGGAGGAAAAGAAAAAGAAAGGAAAAAGAAAACTCCTGTTCTGTTCGCTCTCTGGCATTTTGCTCAAAGCGTCCGACCACGCTCTGACTCTGAGGTACTCTGTATTGGAAGAGCTGACAAGAGTAAATATATAATTGTACTGTCTCTCCAACCTCTCCTTTCTTCCCTTCCATTTCATTCAATCGACTATCAATCAATCATCATGAAGTAGGAAGAATATATAGAGAGAGATAGGTAATAAAGATGAGTGTCTCTTTGACTGTGATGACCTTCAATCTCCACGATGATCAGCCACCGGACAGTCCTAATTCTTGGGAGAAGAGGAGGGGTTTGTGTATCAGCGTTATTACTAATTACTCCCCCACCATCCTTTGCACTCAACAAGGTTGCTCCTTTCATATGTGTAACATTTTTTTGAAGAATTTTTAAGCGGATGTGGATCCTGATTTTGATTTGGGTTTGGTAGATATGGTTTCTTTTTGTTGCCCGTATATTTCTTCGGTTTCGTTCTTGGTTCCTTTCGGATGAAGCTGGATTTCAATATTCTATTGCTTTTGTCCATTGAATAAGTGATAGGGGAAACTGATGTTTTAGTTTGAAGGTTCTTACTGTGCTCGTTGAAATGCTGGTCTTCGCTTACTTGGTTTCCCCCTCTGATATTTGATCTGGGTGGATCGTTTTTTGTTTTCTAGTTTCTACTTTCTACCTTCATTATTCTGATCTAGTTTAATTCCTCCTATGTCTTGTTTCGATTCCTTGATACAGGAGTGAAATCGCAGTTGGATTTTCTTCAGCAGGGTTTGCCAGGTAACATCTTTTCAAATAAGTTATTCTCCAAGTTTAGCTATATATAGTTAGTTTTTGGTCGCGTCACTCTACTATATGCGTGGTTGTGCCCAAGCATTGTGCATCTCCTGACCAAATCTAGTTTGGAGACAGCCACAGGCTTCAACAAGGAATATATGGTACTAGTTGCTATGGCAATGTGATAAGGGGCTATCATATAATGTATTGCTAAATGCCGCTCAAGTTTTCTGTGATATGCTTGTCTTGAAATGGTTGCAAGTATCATTCAAAAATCTCAGTGTGGGTTAGATAAGAAGATATTAAAGCTGTGCCAAGAAACTATATGTGCAAAATGGTGATTCTTTGAAGCCACCGAATTGATATAAAGAGGGAAAATAAGAGGGATATTGTAGGTTTCCCCTGGATTACGAGTAATATGGTTATGTATTGCAATTTTTAGGAAATAATATCATGTGCTTCTGACAACATTTCTTCTTTCTTTTCGGAGCCGTTCATTCTAAATGGGAAAGTTTTAGTTCAATTACTGGCTTTCCTTTCTTCAGTCGTAATGATCATTTCCAACAGTATTTTTTAAACAACTTTAAGTATTGTGTAAAAGAAACTGCTGATGATTTCATAAGAATTCAAGAGAATAACCAAAGCATAACATGATATAATGATCTTAAATTTACTTTCGCAATAAAATAAAGTTAAATCCGGTGATAATTGGAAATGGTTTGCATTGCAAAAAACAAATGTTCTTCACCAGGAAACGGTTTCGTAATCCTGTTTTCTGCTACTTGTGGATTTGTGTGTTTACTAGATCAAGTACGATTCAGATATTTTCCTCCATAAAAGTACAATCTGCTTAAAGCAAAGGGAATTCTTGAATGAGAAAGCTTGCGTGGCTGTTTAACAAAGAAGGGGATGGTCTGTGTTTTCTGGAGAGTTTGTTTCAACCTAATGCTGAAAGGTTTACTATGGAAAAAGAATTGGCATAGAAATCTTTTGTATTATGATAGAATGAGCAGCTTCCAGTTATTAGTGTATAACCTGATTCAGCCTCTTAATGGAGCACTTAATTTCTTTTATAAAATAACCCAGGTTATGATCAGTTTGGCATATCAAGAAAAGGCCCTGAAGACACTACTGACGAGCAGTGCACAATCTTCTATGACAAGGAGAAGGTAATTAGCTCAATATTATTTATTTGGCGTATTTTTAAGTTATCCTCCACTGAAGTTATCAGTTGATCCCCATTATTGCTTTCAAAATTGTAGGTAGGGCTTCTGGAAGGTGGAACCTTCTGGCTTTCTGAGTCTCCCTCTGTACCCGGAAGCATTTCATGGGGTTCTGAAGTTCCTTGCATAGCAACATGGGCCATATCCTTACATTTCTTTATGTTTTTTCAAAGTCAACTAATCTGTTCTGAAATTTACTTATGTTGAAACAACTTTGGTATTCTTGGTTCCTTGACATGATGTCCACACATTTCAACTAAAAGGGGTTGAACCGCCAGGATTTTCATTTCAGATAGTAAATACAAACATGGATCAATTCAGCCCTCGTGCTCGTAGACGAAGTGCTTTACTCACATGGCAGCACATTGCATCTCTGCCCCCTAGTCTGCCGGTTGTATACTGTGGAGGATTCAATACACAAAAGGAATCAACTACAGGACGGTTTCTTCTTGGGAGATCGAGGTAGCTTCTTTAATAGAAAAAGGGTCTAGTCCTCAGTCACTTATTTATCTTCCAGGTTATTTCATGTTACCCTGTTAGGAGTTCAAATTCATATTTCCAGGAGATATTATTCTGTACCTTTAGATGATACTATCATCAAGAAGTAAAATACAGAAAGCACAAAGAAAATGATATGGAGAATAATATGATAATTTATTTAAGAGCAATCATTGTTCTTAGTTCTCCCATATTCTTGCCGGAAGAACTCGACATATTCCCCCCCCCCCGCCCCCGGGGCCACCTCTTTCAAAAACAGAAAAGAAAAATGCAAAACACATCCTATTTTATCATTGTTCTATGAAATTCATTGGAAGATAAATATGTTGTGCGTTGTGAAACTATCTCTAACTGAAGTACCATTGAGTAGGTTGCATTGTAATCTTGTGTTTAAACTCACTTGTTTGCAGAGAGCATGGTGTAGTTGGGGATATGCGGGATGCATGCCTAGTGCCCGTGTAAGGAAAACGTTTCCTTAATCCGAACTTATCATGGATTCAAGGGTACTGTTCTGTTGCTTTCACTTTTCTACTGTGCATGACAGAGCTATGCCAATACTGAGTATTATCTGGTGGTTCTAGGTGACAAACAGGGAGCTCTTGAATTCGTCAAATTATTTAGAGCACTTTGCCTCTGCTGGGATCGCCAAACACAAGATCTTCACATGATTGGATCCTTTTCAGAGGTAGGTCTTTGATTCCTGTTTCATGTGAAGTGGTTAATGATAACATGGATGGGTACTACCCATCCTCTCATTATCCAATATTTGCCGAATTTATGCTTCCTCGCACCGTGAGGATGTTAGAACCACCACCGCCACACCTGCACCTGTACAAGAGGATAACTGAATTTTGTATGTCTTGGGTTATGAAATGTGATGCATTGTGTGGTCATAGCTCGTGGTGTTGAACTTTCATTCTGTGCTTCTCATTTTGAGTTGGAGCATTAATTTATTAGCTGTACACTCCCCGTGCCTGCCCCAGGTTTCTTGTGTTGAACAGAGATCAATATGATTGTGAATGAAGTTGTTTTTTTAACTGATTCTTGTCAATTAACGTGTCAATAGTTTTAACATAAGCAGGTCCAGAAGGTGGTTAGACGCTTCCATGGACTCAATAGCACTTGATCATAATTCTTGGTGAAGAGGCACATCATATGGGGCCTGTCACTTTATTAATGGACTTCATTCGTGTTATTAAGAAAGGAAAGAAAAGAATATGAATGAAGATGTGGGAATGCGCTATGGGGCCATTTACTTGGTAGAGAGGCACGCCATATGGGGCCTGTCACTTGTGTTACTTTGAAAACTATTACCAATTAATGCGCTATGTAAGATTAACACAAGCCAATGTTCTTGTAACAAAGCAACATGAAAGCTCCTCAAAAAAAAAAAAAAAAAGGAGAATGCAGTTTTAATTATGCATGTTATTTCAAGTTGTTATTTCTGGTTCTAAGTATAAGAGTTATTTAATTTGGGCAAATTAAGGAAGTCCCATAATTTAGTTAAGTATAATAAATGCGACTTGATTTTTTTTAATGCACTTGATTACATATTAGTTTATAAATTAGGTAAAACGGTTTGGAAAAAATAAATATAAAAAATAAAATAAGATTTTATTGAGAAGAAGATTTAATATACTCCCGGTCCTTAATTATAAGACTTTGTTTGTGATCGACAACAAAAGTTTTATAATTAAGACTGGAGGTAGTACTCACTTCAATAATAAGAAACCAATGTCTTATAATTAGATCAAAGTTAGTATCCACTTTAAGATTAGGAAACCGACGGTATCTTGTTATGTTTAACGTATGTAATAGCACAAGCAAACAATGATAACAAACGATGGACAAATGACATGGACGAGGGCTCCCAGCTCGAACCATGCCCATGAAGTTTCAGACAAAGCATGAAGCCAGGATCGACCGGCGTTAGTGTCTTCTTTGTGGGTATACACTATCTCTGATATTTAACATGAAAACTGGTTTGATTTTTAATCTTGGTCTTTAAATATAAGACCTATTTAACTAATTTGATAGATTAAGGAATTAGGTAAAGTAGTTCCTTATAGAAGAAATGGACACATTTTCCTAAATACCAATAAGTTCTTTTTAATATCCCTCCCCTTTTTTATTTGATTTGGTTGAGGGAAGATCTTTAAGGTGTAATTAATAGAGAATTTAAAAAATATGAAAAATGAGTCTTTATTTAGGACCAAAACCAAACTCAAGAATTGGGTCTTAATTAGACGGGATTTTTGAGGGAGTATGATATTAAATATAAACTCTAATTTTACTTTATTTTTCATATTGGTCTATTTTTTTCAAAATAGTTTTTTATAGTAGGTGTACGTGTAAATATTTTATAGTTATAGTAGTTCTAACTAAACACATGATTAGTAAGGAAATTTTGAAAAAAATCTATGTATTATAAATAATTAATTTAACTAATTTTAATTTATTTAAATTAATCAATTAATTTTTATTTTTAATCGAAAGTAATATTTTGAAAATTAGTTTGATGTATTTGTAAAGTTATTTGGCGTCCAACTAAGCTCTCCGTGTGGACAAAGAAAAGTTGGAGCTTTCACATCAATCCCATTCTTCAAAGCAAGGATAGGTGTTTGCTTATGGCTTACTATTTACCAAACTTTCACCAACTGAATTTGGTCTTTTCTCCTGTATTGTCAATTTTACCCACACACATACTATTTAAAAAAAAAAAAAAGGTGACGAAACATATTTTATAGTGTGTCGTTATTTTCAAAAAACAATGGGAAATAAAGATAGTGATAATAGTTTTATCGAAATTAACTTTTGAATTTTTGGTATTATTATTATTTTTTAATTATACAATAACAAATATATGATGTTTGTAAGCATTTGTATACTTTTCACAGTCTAATATCTTTTTATTGTATTTTCTTAAAAAGAATTATTTTGACATGGGTTAGCTTTATTAATGAACTAATTTGATAATTAAAATGTAAGAAATGACACTTCAGTTTATTTGAGTTATTATATGATTTATCTTATTGATAGAATTTTTATTTCCTTGGCAAAATGATTCTTAAAAAGCAATATGAATTTAGTTTCCCATTATGAATGTGATTTAATATAGATTTTTTTTTTGTCAATTGGAACAAACGAATTTTACTATACTTGTGCGTGCTAGCCAGAGATATGAGAGGCAGATAACAGGCTTTGTTTTTAGATCAAAGTTAATATTTTGAAATATGAAAGAATTTGTTTACTTTCCGTATGAAAAAAGCTGCCTTTTGAGAATTTTTGGGTAAAGATGCTAACTTTTAATGGTTCAGTAATTTAAAGTACCAGTCTACTAATTTTGTTTTGATTTAATAAATAAAGACAAAAAGGAATTTATTACCAAAATATTTATAAAGTTGGTAGAAATTAATGAAAGTAATCTTAGTAAGTAGTAATTCAGTTATATCTGATCATTTGAACCAATCTTCGCCGGACATCTTTACCCCGATCGATGATCGTACGGCTATAACTGCACCAAAACCATCACCCAAATGTCACGCAAATCCCACCATTTTTGTGTTGAGAACCCGAAGCTGTGTGTCGGAAGTTCCAATTTTTATGAACGAGAAATGAGAAGACATCACACCCAGCGAGCCGAGGGAGACTCAAACATTCATAGAACTCGCAAATAGATTGATAGAGAGAGAGAGAGAGAGAGAGAGAGAGAGAGACAGGAAAAGAGAGTTTTTGGATCTTCGTTTGTCGAAAGCATGGCGAGAGGACCTCTCGCTTTCATCTATGGATCTCTGCATGTGTTCTGCTCGTTGTCCATGTAGTTGTTTTTACCTTCCCGGTGTGGCACCCCAGGATTTCCAGAAGGTAATTTCACCTTCTTTGTTGGCCATGTGAATGCATGTCTATTGTCTTTGCCTTTGCGGAATTGCGGTGAGTATCGGGTCAGATCAGTGCTAGATCGTATTGGTTTATTTATGATTCTTCCCCCTGTTCATTACCTTTTTTGGTTTGTGATTTTAGTTAATTTATCATCTGGATTATAGTGATTTTGATTTTCTATCAACATGCAATGAGTTTGTCCTCTATCATCTTGTGAATTGGTGAGATCCGATTTCGTTGTTGTATTTTGCTTCTCGGGATCGTGGGTAATAAAATCCTTGCTAACTAGAAGTTTTATGTCCGAGGTGGCAGTTTTGCATTTGTCTTCAATGCACTAATGTGTTCTTCACAGAGTTGACACTAGAATTGAGGTCCATTATAGGATTTGATTAGTGATGTTCGTGTCAAATTATAAATGGAGTGAGAAAGCCCTGTAACGTTAATTTCCATTTTACAGTAATTCTGCCTCTATCATGCAATGGAATTCATGGGCATTAGACATGCGTTTTCTCTCACATAACTGTATATACTTTATATATTGTCATTCTATATCTACTGTAATCATAAATTAACATGTTATCAACTAAATTTGCCATTTCCTAGGTAGCTTCCAAGGTCTTAGTCTGACATAATTGCCAGCTCCCTTACTAACTACCAGTATAGTCATTTACCTGATTCAATTATTGCATGAGAAATTTTCCTAATGATATTATTATTATCATTAATTTTTATTCTTATGCTCATTGGTCATAGGGGGATCCGTTGATGGTGAAAGTAAACAAAACTGAGTTCTACAAAAACACAGCTTCCTTACTCCTATATACACTGCCTTATTGTCGACCAGATAAAATCATTGACAGTGCAGAGAATCTCGGGGAAGTTCTTCGTGGTGATCGTATTGAAAACTCTCCCTATGTGGTTTGTGGAGAAATTCTGACTTTCTTCCTTTTCTTATTATGTTAAATTACTCAGAAATTAAAAGAAATTTTATGCCATGTCCAGTTCAAGATGAGAGAACCTCAAATGTGAATGTTTCTTTGTCGTATCACTCTCAATGCAAAGACAGCCAAAGAGTTTAAGGAAAAGATAGATGATGAGTTACCCGTGAACATGTGAGTCAATGAGTGTTTGACCTTAATTTCAATCACAGCTTTGTGTCTCTCGACCCTTGGACATAAATTTTGGCATTCTGCCCTTGAACTTTTGCAGGATTTTAGACAATCTTCCTTTGGTTGTTCCTCTAAGAGGCCTGATCAGGAATCTTCTATAGTGTATCTTCATGGCTTTCTTGTCGGTCTTAAAGGACAATATGCTGGAGTAAGTAGAATGCAATGATATTAACTTTTAATGGTTGATTTGAACCTAATTAGACCTTCTGCTGTACTCGATTGTAAACAGAAAAAGGAAAGAAAAGTACTTTATCAACAACCACTTAACATTCGTGGTTAAGCACCATCCTGATCATGTGACAGGGTCATCAAGGATTGTAGGCTTTGAGGTTAAGCCTTTCAGGTTGCATTATGATCTTTTCCCTCTGATTTTTTTTTTTAATTGTCGGTTTTACTCGTAATTGACATTATTTCCCTAATATAGTGTAAGTCATCAATATGAAGGCGAATGGAATGAGAAAACCCGCTTAACTACATGTGATCCTCACGCAAGAAAGTTAGTCACCAGCTCTGAATCTCCTCAGGAGTGGAAGAAGAAGAAGGAAATATCTTTACATATGATGTTGAGTTCCAGGTTAGTTACAACAATGAATCTCCTCAGGAGGTGGAAGATAAGAAATTATCCATATGAGTTGATGTCCAGGTTAGTTAGTTAACCAATCCATGCCATGACTGAATTACTGCACATCTTCAGTGAGGATCGGATTTTAATCTTTTTTTCTTATAACATCTGGAATTTAACCTTGTAGGAGAGTGAAGTGAAGTGGGCATCTCGCTGGGATACCTATCTTCTAATGGCTGATGATCAGATTCACTGGTTTTCAATTATCAACTCTTTAATGATTGTGCTTTTCCTTTCGGGCATGGTGGCTATGATAATGTTGCGGACACTTTACCGTGACATATCCAAGTATAACCAGTTAGAGACCCAAGAAGAAGCCCAAGAAGAGACAGGATGGAAACTTGTCCACGGGGATGTTTTCAGGCCTCCGTCAAATTCAGACTTACTCTGTGTATATGTTGGAACAGGTGTTCAGTTTTTTGGAATGATTCTTGTCACCATCATTTTTGCTGCCCTTGGATTTCTTTCCCCATCAAATAGAGGGAGCTTGATGACAGTCATGCTCTTGCTCTGGGTCTTTATGGGATTTTTTGGTGGATACTCTTCAGCACGCCTTTATAAGACATTCAAGGGCACAGAGTGGAAAAAGATCACTCTCAAGACTGCCTTTATGTTCCCTGCCACTGTTTTCGCGGTATTCTTTGTGCTAAATGCTCTAATTTGGGGCCAGAAATCCTCTGGGGCTGTGCCATTTGGAACAATGTTTGCTCTGGTTTTCTTATGGTTTGGAATCTCAGTACCACTTGTCTTCCTTGGTGCCTATACGGGTTTCAGAAAGCCAGCGCCTGAGGATCCTATAAAGACAAACAAAATTGCCAGGCAGATACCTGAGCAGGCATGGTACATGAACCCAATCTTCTCCATTCTAATAGGGGAATACTCCCATTGGCGCTGTCTTCATCGAGCTTTTCTTCATTCTTACATCAATCTGGTTACATCAATTCTACTACATATTCGGTTTCCTCTTTATCGTCTCCATAATCCTCATTGTCACTTGTGCTGAGATCTCCATTGTCCTCTGCTACTTCCAGCTGTGTAGTGAAGACTATCTTTGGTGGTGGAGGTCCTATTTGACTGCAGGTTCCTCAGCACTCTACCTTTTCCTCTATTCAGCCTTTTACTTCTTCACAAAACTTGAGATCACAAAACCAGTATCTGGGGTTTTTTATTTTGGCTACATGCTTATTCTTTCATACGCCTTTTTTATGTTGACCGGCACAATTGGCTTCTATGCCTGCTTTTGGTTCACCAGGCTTATCTACTCCTCCGTGAAAATTGACTGATCCTGGCAATGTCAAAGAAATTGCTGGGTAGTTGAATCTTTTGAGCCAGCTCTTCTGTTTATTTGGAACAGGGAATTGTGGGCATGCCCAGGCTAGAACATTGGTTCAAGTTTAAACATAAGAACTGTTAGTCACTTCAGCATAGGTTGTTTTCCGAAAGATTTTTTTTTTTTTTGCTTTTCCAGGAATCCTTCTTCCCTAATTCTTTTCTTTTTGTTGAATATCCTCATTATTTTTGTACGAGACATTCATGTATCCTGTTAAGTAATCTTGCAGTCCACCATACCCATGTTGAAAAAGAAAGTATTGGAAGTGTTAAATGTACACCTTGATTTAGATTGTCTTGGGAAATTGAATCAGTTTATATCGATAGTCAATGTGGAACTTCTTATAAATCCTGTTCTAAATCACATTCATATTTCTGGTAACCGTTATTTAAAGCACTAACCTGGAATCTCTTTATGAATACAGTGTAATATATTATCCAATTGACTTTCACTTGCATTGGTGACTTCTTATTGAAGTTGGTTCATTACAAGGAAAAGTAAATACCTCCAAAAAATAATTCCAAGTTGAAAGTGACTTCCTTAATGAAATGTTATATGATGCAATAGCCGAGCTAAGATTAAAAAGCAGAGCAGTACTTTCTTTCCTCCAATGAAGGCCTCATAGCGTCATAATATAGATCGAAGCTTAATTCAAAAGATTATAAAAAGCAAATATCTGAAACTCTACCCAGCACTTAAATTTTTGTTCAAAAAAAGTTTTCGATCATAAAACCACGTAAACTTCTCCACATATCAATTGAAAACGGCCAGAGTGGCAGGCCTAACAGAGACAGTTGGCTTACTGTTTAATTTACAACAGAACAGGTAAGTCTATAACTCTTACTAGCCTCACAACTCTCGCAAGGAAGTAATTTAGCATTAGTCTGACTGATGCTTCTGGTATTAGGCAAGGAACTGAATGAGTGTACTTGATGTATTTACTATATCAGTAAGTTTGGTAATAAAGTATTTATTATGGAAACAAAAAAAGGAAAAAAAAAACTCTGGCAAGCCGCAAAACTGCAACTGTAAAATCATTACACTTAGCATTTCCTGATCACTCCAACAAAAATAAGGTAGGTCAATGAAACCAGGCTCACAAGTAAAATTCTAGTCTTGCATCATTCATCTGCAGTGAAGTCAGGCTCTGGTGGCTTCTGTAGTGTCACCAATTCCCTGGCAGTCTTAGCATTCCTATTGCGATGTATACCACGAAGAGCGTTGGCTGCAAATCTTGAGGCTAAGAAGGTGGCACCAAGGCTGTATGAACCACCACTGGGATTGTTGCGAGCTCCTCCGGATTCCTCGGATTCTTCTTTTCGACGAAGCTCCATCATCTTCCTCTTGCAATAACGACGCCAGGCTGCTTGAATAAAGCAAGCAGCCCAAGTTCTCCATTGTTGTGAGTAAAAGCGGAAGGTGTGTTGAACCTGCCTGCTATGGAGCCGCCTAAATTGACTTGCAACAAACTTTAAATCTTCAGATATCAATGCAAAAGCCTCAACCTCTGCAAGTGTCTTAACTGTTCTAGTAGAAGATGGAAGGTTAGAACCAGACTTGGGATCCAAGGCCCAAGTTAAAAGCTCCTCACCACAGAAGTCTGTTTCTTTTAGGAAAGTGCGGTTAAAAAATCCACTTCTCCCGCCATCAGTGGTGACACTCTCGAGGCGACCACGGATGATGAAAAGCATCTCATCAACTGGATCTCCTTCTCGAACAATGTAAGTACTCTCTGTAAACAAACATGGTTTCAGTCTCTCACAAATTGCATCAAGTAATCTCTCATCCATACTCTCGAATAGTGGAACCTGCAATGCAAGAGAAGCAGTCAGTGAATAATGACTTGAGAGTCCAAAATGGTCTTTTCAATGTTTTGCTCAAATAGGTGTTTCTCTGTTCTTTTGGACCAATGCACAAATTGAAGTATTTCACAGCGTACCCTTCTCACTAAAGCCAGACAAAGATGACGCTTAATATCCCGTCTAAGATCCTTCGGTAGACTCTGCACCAAACTTTCTTCATCAACACCACGCGTTGCCAACCACTTATATTGATCATAGCGTCTAACACGTTCCCTAAGCTCATGGGGGAGCAAGCGATGATGCATCCACTGTTCTGAATCACGTCTTTTGACTCTCATTTCCTCAAGCCTAATGGTAAGAGACTGAAGGTACGTCTGTAATCAAAGCAAACGTCACAAAGCCTCAGTATTTCTTACTATCAATCGCTTTTCACTCCTTTGCGAATAACCTTGACAATTATAAAAGACGCATATTGCAGGACCACCTCGGATCTTTCTGTGCATCAAAATAACTAGTTCTCACAGGAATACATATGATTGTCATATAGACATGATTTAACAGGCAAAAGATCACGACGTAACATAATATCATATGGCATCTCCTACTGCCCTGGCACTTACATGGTAACAACACTCAGTGTTATTTAATCTCACTCAACTACCTTTCATATGAAATGGATTGCATGTTGGAACATTCAATGCCATCTAATTTCTTTCCGTGTTTGATGCAGGTAATGAGATGCTGCATGATTCATGTTTCCAGAGACTGGTTAATCTAGTATATTACCAACATAGTAATAATTCAATCTGAAATGCAGATATGCTAGTCTACACTATTTTATGTATACCTGCATGTTACCAATCAGGAGTGCAAAGAGGATAAGCCCAAAAATGGCTAGCGCTATTGAAAATATAACCTCCCCAGAATAGGTGCTGGTTTCAAGCCCTTGGCCCAGTGTACTGTATTTCAATGAAAAGTTGAAGTTATTAAGCGAAAATCAATGAATAGTTTTATCATAATGTATAAGAAGAAAGGATATAATATAAGTGTCAAAAATCACAATGTACTTGTCATAAATTCTGAGACAGTGGAGAAAACCTCCAAAGGGAATAAACATATTTGTGTACCTCAAATTCTGGAGCCCCCACCATAAGCAGTAGCAGTATTTAGAGATGAACGTTTTAGATGAAACGATCCCAGATGAAAATGCTTGGGTAAAAATTCCATAATCAAAAGGTGGATTTTCAGTATTCACAGAGCACTGTGAATTGAAAATATCTCTGCTTCTATTTTGCCAGGCACTATAACCTTCCATGTGCTCGTTGCCACAGTACAAGAAATTTTTGTTACATCCATTTTCACTACAAGCCTTCTGCCAGCATGAGTCATTGCGTTCAACAGCTAACAAGTACCAAAAAGCCCCAACTATCTGTCAAAAATAATCAGTCGAAAAGAACTAAATTAAATCCTGGAAAACCTGGTAAGTCATTATTGGACAGCGAGCACAATAATGCAGCTAGAACTGGAGAATATGTAATAGCTTAATTACATTGAGGCTGGAATACTAACAGAAGCAGACATAACAACAACAAGACTTATCCTACTAAGTGAAATCAGTTACATGAATTATATGACACCATTATGCTTTATTCGTAACCCACTCTTCTTTACAATGGAACAGGAGCAAACATGATGAAAAGAAAACAAACACTCACATGACTAGCTAGCATGTATAATAGCAAATAATACGCAGCTCCTGCCCATGCAGTTTCAGCAAAGACGCCAGCGGTTCTCTTAAGTTCTGAAGTCAATGGTACCATCCGAAGCAATCTAGGAACATATTGAAGCAAGACAATGAACAGTAAGGCCTCCTTTGTGGCCAATACATCTGAACCTTTTGACCTCCGAAGAAATCTCCAAACTACAATCTGGATACATGGACAAAAAGGGTAAAGAGAAAGGGAAGCTATATGAGCTGAGTTTCCTTGTACTCCTTAGAATTGATGCAGCAATATGGAAACACCATCTTTCCAGTGATACAAAAATCTATATATTGTCAATAATTTTGAAAGAGATGATACCTATGGAAGAACATACATGCTGCATAGGGCCAGAAAAGAGTTGCTAGTAGTTCAAATCCAATCAAAACAAAAAAGATGATAACAAATCTACCAATAAATACCAATTTCCTTGGATTTTTGATGGAGGAGAAAGAGATCATTATCAATTATATATTATTTTCATAATTTAAATATAATTTTTGTTGTGATTTTGCTTACAGATTTAATTGGGCTACTTTAAGTCATTTTTAGTTATGGTAGAATTAGAGTGGTTGAGTTGGGATTTAGAAAAGTTTGAGAAGATTACAGACATGCTATTCAAGTTCATTATCTGTCTACGCCTACAGAAGTGCCTGCTACATGAAAAATGATGGACAACTTATATTTTCAGTTATGAGTATTATCCAAGGATTTTCCATGTATCCGGATTTTCTACTACTTCAAGGGGAATGAATACAAAACAATCATTTAAAAATCCAAAGAAAATAATCTTACAGCATAAAAAATAGAGATTGGTTCAGGTTAACAGAATCTTCTCAACCTGTGGCATGGGCAACACTGAAAGGAAATCGATAATGAAATATTGCAGCATGTATCGCTTGGCTATTTGTGATGGATCTATAACAAGTTCACCTCGTCCAAAAACACGAGACGATGGAGCTATGTATGCAGTACGAAACTGGAGAGCCATGCGTATAAGGTAGAAAGCATCAATGATTGTTCTCAGAGTGCTGACTATGATTGCCATGTTTTGATCTATACCAAGACAGTTTACTGAGTCATTGATCACAGGGAGATAAAAAAACAATGGATCAATGGAGACAGCCAAAATGCATGAGATTACAAAAAGCTTATTCCACAAGAGTAAAAATTTGTCTTGAGGATCAAATATCTTCTTCTCTGACACTTTAAGGTCTTCAGGGAATACTGCCCTAGATACCCCAAATCCAAGTGATCGGCCAATTGACTTCAGCCCTTCAGATCCCTTTCTCATCCCCCTTTTAAAGGATCCAGTGGTTCCAATGCGTGCATAACCGCCATGGCTTAATCTCATTGTACCAAATCCACACTTATTATGTCCAACATCAGAAGATGAAGATAGTCTGGAGTCCATGTGATCCAACCTAAAATTAAATGAGAGAGTCCGAGAAACATATCAATATAAGTAATGATTAATTGCATGTTCTCAAAATGGAGAGTGCCTAATCAAATATAACATTTACATATTACGACCCAGGCCTCAATAAGCTAAACATTTACTAACTGAAAAGCATCTTACAGTTAAACGTCTATGCTGCCAAACTACCATCACTAAGATAAGCACCAAATTATGCATATGTAAAGCAACGTACAACTTCAAAATGCTCAAGTTTGATAATTTTGAAGCAATGAATCAAGTGAAAGTACATATAAATATTATTAACAATCTTCTGATTCATATCTCTACAAGTGTAAACTTGCAGCACTATATTTGGCACCTCACAAATTTCTCCCGCTGGCCTCCCTCGTATTGTGACTTGTAACCACAGTCAAACATCTTTGAATATTGATCATGCATACCAGATATATACAACCTGCAGCCAAGCGAAACGTAACAATGACTAATAAAAATCTCCTGAATGAATCTGGTGCTAGTTGCAATTCAAGTTCTGGAAAATAGTATTATCATAATGGCATGCATATAAAGAAAGTAAAGCTCTTGTTTACTCTCTTCAAGTTTTACAACGTGAAAATACTTCTACCCTATAATGTAGATTGATAGCACCAACATATACTAGTTGACTTCCACAGAAGCCAATGACTGGTAGCACTTAAATTTAGTAATTCTTCCCCTTGAATTTACTAATCTTATTTTGGTGACTCAGTCACCTTAGCACTTAAATATTTCACTGTACGAATGAACCAGATCATTATTCAAGTAGACGCTTATTTTGATTATACGGATCAACTAATTATACGATTATTCTGTGTCGTTTCAGCCAAGGAGATATCTAAAATCCACACTCAAGTCAGATATATTAATTATCCAAGGAAATGCCCATTTAAACCCCATACCATTTTTATGTGTTGGAGTTTCTATTTATCTGTAAGAACCCCACATCACGCCCTGGAACCCCTCTACGCGAACCGAACAAAGGGGGTCAAGAGGAACCTCTGTTTTCTCGGTTCATAAGTGCACGCAAGTCAAATCAATACATCTAAAGAACAACATCCCATTTATTCATCCAAGAAACTAATTACTTATTATGCATCAACTCTCAACAGTAGCACCCACATGAAAAGTCCAGTGTGAACCACAAGCAATAAACCGAAGTAAATCTGAGTTCTAACACTAGTTTTCATCAAAATTCAAGTAAGAAGAGAAGAGAATCAGACCTTGAAGACAAATACGCGATCTTTCGGTGAGTGTGATATAAAGGAATAGAGAGAGAGAGAGAGAGAGAGAGAGAGAAGCAGTAAGATCTCACAGCGGAATCTGTGGGAGGCTCACGTCATCCTTGTGGGAAGAAAAGAGAAGAAGAGAGAGAGGGAACATAACTGCAGAAGAGAACAAGAAAACGGAAGAAATGAAAATTGAAAAAATTCATTAAAAAAATGGAAAAGGAAATCAGACAGCTAGAGAGAGAGAATGAGAAACAATGAACCGCCGAAACGGTGATGCCTGCACGAACTGCTGCCTGCAAGCATGCACCGTCGCACATGCAAAAGCCATCTCCTTTGATCCTGCCACCTTTTTTAAAGATATGGCAAATTCACTATCATCACTCATCATCAACGTATCTATATCATACAGTACAGCGGGCGGGGGAAAAAAATAAAAATAAAAAGGCAAACTTTTTGTCTAAAAGCCAAAACATTGAGTAATCACGATAAAAGAAAGGATTGAAAAAGTAAGATTGAGTTAGAATTTATTTCCTATAATAGTATTTGTGGAAAGATAAGACAAGAAGATGAACTGATTTTAAATAATTTTTTATTTATGTGAATTAATTGAAGATAAATTATAAGGAATGGAGGATCCATATGTCACCCGGGGCAAAAGGAATGCCTACGTTTCATTGAATTATTGGTTTAAAATATGCCAATAGTTGAATGGTTGAGTTCAACTGAAATTATGGGGAGAGAATGAAATTGTTCTTTGAACTCAAATATCATGTTATTGTGATGGCCTCAATTCAAAAGTTTTAAAATGAATCTGATAATTATTATGATTTTGATATATTTTTACATGATCTAAAATGTAATTTAAAATTTGGCAAAAAAAAAAATGTAATTTAAAATAAATTTAGAGTTGTTATAATTTTATTATTTCAAATTGTGAGAATTAGTAATCAATATTAGGAATTTACTATTCATTTTGCAGAGAACACTGAGTTGTGCCAACAGCCTTGTACCAATTTAAATTTGTTTTTGTTCTTCTAATAAAGGCAAATATATTATATGCCATCCATGAATTCCATGAGGAATATATATGCATTCACGCAACAAAAAATATGTGCCTGTATAGTTTAAAAGAAAACGTTAAATTAAGTATATACTCTCTCAAGTTCTAAAAATAAGAATTGAATAACTAATTTATAAACATTAGAAAAAATTAAATAAGTTAGTTATTTATAAAAAAATATTTTAGCTTTCTCAAAATATTCTTTTTAATTATAAAAATTCCCCTTACTATGTAATAATATAAATAGCAAAATTTAGAAGAAAAATTAGAAATTTAAAGACAGTAAATTGGGGTGATTCTAAAACGAAAACAAACCCAAATACTGACTCTTATATGTAGCAGATAAACATTATAAAAGAACTAAATGTGCATGCGTGGATAGGACGAAATATATCAAAAAGTAAAGAAAACCAGATATATATTTATATATATGACAACAACAACCATAGTCTTAAGACGATAATGCTTTAGTAAGGATGGAAGTGGGTGATCTATTTTCGTCAAAATGCAAGTGTGAAACACACAAATACGCGTAATTAATGGCAAAGATTTAATCTTTTTGTAAATCTGACATGTGAAGCTGATCACATATACAGATTGAATCATATTCATATGACCCTTACATGTATAATTAACATACTACCTCCGGTCCTAATTATAAGAGCCAGTTGACTAATTTGAGGAGATTAAAGAAGTAAGTTGAGTTAGTTATTTGTCCTAAATAAGTATTGTCTTTCTTAAAATATCCTTACCAATCAAGTGTATTGATTAGAATTATAATTATTAGAATAACTATCTTGGAAAAAATTGAATAAATATGAGAGACAAAGTGGATTGGGATTTTATATTTAGGACCAAAATAAAAGTCAAACAGAGTCTTATATTAAGAACCGAATGTAGTATATAAATAATGTAAAATCATTAACAAATAACAGTGCTTATAAATCATGATGAATAGAACGGCCGCTCATTTCTTAATCTCGATGCGCACGATGATCTTCGAATGACACATGTGATGAATATGTGGGGGTCTTTATTTAGGAGGATGGGTGTTATCTGGATGGGACATGCCGGTGGTAACCTTGGCGACATCCATGGCGGAAGCCTCAGGCTTCTTGTTGGCGTACAAGACGACGTAACCCAGAACAACTGTTGCTGCAAACCCACCAAGGGCCATTCTCATGGGACACACAGGCAGCTTCCTACGTTGGCCCAGTACCTCTGTCGAATGTTGTCGTCCTGAGGAAGACGAAGACGATGAAGAAGAAGGAGAAGCCGCCATCTTCACTCTCCCTCGACCAACCATATTATAGTATAGTATTCTTGTCTGAAACAAAAAGAAAAAAGAAAAGAACTTGAATATGGTAGATGATGATCTCGAACTGGCGGTTGTAAGAACGTAGTAGTCTTGTTTTGATGTTGATTATGTTTCTTTTATGGATCGATCTGTTTCTGATGGGTTGTGTAGTTTTTATATAGGAGTGGTGAGAAAGAATATAAGGCGAAAAATAATGGGATCGTGTACAAATGTAGGATGCAGCCTGTAGGACATGGGAGGCTTTGTGAGATCAACACGTGGAAGTTTAAGAGTGTTTAATGAAGAAATATTAGGAGACTCCTCTACTACGTTCTGTGTTCATGTATAATAGTAACTGTTTGACCTTTTCTATGGATGTTGCTACATGAAATGATGGGGGGAAATGGAGGGGAATTTTTGATGGGCTGGATTTGAAAAAAATTATTTTTTTAATCTAAATTTAATAAAGGGATGATGAAACTCCTTAATCACATTTTGCTTGTATAAAATAAATGGGAGTTTAGAAAAATTTTAACTGGAATTAAGTTAAAAAAATGATATTTTGAGAGCCTTAATATTGTTTCAGATTTACAATTTTTTTAGGGGCAAATTGGGAAAATACAGAGCCAACTTCAGAATACCAAAATGTGGAGTTTTTGAAGAAAGTCTGAAACCAACTGTGCTAGCCAGCTGTACACAAATTCAACTTGCATTGAGGGACACGTGGGTAGTTCTTCTTTGACCAAGAATTCAAGTTGAAAATGAACTGTGGGGACCGAATGGAATTGGACAGAAATTAAAGAAAGAAGTGGGGGGACCGGAGGATCTATGAAAATGATATATTATTATTAAAGAAAGAGAGATACACACGGGGGGTATTACACATTCTTTCACTTGCACCTTTTTCTCTCTCTCGACTTCAGATTATCTCGCCTTCTCCGCCACACCTCCCGTTCGCATCAGTTCTACAATGGCGAAGCAAATCCAAAGATCTACCCAAGCCATTCCTGCGGCCATGAGGAGCTGAATCTTCTTCTTCCTTTGGAGATTCAACCGAAGCCTGAGTCATGGAGCTTGAAAGAGAGTTTGTTCAGATTATTTTTTTTTCTAGATTTGGAAATACTCTTCTCTGTTCAGAACATGTGATTTCTGATCTTATTAGCTGAGTTTATGCACTTCTTTATGATTGTTAAATCAGGATTTCGAATGTGCTATGTGTTTAGGTGTCTAATACTCTTTGTTTCGAAGTAGATTCAGTTGTGATTTTCGATTTGTTCAAATCAGATTGTAACTGAGTTGATTGAAATTTAATGGATGCTGTTTAGTATTCATCTAGGAGCTCTGAATGCATTTCATGTTCTTAAATCTGTGAAGGCATATTCAGATTTATCTTTCTAATCAATGCAAACGAATTATGAATAGGCAATGAAGGCTAGGGAATTCTCCGAAGGAAGTTTCTCAACTCGTTGATTTCAATTCTGTTCTTTTGATACTCTGCTTCTGATCATTTTCTTTCTTAATCTACTCTTCAAAGGAATTTCTGAACCAACAATTTGCATAGGATAACTTTTCTTCAACTTAATTTGTTGAACACTCTTTTAACTGATTTTCAAGGAATCTTAGCTCCTCAAGAGATCGACCAAGGACTTGCACAATTACTACATATTTTCTGCAAACTAGAATTTTTGATAAGCTCCTACGACAGAGTCTATCAAGGGAAAAGCATAAAATAAAAAAAATTTAATGCATTCTTCGAATTTAAAATTGACAAGAATCATGAAACATGAAAAATAGCATCTACGTGGTGGATAATTTAAAGGGAAAAATATATGTGCATACTTTCTTTCAATTTTTAATTTGATACCTATTATGTTGTTTTATTAAGTTTACCTACATTTATTGTAATTGATCCTCTTCATCTAATTTCACCTTTCTTAGGGATATTTTGGATGGAAGAGTAACAATAAGCCTTATCTTACTAGGTAGAGTCAATTATAATGGATCACATGACCTTATTCGTCTTTATTCAAAGCCAAATCTTTAGATATATTGTTAATTGAAAAATACAGCTTAATAACTTTTTTAAGTGTTATCTTTGGCCGTCTTCTACTCTTTAGAGGACTCCATACTATTTGATCAACTCTTTTCACTAGCATTTCCAAAAGCCTTTTTTGCACGTGACCAAACCATTTCAAACTGTTTTCTACCATTTTCTCTTCAATAGTAGTCACTCCAACTTTCCTGCATATATATTTATTACGAATCCTATTTTTTCTTGTATGACGACACATCTATTTTAACATTCTCATCTTGGCTACAACCACTTTATATTCATTTGTCCCTTTAAATCCTAACACTCACCGCCATATAGTATTGTTTGTCTTATAGCAATGCGATAAAACTTTTCTTTGATATTATTAGATACTTTCCAATTACAGATAACTCCCGTTGCTTTTTTCCATGTAAATCACCCGACTTGAATTTTATGACTATCAATTTTACCATCTTTTTAGATAATTGATTGCAAATATCTAAACTTTTTCACTTTTGGAATAACTTGATCTCATTAAATATTTATATAAGATCCAGAAAAAAAAATTTTTAATCTTCAAAAGCAAAGATGAATGATGCATGTTCCTTAAGGCCACAAAACTATCAGCCAGTAAAATATAAATGTATTGATAGTAGTATATGTGAAACATTTTTTTTTATAACATGTGAAACACTTTTAACCGAACTTGTTTAATGCCACATTTCAAAAGACAATAATGCTAAAACGACAAGCCGAAATAATTCCTGCAATATGCGCAATATGTTTGAATATTCCGGCAAAAAAAAAAAAGATATGTTCGAATAATTTAATAAATAAACAAATGAAATATACTTTTTTTAAATTAACCACATATACTTTTTTTAATTAGAGGAATGTTTAAGATATTACTGGGTATTAAATATGAAGACTCCTCTTAATTAAAATTTTAATTTTGACTATTGTGAGGGACAAATAAATATGCTGTATTACTGTTTTGTGCAAAAGACAAGAGATTTAATTGGCAAAAAACTGAATAATTGTTTTAAATAATAACTTTATTGAGAAATATTTCTTAAGCTAAGCTTACTATATCTCTCGCAATTCCAGCTAATTGCTTAGTTCAAATATGGACGCAAGCAGACAAAAACTGAATAATCACGAGAGACGCATGCTAACATCAGATCATCATAGCCAACGTAACGCCCAAACCCGTTACAAGGCCCGCGAATCCACCACAGCCCAAAGCGACGCGCCGTTCTTTGCTGGCCCCGGTGCAGGAGACGGAGAAGGAACCGGTGAAGGAGACGGAGAAGGAACCGGTGAAGGAGACGGAGAAGGAACCGGTGCAGGCGACGGAGACGGCGAAGGCGACCCATGAACGCTCCCGCTGTGCCGACCGGAATGGACCACCAAATCCAGCCTTAAGCCCTGCTGACAATGGCCATTTGATCCACTAATGAAGTAGAATGAACCAGCGCGATTCAACTCTACCTTGGTATCTCCGTCGTTGTATTTTGATATCGTTTTCGCTGTGTTGCAGCTTTTATAGTCTTCCTCTTTCACTTCCAGCACAGACTCTGTTCTCCCGTCGTATTTCCATACTGCAAAAATCTCACCGAAATTTTGTCCAGAGAATGTGAGCGAATGAAATACTATAATACATACGAGATACAAAATTACACGCTCTTGGAGCTAATAAATCAATTTCATCGGAACTTAAATGCAATGAATAGAAATAAAGGCGCAATGTGAAGAACAATCAAACGTAACGGTTATTGTTTTTTCGAAAGGCGAAGCAGCGAGCGTGTGTGTGAAAACAGCAAATGGAAAACCGAAGGAAATTAAAACAGATAAGGCTGAGAAGAGAGAAAAGAGAAGGCAGAGTATTGAGGAATTACAGAGAGCATCGCCGACTCTGAAGTGCCGCCTATGGGCCCAATGACTGAGGGAATCTGGAGAAGGACGAGGGAGCGTCCAAGAATCCTGAGAGCCTCCGACCAAGTAATCGCGGCCTTCGGATGAAGGAATCAGCAGAAAAGCGAGCATGACAGAGAATAAGAAGGATGCAGAGGGTGGAATGGAGAAGGAAGCCATTGTTGAGGGTTTGAAGGAGAAGGCAATATGGAACAAGATGGAGAGAGTGAGAAAGTGAGTGAATACTGCGACTTTCTTAGAGTTGAGAGATGAGAGTGAGCCGGAATTGGTGAGATTCGTATTTAAAAGCGACGAACCTCTGTATGTGATCTACGTGGCACGCGTTTATGCCAAAAACGAATCAGCTTTGGTTACGTTTCATCACGCTTGATCTTTTCCAGGAGTATTCTGGTTGTCAAGCAAAAATTCACTGAAATTTTCTCAAATTAGTAAGAATTAGCTCATGATTTATAAGATGGTGAGTTTAATTCCGCTGTTGGTATCAAAATCTTATTAATAAATAGTAAGTATTTTTATAAATATGATGTGATATAAAAAATAATTATATTTTTAGAATATTTGAATTTTCTAGGATATTTAGATTATTTAGATTTCTTAGTATTTTATTATTTTATTATTAAGATTAGTTGTTGTTGTTGTTATTTTCAGTTTTATTATTATTTTAGTATAAGTAATTCTATATTTCTCATTAGACGACATACTTGATTATTAAATAATATTGCAATTATCATTTTCTTTCGTCTTATTTCCTCTTTTCCGTTCTTTATTTCCCTTTCTTTACCCTTTTTGATCCCTTTCCTTCCCCTTTTTCCCTTCCTGTTTTACATCAAAATATTTTATTAGTTAAACCCATTCGTGTATTTTTTTTTTAAAAAAAATTTCTACGCACAAGTATTCTTCAAGCTAAGATACTGTCAAATATTAAATGTAAATACTTTTCCCATGAGAATTTGATAAGTAGCTAAATAATTGAATTTCACCGTCTGTCATAATACTTTTTTTTTTTTGGGTCATGGAGGGTTCTGGACAGCCAATTTTACTCCAATACATTACCTTTTTAGTCCTTTTTAATTGTCACTTGTAGAAAGGGATTTTGATCTTTTTTCATTTGTCTTCTTAATGCTTCATTTCTAATTCTATTCTTATTAATTAAAGAAGACAAATATAAAAGTATAAAGAGAGAGGAAATGTATGAGAAAAAATATACTAACTATTTAATAAGGGTAAAAGTGAAAAATTTTATGTATTTAATGATCTCCTTAATATGTGAGAAACTATTACAAGTGATAACTAAAAAAGGCCAGAGTGGTATGTACTTCGCATACTTTAAATATTACTTCTGGTCTTTAATATAAGATCATGTTTAACTTTTATTTTGATCCTAAATATAAGACCCCAATCTATTTTATCTCTCATATTTACTCAATTTTTTTCAAGATAGTCCTTCTAATAATTATAGTTCTAGTTAATACACTTGATTAGTAAGGATATTTTAGGAAAGACAACACCTATTTAGGACAAATAACTAACTCAACTTACTTCCTTAATCTCCTCAAATTAGTCAACTGGATCTTATAATTAGAACCGGAGATAGTACTTTGTAACTGGATCGAGTATAAAAGCCTTTTACATATTTTTATAAAGTACTCCTCCGGTCCTTATTATAAGACCCCATTTGACTTTTTATTTGGTCCTAATTATAAGACCCCAATCCATTTTGTCTCTTATATTTATGTATTTTTTCCCAATATAATCCTTCTAATAATGATAGTTTTAGCCAATATACTTAATTAGCAAGGATATTTTAGGAATGACAACACTTATTTATTATAAATAACCAACTTAACTTACTTCCTTAATCTCTTCAAATAAGTTAATTGGGTCTTATAATTAGGACCGGAGGAGTATTACATTTACGATAATGTATGAAAGTAGAAAATTTTACAAGAATACCTTAATGTGGTTAAACTAAAAAAAAAAACCTTTTTTTTTTTTCAAAATGTCGAGACAAAAATGAAAGGCGGTTACCCGCCCCACTAGTGTCGGCGCCGGAGTCCGACAACAAACGATGACTTTCCGGTAATACCGATTCAATTTCACTCCCATCGTTATATTTTGAAATCGGCGTCGATATGTGGCAGCTTCAAAAGCCTCCATCTTCCACTTCATCGGCCACATGTTCTGATCTCGGGCCACATTTTCATACCGTAAACAATTGACAGCACAGAGACTTGAAATCTAAGCCCAACTTCAAAATTTTACCGAAAAATTTAACCTTGCAGAAAATAAAGGCAACGAACCGAGAGGAGATTTTTTTTTTTTGGGGGGGGGGTGTTTGAGGTAAAGCAGCATTTTGAATGATCCTAAGTAAGTCTGTGGGGAATCTTCAACTATAGATGGAAGTCATTGGAGGCAGCAATGAACCATAGAGAGTGATAAACATTAACCGCATGAGATTACAAGTTGTGACCTTTTATTTATAAAATATTTTTCATACCACTGAACTACAAGATCATTCATTTACAAAGTAATAAATTTCAGTGATAATTAAAAATTGAAAATTCTTTCCCATCACTAGGGGATGGTTATAGACTTATAACTTCATTCTTGTACTGAATAATAAATGTCAGACCAAATTTTATGAAGGTTCAGGCATTAAAAATCAATAAGAAAATATTTTATAAATAAAATCGAAATAAGTGATTATGAAAAGGATCTAGGTACTAAATCCGCCCATGTTTAATATAATTTTAAAATATTAATGATAAGATTTTGTTATAGGATAAATAATCATATATATAAAAAATTCACGTCATTTAATTGAAAACAAGTACCTTACGCGCGCGCGCAAGTGGTTGGTAAGTGCCTACAATTTTCACAAGTAAAACATTAAATAACGAGGAAAGACTTTCAACGGTAACAAACCAAACAGCCTCCAAAGTCATCATAGCCACAATTTTGTCCATAAGGGATGGGATCAAAACGGAGCAACATCGAATACTTCATCCAAACACAAAACAAACATTCAAGGACAGATGAACAGCAATGCGAACAAAACCCTAAAACCAGCATCATCATTTGAGGAGAGTCTTCACTATTGATTTGACATTGAGTTTCTTGAGGTCAGTGTAGGACTGTCCGCAGCCCACAAACATCACTGGAGCTCCTGATACGTAAACCATTGAAAGTGCAGCTCCCACCTGCCCAAATGGATTGATTCATCATCATCATCAACACCAAATATTCCCAAGAAAAAGTAGAAGCTTTCATTCCAACTTGCAGTTTCAGAACTCATACCTTATCATCAATTGTGTCAAACTTTGTGAGCAAAATCCCATCTATTAATCTGGGATTAGCAGATGCAGATAGGTCGGCTAATTTCTGCAGCAAAATAACTTAAAGTTCAATAACTGCGACGTAGGAAATAGAAACATAATGGGATTGCAGTTGGATGATGTCTAACTGTATAGAACTTAACCTGATTGAACTTTGAAAGCTGATCAACTGCGTCATTTCCAACCAGTGCTTCTCCGACAAATAAGACCAAGTCCGGATTGTTAAGGTATATAAGCTTTGACAATGCTCTCATCAGTGGCTCGTTATCCTGAAAACCAGTAGCGACATACCAGATGAATATAGCAGCTTTAAGATGAACTTATTCCAAACAAAGAGCCAGAGTTGTTCAAGCAGTCCCATATAGCAATGATCCTCTTCATAGCAGGAAGAGTTATAATTGAAATAGAAAAATAGAAAAATTGAGTCCTGAGACCATGAAAAACAGTAACAGAAGTCACCTTGTATTTTGAACCCACGTAAACGGGATATATGATTCATGGAACTTAAATAGTACCTGCATACGACCAGCGGTATCAACAAGGACCACATCCGAACCATTGCGTGAAGCCTCCTGAATTGCTTCTTTTGCCACAACAGCAGGATCTTTCTCATAGCCCTTCTCAAATATAGGGATCTGCAAAGGGGAAACAATCAATCTATGCTTTCTGCAACTTACTATGACATGATCTATGAATATATGTGCAGCAAAATTCTACTGATGTTTGAGGAGTATGATCAATATAAACCTGAAGTCTACGTGCATGAGTCCGCAACTGCTCAACAGCACCAGATCGAAATGTGTCACAAGCAGCCATCATGACACTGATGTTATGCTGCAGAAGCCAGTAAGCAACCTACACAATGACAAAGAAAATAGACCATTTCTATCTGGTCAGAAAGCATATCCTCAATAAGAAATCCCGACTAAAAGAAGAGTAGGGAAAAATCTCATCTTCTCTTCACCTTAGCAAGATTAGTAGATTTTCCAACTCCATTAACACCAACAAATACCACAACATATGGTTTCCTCTGCTCCTTGGCAGCATGCACATCCCTTAGTATGTCAATAGAACGCTTAGGAGTTAAAATTCGAACAAGTGCTTCTTCCATTGCGGCCTGCATTGATTTTGGGAATATGTTATCAGTATGCTGGCTATAAAAACACACACATTTATAAAGGGAAGCATCTAATGCAGATAGGAAAAGGAATAGAACAGACATGCACTGTTGAAGATATCCTTGTAAATGAAGCTAGCTTTTTGCCTTCAAGACTTGCTGCCACTGATTCACAGAGCTTCTCAGCTATCTCTTCAGCCTACAAGGGCACAACCACATATTGTAATCAATATTAGCTGACTGGTAAAATTCAAAAGGACTTGATATATAACAAGTTTTGTAAAGCAGAAAAAGAATTTAAACTGTTTACTATAAACACATACCACGTTCTTGGTCATGAGCCTGTCCTTCAGAGCTTTCAAAGCTGGTTCAAGGTCCGACTTCTCCAAGTTAGCCTTTCCTGCAATACTGAGCACAAGGATATGTGTGAATATTGATACTAATCGAGTCAGTGAAGTCTGAAAAGCAGAAACAAATAAGCAACCAAAACCTAAGAACCTGACAAAAATCTAAGAATCTGCAAGGTCAGCAATCTTACCTCTGGAACATGGATGAAAACCATCCCTTCTTTTTAGCATCAGGTTTGCTGTTCATCTCCACATCATCATCTTCATCCTCACTTTCACTACTAAAAATCTCTTCTTTATCCATCATACTTTCACCATGATCAGCAGCCACAACTTCTATGTTGCTTTCCCCATTCTCACCCACAGGATCTGTAAAGTCCAGTTTTGTTTCAGGAGGTGAATCGTCCCAAACTCTATTTTTCTTCGTCATCTTTTTCTTTGGCTCTACCTTGGAGGCTTTGGTAATAGCATCTGTCTTCTTTCCTCCTTTCACTCTAAGCTTCTGAAGCCTATTTACATCAAAAGCTCCAACATTGGAACTTGCATTCTCCTTACCGTTAATATTACCACCCAAGTTAGATTCTTTAGAAGCAACAACACGGTCATTGGAGTGCCCATTCTCCATCTTACAGCCTTTGATATTATCACCATCCCCACCATCACTTTTCAAAGCACCTTCACTCTTTTTCTTATTTCCCCCATCAGATCCAGTCTTCTGACCCTGCCCTTGCTTCTTGTTGTTACCTAAAGCCCTACCAACGGGGTTTGATTTCTTCAAATCCTCAGCCCGAGCCTCGGCCTCCATCTTTAGCTGTCTGAAAGTTTCATCAAAATCATGATACACTGTCCTTTTTGGATCGTAGATCTCTGAGAATTCCCGCTTCACCATAGCAAGCAGATCATCCACATACAACAGATTAAGGATCCGTTGATACAAAGCCACAAACACGAGGCCAAGTTCATTATGGAAGGTCCATTTGAGGGTGTACGAAGCACCTGGGGCGTCATAATTAAAAGATGCAGCGCCAGACCGTTCCTCCAAAAGACAAGATCGGATCAAGGTATCGATCGGTGATCCTTTAAGAGCATTCCCCAGCTCTTTACAAGTCCAGAGGATCAATCCTCCTCTAGTAAAAATGAGCAACTGCTCTAACATCTTCGATCACCTTCGAAATACCCTGCAAGGAAAAAATCCAGAAATTCACAGATTACAAAACTGTAGAATCCAAAAAAAAAAAAAAACCATAATATGAATTGAGTTCATTCAAATTAAACAAAAATCAATAATTTAAAACCTAGAGTCGATAGGGAAAAAAAAATGTCGCCATTCTAATTCTTCGATCGGGCTGAATCGCAAAAAACAGAATTAGATTCAATCACAGTAAAATAACACAAATTTACAAGGAGGGGTTGTTAATGGAAACAAAAAACAAGAGGAAAAAAATCGATTTCAATAGGCGTTGTTTCATGCAGCGATGCAGAGAACAAGGAAGAACTAGACAATCGGGGAGAGAAAGGTACCTGCGATTTCTTGGAGCTCAGAGAAACCTTAAAATAAAAATGAGATAAGAAAATTAAAATAAAATCTAGCGTTTGTTGAAACTAAGGGAGGAAGAAGAAGAATAAACATGAATGATAAAAATTGGGAATGAAAGTGGTGGAAAAGTAAGGCCTTTTATGGGGCGTGACTTTAAGGGCGGCTTGCCAGTTTCTTCCAAGGTTCTCAGGGTAATAATTGAGAATAAGATTGTTTTCGGTTTGAAACTGTACTCGCCACTTTGACCCAATAATTTTTTTAACAAAAATCTTGCTAATAATTTATTTTAGAAAAAATTACACACAGATTTTATATAAGACAATTAATTCTAAAAGAGTCCTTAAAAATCTCTCAATGCTTCCTAAGTCCCCAGGGACCTCAAAGCAAAAAATTAAAATTGTAAAATTACCTATTTGCCCTCATCAAATAATAACATACACAGCTACAGTGACAACCTACACGCAGCCAATCACAACCTACATTTAAGCCATTCACAACATACACAAAAACCAATCACAACTCATACTCAACCGAATGACAACATGCACAGCATACAGTCACAACCTACACAGTAACCAATCACAACCTTTTCTATCAGTGAGGGTAAGTAGGTAATTTTACAATTTTAATTTTTTTTCCTAAAGTCTCTGGGAACTTAGGAAGCATTTGGGGATTCTGAGGGACTTTTTCAGAATTAATTATCTTTTATGAGACTTGTGTGTAATTTTCTCTTTATTTTAAAGTTATGAATTAGGTTAAGGAAAATTACTCTATTTCGAGATGGCAATTACAGGACCAAAAACAAACATATATGATTCAGAGAAAGTTGTGATAAAAAAAATTATTGGTAACATGACAATATATTAATTTTAAAATAATATTTAAATCAAAATTTTATATTAAATATATTAACTTATCGTGTGTCATATTTTTAAAATATTATTATTATTATTAAACTACAAATTCACATAAGAAAAGGACACATAATTATATGTGTTTAGAAAACTTGATAATATATATATAGAACTTAATGTTAGTTTTTTTTTTGTGTCATTTGTTGAGTATTTTAATTTCTAAGTTGTAAACATATTTACTAAAGTTCTAAAAAAATTGATAAAAATTGATAATTTAGTTATTTTAACATTTTATTAGTGGCGCAAAATATGGGTGTTCGTGAGGCTCAATACCTATATCTAAACCAAGGGAAAAAATGCTTAGCCTGATCCAAAAAATGCAGCTTGAAAAAAGAGAGTATTTTTGGATCAGGCTAATCATAAGCATGATTGGGTTGCAGATATGATATGCCTTCCTACTCATTTGGCTCTACAAAAAAAATTATATATATATATAATTGTCACAGTGCCAACTTTACAAAAGTTTGAAAAAGTTATTGTATTTTACAATTGTGTGTTTGTGTGCATTCATAGTTTCTGTAAGTTTGTATTTAGATATTAGTATTTATGAATTAGTTAGTAAGTGTCTAATAGTTTTAATCTAGCTATTAACATTTTTGTATTAGAGAAGTGATAATTCATGAAACTAAACATTAAAATTTTAAGATATAGTGAAGAAACTATAAGAGTATTGGCTTTGATACCAATTGATAGACATCTAAGTGAGATGGGAAATTTTACTCTAAAAATTAGTTATTGTATGGTAGTTTTGATTAAGGATATTATCTTTGATACCAAATAATACGTGGCGTCACAATTGTTGTTAAATTATCGCTAATGTTTCTCTATTTCATATGTTTCTTTAGAATCTAACTACTTTTGTTCAAATCTCCATTAATTTAATTAAACTAGGATAATACAAGCCACACTTCTAGGAGACTATTATTTCATACTTTCATAATCTCGTTCATTTAATCAATACAGGAAACATAAATAATTAGGTTTAACTTGTAAGGATCATTTGACATTCACATATAATTTTTTTAAATTGCATTGACATTTAACCCAAAAAATCTAAAAAGGTACGTATCACCAACTAAATTGACCTAAGTTGCACTCCATTAGATACTTTGATTTTACATGATTTATGAGGACGTACCTACATGTGTGTTTATTTATTTATTTATTTATTTTCTTTACCTTCATGCTATATTTATAAATTGTTTAGTAAGTCTGATGTTTCTAGTTTTGTGACTATTTTCTTTTAGTGTCTCAAATTATGACTAAAAGTGCCAAGCATGACATGTATGTGTCTTTGGATGTGCATAGTAAGGTTTATTCATAGATTAAAAATGACAGATCTTGTATGGTTATATCTCCCTCACTAAATATAATAATAGTGTTAAGACTTAATTCTTTTTTAAAGGAAACAGATGATATATTGATGAAATATAAAAATTATTATTTTGAAGAAGTCTAGCTTACTTTAATATCTTATTTACTTTTAATTATAGCTAGCAAGTAGCAAAATTTGTTTTGTATCTTTAATTATTTTTGTAAGTTTCCTATATATACTTTTGTTGTTATTATTTTGGCAAATAGTGATTGTCTTAGTAAGCAAACTTGAATTTTTTCATTGGGAAGATAGAATATTTCTCTGTAGAAAGGAAATCTTAAGTTTATAAATAGATGTTGTTATGAATAAATACTTTAGTTTTTTCATTGAGAAGATAGAATATTCCTCCTCAATTTTGTTCATTTTTCTCTTTTTGTCCTTCTAGCTTTCCTATTTATGCATCTCCCTCACCCATAGTCTCTCTCCTTTTTTATTTTCTCTCTAAAAATTAACACTATTTGCATTGGCCCAAATGTGTTTTATATTTACTTTAGCATCAGAAATTCTCTTCCCTTAAATCCAATTTGTTTGCATTAGTCCAGGTGTGAGTAATATCATATATTCATTCTCTTCCTATTTTAATTTTTTCATGATGATATGTACATTAAACACAAGTGTGAATACGTGATGCGAGAACCGATTGCAAAAGATTACAAAAATAAACATGAAGTGTATGTAAATACCTGCCTTCCTGCCATTTCTATTTTTGTTTCATATAACACATCATTTACGATGCTTTACTTGATCCTAATGACATATTCTATTTTAATTTGACCTATTATTTTATTAATTTTACTGTATTTTTGCAAATATGTTTTTCTATCTCTTATTTCACTTTCTTTGTCATGCAATAATAAAAGATATTCTAAAAATTGTATCAGAATTTTTAGAATTCCCTATCTTCTTTGTCTATTGATTTGTTCATACTTGAGTTTTTACTTGTCAAATTATTAAGCTTCTTTGTTTCTTTAGGGTGGTCCGCACATCTTTTGCTAGGTTAAAGATGATGCTGAGCGGCCATTCTTCTCAGTATCTCAAGTTTAAGGTAGATCAAAATTTATTTTAGTGTAAAGTTTCTTAGTGTTTCTTTTTTGTTACAATGCAACTGGGACAGAGATTTTGTTTCTTTGGGGTGGTCCGCACATCTTTTGCTGGGCTAAAGATGATGTTGAGCGATCATTCTTCTCACTATCTCAAGTTTGCGGTAGATCAAAATTTATTCCTACTGATACAGAAGACTGATACCGATATACCTTCAAATATTAAGATTGTGAAATATTTGGAACAGTTAAAGATGAATTTAAAGAAGACCAAGTTCGAGGTTATTCTAAGATGAAACATATTTTTACCAATGTTACCCCTAATTAATTTTTATTCTCTTATTATCATTTTCTCTCACAATTTCTGTTTTTGTCTAATGAATAATATTCACTCTAAAGTTTAGTGAACAAAGTTTAGTGTAAAGTTTCTTAGTGTTTTTTGTTTGTTACAATGCAGCTGGGACAGAGATTTTGTTTCTTTAGGGTGATCCGCACATCTTTTGCTGGGCTAAAGATGATGCTGAGCGGCCATTCTTCTCAGTATCTCAACTTTGCGGTAGATCAAAATTTATTCCTACTGATACAGAAGACTGATACCGATATACCTTCAAATATTAAGATTGTGAAATATTTGGGATGGTTAAAGATGAATTTAAAGAAGATCAAGTTTGAGGTTATTCTAAGATGAAACATATTTTTATCAATATTACCTCTAATTAATTTTTATTCTCTTATTATCATTTTCTCTCACAATTTCTGTTTTTGTCTAATGAATAATATTCACTCTAGAGTTTAGTGAACAAGGTTTAGTGTAAAGTTTCTTAGTGTTTTTTGTTTGTTACAATGCAGCTGGGACAAAGATTTTGTTTCTTTAGGGTGATCCGCACATCTTTTGCTGGGCTAAAGATGATGCTGAGCGGCCATTCTTCTCAGTATCTCAACTTTGCAGTAGATCAAAATTTATTCCTACTGATACAGAAGACTGATACCGATATACCTTCAAATATTAAGATTGTGAAATATTTGGGATGGTTAAAGATGAATTTAAAGAAGATCAAGTTTGAGGTTATTCTAAGATGAAACATATTTTTACCAATGTTACTTCTAATTAATTTTTATTCTCTTATTATCATTTTCTTTCACAATTTCTGTTTTTGTCTAATAAATAATATTCACTCTAGAATTTAGTGACCAAGGTTTAGTGTAAAATTTCTTAGTGTTTCTTTTTTATTACAATGCATATGGGACAAAGATTTTGTGGTTCTAATAACAATGACTAGGTTTTTTCTC